TTCAGGGTGTATGCAGTCCATAAAACCACCTTCCTCAACACAGAGCAAGCATAAAAGACAAACGCACCCAGAATGGACCGAGAGGCAGGACAAACAATATTCAGCTCCAAGGGAGACACAGTGGAAAGAGTAGGGAGCGAAGGGCCTTTCCTATAGAAGTCACTGAAACAGAGGCAAAAATTGGAGATTGGCTCTTGATTAAATATCTAAGAAAATCACTTGGTCTCATGGCAGCAAATTATATGCAATTCCCAGAGATGATTCCAAAGCAAGACACCACTCTCCTCCTCCTCCTCATCTTTCTTCCTGTATAACACGCCTGCTAGAGATTTCTATTCACATCCCAGGGCTTGCAGGCTTGCTTTTGACACTGGGGGTACCATTGCGAGATCTAAGGCCTCGCCTTAAGAGCGTATGTTCCAGTCTGTGAGGCAGGGGAATAGAATTAGAATTTCGTGTGAAGAGTGCTGTATTGGAAGCATTAGTGAGGGTTGAGGAAAACGGATGAGGGGGTGAATTACGTACCCTGAGCATGTCACAGAAGTTTGCATAGGATAAATGACCTCTGAGCTGGGTCCAGAAAGATGTGGAGAACATCAGCCGACAGAGCAGAGGGGAAGGCTGCTCCGTTTGGGGGAATGACTGGAATCTGAGATAACACCTGAGGTTGCCCGTCAGTTTGGGAATTAGGGAACGGTAGTGCTTGTGGCTAGTTGGGATGTTTCTTTTTATACTCGGCAATGGTAAGCTCTTGAAATTTTGTAAAGCAGGGACATGACAAGTTTAAGATTATCCTTGAGAATCCAATGAGGAGACACAAACCTGTTGTTGAGTCTTGGGTTGGAGGCAGATGGAAAAGTACAGAGTGTGTCTTGTGTCAAGGTGAGTGTGTGTGAGTGTGTGTGTGTGTGTGTAGAAAGATGTCAGTGACATGTCTCAGCAAAGCCAATCCAACATGGATGCCCAGAAAAGATCTTTTCATATAGCATGCACACAAAACATGTACTGAGGAAATGAAGAAAACCAGGTTTCGATGTAGGTAGGAGAAGCCATGGGTTAATTCGGCTTTTATTATCGATAATATATTTATTTATGTATTCGTCCCTTCTTTCTTAAGCCTCTTTGTGTACTAACTCAGACATAGGATGAAATGCATGTTTAATTTATGTGTTGTTTTTAGGAAAAAGAGTTTGTGTTGGAGAAGGCCTGGCCCGCATGGAGTTGTTTTTACTACTGACCCACATTTTGCAGCATTTCACCTTGAAACCCCTGGTTGATCCGAAGGACATTGACACCAGCCCACTTGTCAGTGGGTTCGGCTCAGTACCACCCTCCTATGAGCTTTGTTTCGTTCCTGTCTGAGGAAGGGGCAGGTTGCAGAACAAGACTCTCACCTCATCAGAAGGAGCCAGACGCTCTGTGTGTTGCGTTAGCCATTATAACAGGAGGAATGACATTCATGAGCTCTGTCTCTTCTGATTTCCCCATCCTTTACAAAATAAAACGATAGCCCTAACTGGTTTGATTCGTTGGTAGAGCATTCGGACCAAAGGGTCCTAGGTTTGATTCCAGTCAAGGACATGAACCTTGGTTGCAGGCTATACCCTGGCCCGGGCCCTGGCCGGGGCTTGTGCAGAAGCCAACCAATTGGCATGTTTCTCTCACGTCAATGTTTCTCTTTGTCATTCCCTCTCTCTTCCACTCTCCCTAAAATCAATGGAGAAATATCCTCAGATGAGGATTAACAAAATAAAACAAAAGAAATAAAACTATAAAGCCTCTACTGTGAGACATAAGAGAAAGTCTTTAGACCTTGAACTCTGCTAAAATTTTTCAAAAATGGGCCACAAAAAGTACTAATTATATGAGATCGATAAATAGGTCTTTAGTTAAATTAGTATTTAAACTATCTATTCATCAAAAGACACTATTTAAGATACTCGAAAGGCAAGGTACAGACTGGGAGAAATATTTCCAATGAATATATCCACAAAAGGACTTATATCCAGGTTTCATAAAGAACTAAACACAACACAAAGACAGCCAAGTATTTTTTGAATGGGCAACATGTTTGAAGAGTCACTTCACAGAAGAGAGGTTTTATGTGGTCAGTAAACATGAGAAAGAGTCCTCCACTTTATTAGTTGTGGGGGGGGGGGGAATAAAAATTAAAACCACACTGAATTACTCATGTGTACCTACCATCTGCTAACACACATGTTCTAGGCGAGCAGGGATCTTTGTTTTACTCACTAACAAATATCAATCGGCTGGAGGAGTGCCTGGCACGTATTGGCTCAGTAAATATTTGATAAAAAGAATGACAACTTGAATGAATTAAGAATGAGTGAGTGAATTTCTCTTTGAAGGTGGATTTGACCATGTCTGTTAAAATGTAAATGCAAATACCTGTCTTTCAAGTAATTCCACTTCTTATGTATTTATATCATGGATATTCTTGAAGGTGTCACTTAATTGTATGGATATGGATGTTCATTTCATGATTATTCATGACAGATTTGAAAAAAATTAAAGTGCTTCTGGAAGTGGTAAGTACATTGTGGTGCATCTTTACAATATGCAATAGGTAAAAACAATCTTCACAGCGATATAATTTTGAAATCTTTATGAGGTGGTTGACTCTATTCTCATATGAAAACAACATATTTAGTCCTTATAATTAACCAAGTCTAAAGAACACAATATCCCTCAGCTGGTCCTTCTCCATCTGGATTCCAGTGTCTGTGTGGGTACCAGATCCCACAAATAGTAGCTCACGTTTTTAGCGTTTGACAGTATGCTCTGCCTGAATCATCTCCTGTGACCCTTCCAACAGCCTTCAGATATCAGGACTGGTACTCATCATTTCTTAGATGAGAAGAGTGAGGCACACCAAGGTGAACTATCCCGCCCAAGGACACTTACTTTATAAGGCAGAGACAGGACTTGCACCATGACCATCTGACGTCAGAAGCCACCTCTTAATCAACAAGCTACACTCCCTTTCAGAATGTACTCAAGGAATGACTGTGTGATGAGTGAATGGGGTCAGGGATTGAAATCGGGACAAACCAGGTGCCCCAGCCTGTTCCCAGAGCTCACTCCGGGGCAGGCGCTGTGGGGCTGGGAGGGAAGGGGGTCCCTTCCCGGAAGCCCAGTGACATGGTGGAGAAGTTAATCCTGGCGACGCCGGAGCAGCTCGATACGTCTCACTCTCTCCCGGAGGACAACGTTTCAATCTGGAGAAATTACCGGGAAGCAGTTCATGGAAGTCACGGAGAGTCCCCCACATCGGGCGGTGGCTGTGAGGAGAATGTGCAAGCAGGGGGCTGTCTGAGGGCGAAGCTGTTCAGCCAAGAACAAGCACATAGTGGCTTCGCTTGTGTTCACTCTGCATGTGGACGGTGATAACAGTTTTCAGAAGTTTTATTACGTAGACCATTTGTGTTGCTCTTGTTGTGTTGTGCAGTCTAGAGACTACAAGTAGCAGATCTCAATTCCACAGGGTCGTCCACTTTCCCCTAGGCTCACATTTTTTGTGAGCAATTCAGATACTAGAATCCCTTGATTTATCAAAACACTCTTCCTTGATGTTATTGTTATCTGTACCCCCGTGGGAAGAGAAAGCAAAAGATGCTTCTGGGCCTTAATATATACCTATTGATTAAAATAATAGCTTTGCCCTAGCCGGTAGCCCTAGCTGGTTTGGGGCAAGGAGCTCCCAGGATGACCCCATAGGGGATTCCTCACAGGAGCTGCTCCTCGACAGGCCTTTCCCTTCTCCACTCAGAGCTGCCCCTGTGCTCTGGAAGGTTCCGGGGTAAGGAGCTCCCAGGTTGATCCCAGGCCCCCAGATTCCTGTGATCCTCTCGAAAGACCTGCTGCTGTTACTCTCTCTGTCGGTTCTGACTGTGCTGAGGGAAATGGCCTGCTTCACGTAGGTGATTAGAGTTGTGGGCATAGGGTTGTTCAGAATATTCCTTTATGATCCTTTTAATGTCCACGGCATCAAAGCCTCCTTCTCACTCGGACAACAGTAATTTGTGTCTTCTCTCTTTTCAGGGGGCACTGGCTATATGGGTTTATCAATCTTACTGAACTTCCAAAAACGGGTTGTTTTTTTAAAAATTATTTTTCTCTATTGATTTCCTGTTTAAAAGTTGTTGTTTTTTTATTTCTGTTCTAATTTTTATTTTTAGATTTCTATGGCTTTCTTTGTATTTAATTCCTTGCTATGACTGATCCCGATCCCGTATTTCCCTACTCACTGAAACTGCTCCTGAACGCAGTTTTTATCTTTTAAATCCAACACCTCAGGTAACTCTCAGTGACACACAGCCACACAGAGAGCTTTTCTCTGTGCCTCCTTAGGACCAGCAGGCCTCTTTGTGTTACTTCCTTTCTTTTTTTTAATCCTCACTCGAGGATGTTTTTCATTGAGAGAGTGGAAGAGAGAGGGAAAGACAGATAGAAATACGTCAATCAGTGCTTCCTGCATGCGCACCGAGCAGGGCCTGGGTCGGGGAGGACCCTGCAATCGAGGAATCGAACCCAGTACCCTTCAGTCCGCAGACTGTTGCTTTATCCACTGAGCCAAACCAGCTAGGGCAACTTTCTAACACTTTTTCACCTGGCTTATGCACAAAGGAAGGAAAGTCTGAGAACGGGCTCAGCAAATAATGCTTTTTATTGAGAACATGCAGAGGAGAAGCGGCTCTGCCCTGGCGCACAGTAATCAGCTGCTCTATTCACATTGGCTACCCAGTACCACTCGGCATCGTGTTAGCATACGTGTGGCCAACACACACGCTTCCGAGTATGGAGAAGAGCAGATCCGTGTCCCAGTGAGACTCGGAAATTCTCCTTTCCTGGATCCTGAGTGAAGGGGGAGATGAGGAGTGGAGAGGTCAGAGAAGAGACCCCAGGAAAGGGAGGGAGAGGGAAAGAGATGAGTGATGCCCCCGGTGAGAGGGGGTTGCTGATGGAAGATCTATGCCTCCTCACACAGGAATGAAGCAGAGCTGGTAAGGAGGCGGCACAGAAGCAAAGCCATTCATAACCGGGGTGATGTCAAGGTCCTTTATATCGACCACAGCTTTCAAGGTAAAATTCTGTAAGATGGCGGTCAGGAATAAAAACAGCTCCATGCGGGCCAGGCCCTCTCCTGCACACATCCGTTTTCCTGAAAAATAACACACAGAGAGAGTAGATAATCCTTGAACACTGATTTTTCTGGATGTCAGAAAGAGAATGTGCAGAAATTATTGGATGGTTGGATGGATGGATGGATGGATGGATGGATGGATGGATGGATGGATGGCAGAATGATTGGATACACAGATGGACAAATGATGGACATATATCCTGTCCACCCAATATCTTATCCTACCAGGTATTCTTCTTTCAACAAATATTTATTGAGACTCAGCACTATACCAAGTATCTCATTAAGTGTTCTCACTTTATAACTTCTCTTCCAGGTTTCTATCAGTCTTTTTCTAAAAACACGCATACATTGGTTGTACTTTCTGTTTGTAGCCTGATGTTTCATGGTCGTTCTTCACATTCTCATAGCCTTTGTTCTTGCTCCACGTATACTTACTCTTCATCAATCTCCAGCACACCCTGAAGTTCTGGTTTTGTACCACATTGTTCTTTTTGGCTGGGATGCATGCACTTCTCATATTTTCAGTACTAAGCTCAGATTTCACTTCTGAACTTGGAAGAACCGAGTCCACTCTCCAAAACCCTGGTGATCTGGCCTAATAACAAGAGTGGGCCATGAGGAGAGAAAGTGTGTGGGCCTGGGGAGAGGTGCTTCTGGCCATGGACAAAGAATAGTTCTACCAGTCCCAGGGTGAGGGTACATAAGTTCCAACTGATTCCCAAAAAATATCCCACCCTCTGAAGTACCAAAGACAATAAATTTGTAGCCTAGTCAGTGTGGCTCAGTTGGTTGAGCATCATCCCATGCACCAAGAGGTCACCGGTTCGATTTCTGGTCAGAGCACAATCCTGGTTGCAGGCTCGACCCTCATTAGGGGTCATGCAGGAGGCAGCCCATCAATATTTCTCTCTCATTGCTGTTTCCATCTCTCCTTTCTTCCTCTCTCTCTTAAAAAAATCAATTAAAAAACATTTTGAAAAAAAGAAGAAAATAAATTTGTATTACCTGCTGAGAAAGCCATGAAGTAGTCACTCTTCTTGAAGTTGCCTGCCTCATCCAGGAAGTGGCCAGGATCAAACTTCTCTGGGTTGGGGAATTCTTTGTCATCTCGCAGCACAGAAGTCAGAGATGTTATAATGGTAGTGCCCTAGAAAGAACAGAAGGTAAAGTGAGTTATGAAGAAGTTGTGGAGCCCTAGCTGGTTTGGCTCAGTTAATAGAGCTTGGGCCTGTGGACTGCAAGGTCCTGGGTTCGATTTAGTCAAGGGCACATGCCTGGGTTGCATGCTCAATCCCCAGTGAGGGCATGCAGAAGGCAGCCAATCAATGATTCTCTCTCACCATTGATGTTTCTATCTCTCCTTTTCCCTTCCTCTTAGAAATCAATAACAATATATTTACACACACACAAATATATATATATATATATATATATATATATATATATATATATATTTTTTTTTTTTTAAGACTAACTGCTGGCTATTAAAATTTGAAAAAGCCAAAACCGATTTGGCTCAGTGGATAGAGCATTGGCCTGTGGACTGAAAGGTCCCAGATTCAATTCCGGTCAAGGGCATGTACCTTGGTTGCGGGCACATCCCCAGTAGGAAATATGCAAGAGGCAGTTGATGGATGTTTCTCTCTCATTGATGTTTCTAACTCTCTATCCCTCTCTCTTCCTCTCTGTAAAAAATCAATAAAATATATTTTTTTAAAAAATAAAAAATAAATAAAATGAAATTTGAAAGAGAAAAAAAAGTTGTGGAGCTGGAAGAAAGATTGCAAGTCCTTTAGTCCAATTTTATGATCTATAGATGAGGAATCCTAGGTCCTAAGAAGGACGGTGGCATTGTGAGCCAGAGAGAACAAGTAATAAACAATGGGCAGTGTAAGACCAGTGACAGGGCCGTTGCTAAAGTGAATCCCAATAGCATCTGAAGTACTGAGCACATGGGTCCTAGGGTGGCAGGCCTTCTGAATCCATTCTGCCATCACCACGTTTGGACACTGCTGTGTGTCTCCACACCTACTTTATTTTATGGCTTCAACTTTCCCTCATCTCATAGGTAGATTATGGTTTAAAAGGGAAGGTTTAAAAAAACAGAAGTTGGAACTTGAAATGTCTGAAGTTATCTGTTCATAGGGCTTTTATAAACAGACATCTGATCTAATCGAAATAAATTTTCTGTAGTAATGACAATAAATACAAATATTAGTCTTATCATTGCCATGTGGATTGTTTGTAACAACTATTAGTCTTATCGTTGCCATGTTGATTGTTTTCTCTTGTTTTAAAAACATAGAAGCAAAGAACAAACTGATGGTTGCCAGAGGGAAGAAGGAGAGGGCACAGGCTGGGCTAAGGGACTCCCCCCACCCCCCGGTACACGAATTTCATGCACCAGGCCTCTAGTTGAAAAATAAAATTCAAAAAATAAAGGTTGAGTTCTAGCTGATTTGGCTCAGTGGATAGAGCATTAGCCCTCAAACTCAAGGGTCCTGGGTTTGATTTTAACCAAGAACATGATGCAGGCTCAATGCCTGGCCCAGGTCAGGGCACATGTGGAAGGCAACAAATCAATGCGTCTTCTTCACACTGATGTTTCTCTCTTTCTCTCCCTTCCACTCTCTCTAAAAATCAATGGGAAAATATCCTTGAGTGAGGGTTAACAACAACAACAACAAAATACTGAGTTATACACCTGAAACTAATATAACATTGTATGCCAACTATAACTTAACAATTTTTAAATAAATAAAAATATACAAGGGGGATTTAATTACAGATTAATCCTAGCCTACAAACACAGAATGTTAAAATTAGAGAAAAAAATAGTCATCGTTTTACAACAATTTTAGAATTATTAATCTAGTCAAGTTTTATCAATTAACATTAAAACTGTGGGGTGAATAATTAGTTGCCTCCCATGCTTGCTCACACCAGGATCAGATTTGCAACCTCAGTATATGCCCTGATTGGGAATTGAATCTATAACCTTTTGGTGTATGGGACATGCTCCACCCACTGAGCATGATTCCCAGTGTGAGGTGTGCAGGAGGCAGCCAATCAATGGTCCTCTCTCATCATTGATATTTCTATCTCTCCCTCTTCCTTATTCTCTGAAATCAATAAAAGCATATTAAAAAAAAATTAAAGAAAGCCCCCTTCCAATTGGGAGTGGACACCACACCTATTAATTGAAAGATTCACTGTGTCATGATGCTAAGACTTTACAAACTGATCTAATGACACCCTGGTAAAAGTCCCAGCAGATTGTTTTGGCAAATTGACAAACTGATACTAGCGTTAGTTTAGAAATGTAAGCAACTAAGATTCACCAAACAGTATTAAAGAAGTAGGACAGATTTGCAAGAGCTACACTGCCAGATGCCAGAACCTGTTTTACAGGTTGATAGTCTCAACTGGAAACACTTGAGTCCCTCCAGCAGCCTCAAGTGTGGTTCCTGCCATCTCTCATCTTGCTGGTGGGAAATGAACCCCATACTGTGAAATGGGACCTTCAAGGCCCCGGAGGTCAGGGTGGGTGAAGCACAGCTTACCTTGGGGATGAGGTAGTTTCTGAATTTAACGTCACAGGTCACCGCATGGGGCAGGTTGGTGGGGAGGAGGTTCATGTATCTCTGGACCTCGTGCACCATAGCATCCATGTAGGGCATGTGGCTCCGGTCCTGCATGCAGGGGCTCCGCTCTCTGCCGACCACGCGGTCAATCTCTTCCTGGACTTTAGCTGATAAGAGAGATGGGAAACAGGACAATGCATACCGTGTTCACATACTGATTCAGGGATACATGCAGCACTAGGGTGTTTGGATGTTATTATAAACATCAGTGATATGCCCAGAAATAAACCCAGACATAGAGAAATAATTGCCATGTAGACACATACAGCTCTCCTACAAGCTAGACGTAAGATACATCAACCCTATATAAGCATATCTGATGATACAAACAGAAATGAAATGGTCAAGAAATTACAATCCTTATACAAAGAAAAATAGGAAATCAAACAATTTTATATCAAAATAATATGTGGGTTGAAAAGTTAAATGATAATATACGTTTTGTGTATTTGTATGTTTTGTGTATTTCTAGCTCTCTTTCCCTCTCCCTTTCTCTCTGAAATCAATAAAAGTTTATTTCAAATAAACAAATAATGATTTCTATTTTTTACTTGCCTATTTCCTGGTATGGAAGGTGAGAATTTACTTCTCCATCCCCACCTCATACAAAACACACACAAACACACACTCAGTCCCCTTTATTCTGTTTTCCCCGATATAATTAGATCACATTTCAATACCATCCTGACTATACAGTATATCCTCTCTGGTAAGACGACTAAGACGATGTTTCATTTTTGGTACTTTCTTGGACTAAACCATGATTCTTTCATTCAATTCATAATTTTCTATATCTTGATTTAAAGTTCTTTTTTTCTTTCCTTTTTCTCTTCCTCCCTTTCTCTCTCTACCCCCTCTCTCTTTCTCCCTCTCTCTCTTTTTGCTACAGAAGCTTTATTGTTTCATTTGGTCCAATGCATGGGAGAGGGCCTCAGGGTGGTTAAAAGAAGAGCTAGCAGTTTGGGGGAGAGGCTCAGGGAAAAGCCAGACACCAGGGGATGCAGAGGGCCCCTCAGTGCCTCAGGGCTCTAGGCTCCTGGGCGTGTGGAGGGTGAGCCGTTCTAAGAGACACTCACCCACCAGCCTGGCCTGGGGGTTTGGGAGGCCGGCCAGCTGTGGGGTGAGCCAGGTGTCTCCCATCTTCTTGATGCGTTTCATCTCCTTGCCCGGAAGTGGTTCTCCCGGAAGTGAGTCACGAGCTGAGGGACTGTGCTGGTAGAACCAGGGCCTGCAGCTCCCGAAGGGCCTGGTCCGTTCCTCTCCAAGGCCAGGGCGGCCTCCCTGGCGCCCTGAGTGTTACCCCCTCGTCCTGGGGAGGCGCAGCCCAGCCCGTCGGAGAGAATGCGCTGGATTTGCAACTTTAAGAGCTTCTTCTCCACCATCTCGTGGGAGCAGTGGCCGCGCCCAGAGAGAGGTAGGTGGGCGCCTGCAGGTGCAGGCCGGGCGGCTGGCGGCAGCCTCCCCCTCGGTGGGGTAATTCTGACGGCTTTGGAAGCTCATGGTTGTCCGGCAATAAGGAGTTACGATAGAAAAAAGTGCTGGCTGGTCCCGGAGGTGGTTCTGAAGGGGGATCTGAAGGGGGCGCCTGGCTAAGACGCTGGAAGGCGGTCGGAGGCTGGAAGAAGGGGTGTCCGGTGTCTGGGGGGTCCGTTCCTTCCAAACACTGTTGAAGCAAGAGTCGGACCTGGGACCGCCGAGGGCATGATGGATTCAGAATTATTTCTAGATACTGAGGCAGAGGTTTCCAACTGCTAATAACAATTTCCCCGTTATTAGGAAACCTCAGGTAATCGGTCATTTCCTTTTTTTCTTGGTATCTCCCCTCACACCTGCTTTATCCGCCTGATCATTTTGAAGTGGATACTTCCTAGACCTGGCATCTAGCAAGCTCCCTGACAATCTCCTCCTCCTTTGAGCCTTTCTGATTCCTCTGACATGAAAACAGACATTTGGATGTAAAAAGGGAAGAAAAGCAGTGGGGTGTAAAGTTTTTGTCAGGCGTACAAGTCTGAGAATATACTCTTGAGAATTCTGATAGTGTTCTCAATCCCATTCCTTACACACGGATTGCATGATGCAGCTCTCTGGAAGTTTTTGTGATTTTTTTTTTTAATCCTGCTGTTTCTGACCCCGTGTCTTGGATGCTTTTATTTCACTCACTCTGATATACGCATCAAGGGGATTTTCTATCTGCATGGCAACTATGGAGGTCTTTCCTCCAGACCTGTTCTCTCTCTGGAGTTTTTTAAAAATCTGGCTGCTGAATTTCAGGAAGTAGGATGGGGAAAGAACCTAAGAGTATCTGAATTCAAGAAATAGATTCTTACCTAAGGTTTCTTTTCAGCCCTACACCTCACTCTTTCCCTCTCATTTCTCTAGAAAGTAAATCTCCCTCATGGTATTGAGGGAAAACAGTTACCAGGTAAAAGCTGTTGTCAAAGGGACTTGGGCAGGGAGAGCTACCTTTTCCAGCCTGTTCCTACTTCTATCTTCTTTGACAGTGGTACTTCTAAATACCCAAACTTATACCCAGCCAGTGTGGCTCAGTGGTTGAGCATCAGCCTATGAACCAGGAGGTCATGGTTTGATTCCCAGTCATAGCATATACCTGGGTTGTGGGCTCAGCTCCCAGTGTGGGGCTTGCAGGAGGCAGCCGATCAATGATTCTCTCTCATCACTGATGTTTCTCTCTTTCCTCCTCTCCTTTCATCTCTTAAATCTGCCTCTCTGACTCTGGCCAATCCAAGCAGGCTTCTTATGCATGCAAATTATACATGTTCTGAACCCGAAGCTACACTGTGTTCTAGTAAAAAGCCTGCCAGGGCGGTATAGTGCCATCCTAGATTTCCAAGTGAGGTGCTTTCTATCCGTCCTCTTTTCTCTGTTCCCTCTGCTGAGACCTGAATTCAGACCACTGAAAAAGCCCGGTTGACTTTTTTTCGTTTCAAAAGTCGTCTTATACGCCGAAAAATACGGTAATCCCTTCACCTTTGTCATCCAGCCTAACCAAACCTCTCCCCTCTGCCAGCTGCCAGTCTGCTCCACGTATCCATGCCTCTGTTTCTATTTTGTTGGTCAGTTTATTTTGTTCATTAGATTCTACATATAAGTGAGATCATATGGTATTTGTCTTCCACTGGCTGGCTTATTGCACCCAAGGACCTGATACACACGTCTCCAAAGAGGACATACAGATACCAAGAGACTTGGAAAACCGCTCAGCATCACTAATCGTCAGAGAGCTGTAAATTGAAACCAGGTGTCAGCTCACACCTGTGGGAAGGGCTATCGTCAACAAATTAACAACAAGTGTTGGCAAGGATGGGGAGAAAAGGGAACCCTTGTGCACTGCTAGTGGGAATGCAGACTGGTGCAGCCACCGTGGAAAACAGTATAGAGGTTCCTCAAAAAATTAACAATGGAACTGCCTTTTGACCTAGTGATCCCACTTCTGGGAATGTATCCTAAGAATCACAAATAACTTTTCCTCCTCATGGAACTTCCTCTTCTGACACTGAGGTTACAATTTCATCCTCTCTACTGAGTTCATTATCTTCCCTCTATATGCTCTCTGCATTTCAGAAATTTGTTGGCTATTTCCTGACCTCCTCTTATCCAGCTTTAGAAGACCAATTCTCATCTGCAATAGGTTGTAACCATTTTAGTGGGATTTTAACTCAGGAAAAAATAATGTATGTTTCTAAACTGCTATGCATAACCGTAACTCTGTAAAGGTATATTTCTGTCCTAGCCAGTTTGGCTCAGTGGATAGAGCATTGGCCTATGGGCTGAAGGGTCCCAGGTTTGATTTCGGTCAAGGGCATGTTCCTCAGTTGCTGGCTCCTCCCTGGCCTACACTGTGGTCAGGGCTAGTGCAGGAGGCAACAACTGATGAATTTCTCACACATCCATATTTCTCTCTCTCTTTTCCTCTTGCTTCCACTCTCTCTAAAAATCAAAGGAAAAATATCCTCGGGTGAGGATTTTTTTTAAAAGACATATTTCTAGCATAAAGTGCTTTGTAAAAGATCTTGTTTTGGCAATCGAATTCCAGAAAACAGAATTCCAGAAGTCTGTTTCCTTTCTGGAAACAGACTTCTGGAATAACAGAATTCCTTTATGCAATACCTTAAGCCTGAATAGTACCACATTTCTTGTGAATCTCAACTTTTAGGACACTTTCTAGACTGGAAATGATCTCAGGCAGCCTCACTAAGCCTCTCGGATATTCACTTATGCTTCAGTTTCCACTAGAACCCTGCATTTTCAGAACGAGGCGAGATCTCTGCAGGAAGCTACCCTCTGTTTACAAAGTGAGTGGCCTTTTCATAATAAAAACACCCTGCAGTCCCAGGCCAACCCACGCTGGCGTGTGCCTGCCACTCACAGCCTCCCAGGAAATCCAGACCGTGCCTTATGGCTTTGGCTACTGCCCACAGTGTCTGCACTCCTCCCGGCCCTCAGCTGTATTTTAGAAAGACATCCCATTGTTATCTCTTCTTTACACTTGGAGAAACGAAGCCGGTCAGGAGGCATTTTAATAATGACACTTCTCTAAGAGAAACAAGGTGGAATGTCCTTGCCATGACTTCCCAAAGTCTCTCCCGAAATTCACTCTTCCCACCGCGCTGGGCGTACCTAGCACCTCCGGGTGCTTGAGCAGAAGCAGGAGCGCGTATCTCAGGGTGGTGCTCGTCGTCTCTGTCCCGGCTCCAAAGAAGTCAGACACGGTGATTGTCAAGTTGTCAATAGTAAACTCCCCGTGCGGATTGTGCTTTTCCTAGGAATAGTTTGATGAAATTATTTGACAAACTCATTTGCCAGAGTTCCAGTTAATCCAAAATAATTCATTTGTTATAAAGTTAAGCCAGCATACAAACTGCAAGATGCAATTTTAGAAAACAAAACAAAACAGCTCAACAACAAAGATAAGGACTTGAATGACATTTATCCGAAGATTAGAAACAGGTAACGGCACAGGAAAACATATTCACTATCACTGGTCATCAAGGAAATGTAAATCAAAGCCACAGGATACTTCATAGTAACTAGAACAGCTTTAATCATTACAAAAATTAGAAAGTAAGTATTGACAGCTGTCATAAAATGGGAACCCTCATGCACTGCTGGTGGGAATGTAAAGGCTGCAGTCATCATGGAAAAGCTTGGCTGTTCCTCAAATGTTAGACATAAAATTACCACGTCTCATCAACTCCTCTCCTCGGAATGTACCCAACAAAAATGAAAAGAGGTCCATGAAGAAACTTGTCTATAGCATCATTACTCATAAGAGCCAAAGGCAGACACAACACAAATGTCCATCAGTAGATAATGGATAGTTTTCTGAGTACAAGTCCTTTGCCTCCTTGGTTAAGTTTATCCCTAAGTATCTTAATTTCTTTGTTGCAGTGGTAAATGGGATTGTTAGATTAGTTTCTCTTTCTGAGAATTCGTTGTTGGTCTATAAAAAAGCCATTGATTTTGGGTGTTTATCCTTTAAAAAAACACAGCTCTTGGTTTCATTGATTTTATATATATAATTTATTTTTAAATTATAGGGTAAAATAGTTGATTGTTAATTTTTCTTGTCTTTTGAGGTAGGCCTATAATGCTATGAACTTTCCTCTCAGGACTGCTTTTGCTGTGTCCCAGAAATTTGGGGTTGTTGTGTGTTCATTTTCATTTCTTTCCAGTAAGTTTTTTTTTATTTCTTTTTTGATCTCGTTGGTAACCCATTCATTATTTAGTAACATGCTATTTAGCCTCCATGTGTTTGAATGTTTTTGAGTGTTTTTACATTAGTTGATCTCAAATTTCATTCCACTGTGGTTTGAGAAGATCCTTAATATGATTTCAATCCCCTTGAACTTGTAAAGACTTGTTCTGTGTCCTAACATGTGGTCTATCTTTGTGAATGATCCACGTGCACTTGAGAAGAATGTATATTCTGCAGCTTTGCGGTTCTATAAAATGCCAATTAAATCCATTTGATCCAGTGTGTCGTTTGAAGTCACTGTTTCCTTGTTTTTAACTGGAAGATCTATCCAGTGAAGTCAGAGGGGTGTTAAAGTCCCTTACTATGACTGTATTGTTGTTGATCTCTTAAAGTCCTCTAGAACAGTGTTTCCCAAAGTGTGGTACGCCTACCCCCAGGGGTATGGGAAGACTTTGGTGGGGGTACGCGTTGCACTGTGCTTAGCTACGCCTAATTCTACATTCTCATGAGTATGAGGGGTACTCAGTGTTATGAAAATTATAGAAGGGCTACACATATGTCAAAAGTTTGGGAAACACTGCTCTAGAAGTATTTTTCTAATATATTTAGGTGCTCCTATATTGGGTGCATATATGTTTACCTCACTTATATCCTCTTGTTGGATCAATCCCTTTAGTAATGTGTAATGACCTTTGCTGTCTCTTGTGATGGCCTTCATTTTAAAGTCTATTTTGTCGGATATGAGTATTGCTACTCCAGTTTTTTTCTTTTCCATTTGCATGGAAAATTTTTTTCCAGCCCTTCATTCTCATTCTCTGTGTGTCTTTTGTTCTGAGGTGGGTCTCTTGTAGATAACATATAGTTAGGTCACGGTTTTGTTTTTTTTTTATCCATTCAGCTACCCTAAGCCTTTTGATTGGAATATTTAATCCATTTACATTTAGGGTTATTACTGACTAGAGGCCCTTTGCACGAAGATTCATGCAATAGGCTTTCCTTTCCCTGGTTGCTGGCACCAGTTTTCCTCCAGCACCCACGACCCAGACCTTGGCTCTGGCCACCACCCTCCATCATCAGTCTGGCCAGAGTCTTTGCTACAGCTGGAGCCTTCAGTCTTTGTTTCCGGTGGAGCACTGCTCTTGTAACTCCCTCCCCCTCATTGCAGGTGTTCCGCCCTGCCCGGCCACTCCAGCCTTCATGTGTGCTGCCCAGAAGCCAGAGCAGCTGGTGGGCAGCGCCGCCATCTTTGTTGGGTTAATTTGCCTATTTATCTTTTATTAGTGTAGCTAGGTACTTATTTATTCCATTATATTTCTGTATTTATTTAGCTTCCCCCCCACCCCCCCCCGGAAGCTCTTTATTTGACTATTTTGAATGATAGCCTTGCTGGACATAGTAATCTTGGTTTCAGATCCTTTCTTTCCATGATCTTGAGTACTTCATGCCATTCCCACTGGCCTGTAGAGTTTCTGATGAGAAATCCAATGCCAGCCTTATGGGAACTCCTTTGTAGGTAACATTTTCTCTCTTTGTCTTTAATTTTTGGCATTTTAATTATAATGTCTCTGGGAGTGGGATTACTGGGTCAAATGGGAGTTCCATTTTCAGTTTTTTTGAGGAAACTCCACATTGTTCTCCACAGTGGTTGCACCAGTCTGCATTCCCACCAGCAGTGCACGAGGGTTCCTTTTTCTCTGCAATCTCGCCAACACTTGTTGTTTGTTGATTTGTTGATGTTGGCCATTCTGACAGGTGTGAGATGGTACCGCATTGTTGTTTTGATTTGCATCTCTCGGATAATTAGTGACTTTGAGCATGTTTTCATGTGCCTTTTGGCCTTCCTTCTGTCTTCTTTTGAAAATATTCTATTAAGGTCCATTGCCCATTTCTTAATTGGATCATTCATCTTCCTTTTATTTAGTTGTATAAGCTGTCTGTAGATGTTGGAGATTAAACCTTTATCCGTGGTATTATTTGCAAATATGTTCTCCCACACCGTGGGCTTTTTTTTTGTTTTGTTGATGGTTTCTTTTGCTGTAAAAAAGCTTTTTATTTTGATGTAGTCCCATTTGTTTATTTTCTCTTTAGCTTCCATTGCCCTAGGGGCAGTATCAGTGAAGAAATTCTTTTGGCATACGTCTGAGATTTTGCTGCCTGTGGATGCTTCTAATATTTTTATGGTTTCCCATCTGATGTTTAAGTCCTGTATCCATTTTGAGTTTATTTTTGTGTATGGTGTAAGTTGGTGATCTAGTTTCATTCTTTTGCATGTGTCTGTCCAATTTTCCCAACACCATTTATTGAGGAAACTGTCTTGACTCCATTGTATATTTGTGCCTCTTTGTCAAATATTAATTGAGCATAGTGATTTGGGTTGATATCTGGGTTCTCGATTCTATTCCATTGATCTATATGTCTGTTATCCCAAGAAACTAGAAACACCAATCAGAAAGGATATATGCACCCGTATGTTCATAGCAGCACAATCTACAATAGCCAGAATTTGGAAACAGCCTAGGTGCCCGTCAGCAGATGATTGGATCAAAAAACTATGGTACATCTACACAATGGAATACTATGCTGCCATAAAAAAGAAGGAATTCTCATCATTTGCAGCAATCTGGATGGAATTGGAGAAAATCATGCTGAATGAAATAAGCCAGTCAATAAAAGAGAAATACCACATGACCTCCCTCATTTATGGATAATAAAGAACATTATAAACTGATGAACCAAAAGATAGATATAGAGACAGTAAAGCAACAAGCAGACTGTCAAATTACAGTGGGGAGGTGAGGGAGATCTGGGGGTGATAATAGATCAACTGAAGGACTTGTATACATGCATATAAGTACAACCAATGGACATAAAACTCTGGGGAGGGAGGGTACGTATGGGAGGGAGGGGGGGCAAAAAAAAATCAATAAAAAATAAAAAAATAATAAAATAAAAAAAATAAAAATAAATAATGTCTCTGGGCATGGACCTGTTTGGGTTCTTCTTGCTTGGGGTTCTCTGTGCCTCCTGAACTTGTGTGATTTTCTCCTTTATCAGGTTAGGGAAGTTTTCTGCCATTATTTCTTTAAATCTGTTTTCTATCTCTCCCTGTTACACCTCTCAATCTCTAATACAGGACAGTGTTAACTGCTGTTTCTGACTAATTAGATCAGGCAAACACTCAAAGCCTCAAGAGACTGCCTCTGCCTGCAGACTGATTGGATGCAGCCTTGAGTAGCCCTCAGGTAATCATTAACAGGACAAGGTAGTTGCTTCTGCTTGGAGGCTAGTTGTTCTCAGTCTCTTAATGGGCCTCAGAAGCTTCCCAGTCTGGGGCAAGGTGTTTTTCCCTCAGGTAATGTCACCTGGATAGCAAATGTCTGCATGAGAAAGATGACCTCCACAGCATGAGGGAATGACTCAGCACAAGAAACCAGGGTGTCTGCCTTCTGAGATCTAATCCCAGAGCCCCCAACCCTGATTTCTGCTCACACAGCTCTATAGTCCACTCTGCCAGAGACCAAGGTGAGTGGCTGCACACGGAATTTTATGTGTTGGCCTTTGAAGAGGGTGCCTGCATTTCCAGCCCATCTCTCCCTGTCAGACAGCTTCCCTGCTGCTTTTCACAGCCAGATGTTATGTGGATACCTTTCTCAATTCTGGTGCTCTCTGCTGGGGTCCCGGAGTTCTCAGTGTCAACACCCCCCCCACACACACAGCTGAGATCTCTCTGGAACTTCAGCTGCTATTGGTGGGAGGCCCTCCAGCCCTTTCGCATCTCTGCTCTTCCTCCCAGTCTCTATGTGGTCTCCACTTTATGTCCTTGGTATCAGAGTACTCTCCAGCTAGTCTTCCATTGATTATTCAGGATTTTTTTTTTTTTTTTGTATTCTAGTTGCAATTCCAATTTGGTCCTGGGAGTGTGTCTGTGTAGCATCCATTTATTCCACTGCCATTTTTAATCCAGTCAATTGATTTTTTTTTCTTTGATCATATTTTTATTCAAAATTAGCTGTCCAAAGTGATTTGACCGTTATGGGATAAACAAATTTAAGCTTATGCCACGGGCTTCTTTTCCTCTGTGGTGGGTTTCTTTTCTGGGGGCTTCTCAGCTGCTGGCTTCTTGGCAGCTGCAGCCTTTTTCCCCATCAAAGGCTTCTTCTGCTTCTTAAGGCCACAGCCTTCTTTCCTTTCTTCCATCACAAGCTTCTTGCCTGGAACCCCCTTCTCATCTGGTTTGGCTTCCAGTGCTGCTGCTGCTTTTTCCATCCGAAGCTTGTTGATTCTTGGCTTGACAAAGGACGGTATTCTGGCGCATGGTCTTGCCTATGGGTGTAGCTTCCACATGATTCTCAGGTTTTTCAGTGGATTCTTCTTCAGGGCTCTGCGGCGAACCTTCTTGCGTGGTGCACGCAGGGCTCTTTGGATCTCAGGGCTTTTCCAGATTCTTCTCGGGTCCGTAGTGAGCATCCTGTGCATGGGAAGGTTGTAGTTACTCTTGACGGAGGCAGATCTACGCCAAGTGCCATACAGCTCATCTGACTTGCGGAAAGCACCTTCGGTCCAAACGCAGAAGCGGCCCACATGCCCCCCAGGTGCAAGTTTCAAAATGTTCAGTTTGCTTACATTAAGCAGAGTAATTCCAGGGGTGTTTCTGAAGGCGTTGATGATACCGTTGTCCTCGTTAGAGATGACACAAGGTCCCCTGCGCTGGGTACGGCGTCGGTTTCTCATTTTGCCCCTGCCAGCCCTCATTCGCCGAGAGGCATAGACCTTTTTTATTTCATTCCAGGCTTTAAGTTTCTTAAGAAGCGAAACAGCCTCCTTGGTTTTCTCGTAGCCTTCAACTTTATCTTCAACCACCAAAGGAAGTTCCGGAACTTCCTCAATATGGTGACCTTTAGACATGACCAGTGCTGGTAAGGCTGAGGCGGCGAGGGCAGAGCAGATGGCATATCGTTTCTGTGTTGTGTTTACTCTGCGGTGCCAACGGTGCCAGGTTTTGGTTGGTGCAAACATGCAGCCCCCACGACACATATTTCCAAAAGCACCCCGGCCAGAGCGATGAGTTCCACCACCTCGGACTCTGGGAAATCGAGCCACAGCTCTGCCAGTGCCCCAGGACTCAGCACTGGTTTGATGACCTGCCAATTCACTGACAGCAGAGGGCTGTCTATTGTTTTTGCGCAAGTTGGTGTGAACAAAGTTCACAATATCTGGTCGAATGGGAGCCTTAAACACAGCCAGTCAATTGATATTTGACGAGGGTGCCAAGGCAATTCACGTGCAAAAAATAGTCTTTTCAACAAACGGTGCAGGATTCGTGCCTACTGACACCAACTTCCAACTCCATTCCTATGCCAATTCATTTATTTTACATTCAATGAAGGCTTGTCTCTTCCATTCACCTGTTTCTCACCACAACCTCTCACCTCTATATATATCATTCACCCTTCCCTTCTGAAATCCTCTCCTCTGTCCTTCACTTATAAATATGTTAAGATTTACTTCCAACACTGGATGTGCAGGAAGCGCAGCAAGGTAAAGCCATGCTTTTCCATTCTCTTACACCCTGTTGGCCAGGTCATGTCCATGTTCACATCATGGCATGCTGTTCTGTATTTTCTAATTTGTTTGTAATTGTTTCTGTTTCACCTCAGACATCGTTCTGTCTTTCCTCAGGTACATTATTAGTACCTAACAAACAGGGTTAATGTAGTCCACTTATTTAACAATTCACTGTTCATTTAACAACCTGATAGTATAGCTTCCATATTGCTTGGTGTAGATTCATGCACACTGTATTTCCTTAAGATGTTTTTCAGAATTACTTGCCTGACCATTGAAATATCTCTGATAAATACAAAAAATATTCAGTAAACCACACGATGCACAAGCAATCAAATAACTTGAGTGCTTGGTGACATTTTACCTGCTCCATTTTGATCAGGAAATAATCAATAAGGTCTCGAGGATTGTGAATGTCCAGGGATGCTTGATGTTCCTTTGTTTGCTCTATAACATAATCTCTTACAAAAGCAATATTTTTTAATATGTTGTTTTGACTCCCTGGGAAATAGTCCAGGAGTGCAGGGTAAAGGTTGTAGATCTAGAAGAGAAAAGGATAGTGTATCCGATAAAAACCACTTAATGAAGACATATACCCTATGCTAAGCCCTAGTCAGAAACTGTACTATAAATATGGTCTCTGTTTTGAGGGGGAATTCCATTTTACAAATATGTAACTTTCTGCACTGATGGGTGTATTTGAGGGAGAAAGTTCTGACCAGAGGAGCAAAGATGACAATCAGTTCCATGCACACACATCATGCTTAGAGTGTAAAAACAGGTGCCTATCAGTTCTCTCGGGATTTTTTTTTTTTTACATCAATTCTTCCCTGAAATCTGGAAATACTGAAATCTGGGATGGCATGAAATACTATGATGCACATTTTGTAGATGACAACAGAGGGGAAGGGAGTTTGGGCAATCTGATTCAGGGCACAAAAACGCATCCTTGCTGTTTCTATTTCTGTCTAGTAGCCTCAGATGAATCAGTATCTTAGAACTGGGAGGGTCCTGGTGATACCATGAGATACAACTCAGCATCTGTATATATAAAAGGCTAAGTGACCACTGCATCTGAAACAATTGAATGGACAATGGAACAGGCTATGTGGGGCAACCAGGCTAGCAGGGAGGTTAGTGAGGGGTGACCAAATGGCCAAGCAGCAGGCTGCGTGGGGCGACCAGGCCAGCAGGAGGGGTAGTTGGGGGCAACTAGACCAGCAGGAGGGCAGGGAAGGGCAACCAGGCCGATGGGGGGTGGCACTAAGGGGTGACCAGGCCAGTGGGGGTAGGTATTTGGGGGCAACTATAGCTGCAGGGGGGGTGGGGGTTGGGGGTGACCAAGCCAGCAGGGGAGGGGGCAGTTAGCTGCGATTAGGCAGGCAGGCAGGTGAGCAGTTAGGAGCCAGTGGTCCTGGATTGTGAGATGGATGTCCTGCGGATTGGGCCTAAACCGGCAGTTGGACATCACCTGAGGGGTCCGGGATTGGTGAGAGTACAGGCTGGGCTGAGGGGGCACCTCCCCCTGCTGTGCACAAATTTCAGACACCAGCCTCTAGTTTTATATATAAAGTAACTGCGCAGAGCAGTTACTAGTAAGTGACTTCTTTAAGACCACATCATTATCTTTTAGGCAGATTCCTCGTGAAGAAACAATCTTGGCCTCACCTGAATCCATGGAGAGCTCAGAATCTTGACATTTTCATTAAACCTTTCCATTATGTTTAGGAAAAATTTATCTCTATATTCAAAGCGTTTCTGGAAGATAATGGAGCAGATCACATTGCAGGGAGCACAGCCCAGGATGAAAGTGGGATCGCAGGGTGATGCTAAAGAATCAGAAACAATTTTAAAACACCATTAGAATATACATATGGAACACTTTGGTTATGAAATAACAGGCAAAGGTAATTTAGAAACTATAAAGCCATTATCTTACCTACAAATTTCCTAACAGCAAAATATTCAACATGCATAAAATCAATGCATTACTTTTAGCTTAACCTGAGTATATTTTTTCAACTTAGCTAGTTAAAGAATGGTTTTCTGAAAAAATACTCAATTTTTACCCATTGTCTTTATTTGTACCCAAATATAAATTGTCTTTTCACCCAAGGTGCCTGTTAATTTGGAGGAAAAAAGAAAAAAAAAAACATTTAAAGAGGCTATTTTCATATCATGTCATAATTAAAGTTAGTGCTGAATATCATTTGTCTGCAATGCCTGTAGAAAATTAAGTGCCAAGTGTGGGGGGAAGCAATAGTAAAATACACAGATAATAATTTAATAAAAATAATAAAAAATTTTTTTAAAAAGAAAGAAAATTAAGTGCCGATATAGAGAAAGAATAGGAACAATGTTTTGTGTACGATGAATAATTGAAAGAACCATGTGTAGAAGCAACAGAGGGGGGGCCATAGAGAGGAAGATTGTGGGTGAATTCACATATTTGAATTAACAAGTGTAAAGAAGCAGGAAGCATCCTTATTGTATATCAAGAAAAGCTAATACAAGTAAACAATAATTATAAAATGGATTCTTTTTGCCTCAAATAAAAATGAAATGAGAATTTTTTTTTTATTTCAAACATAAATCCCACATAAGTGAAACAAATTGGAGTTCTTTTAAATCTTTATTTCAATATTTAAAAGAATTTCCCTCCCATTTGGACAGTGTGGCTCAGTGGATTGAGCATTGTCCCAAGTATCATGAAGTCACTGGTTTGAGGTCTCATGTATGTTTCTCTCTCTCTCTCTCCTCCATCTTCTTCTCTCTCTAAAATCAATAAACATATTTTTTTTTAAAAAAATTTCCCCTCCTGGAGGATCCAAGATAGTGGCAGAGTAGGTAGAGGTACACTCACATTCTCCAAGGACCAAACTGGAATTACAACTAAGATATAGAGGCATCTACCTGAGTAACCAACTGAAGACTGGCTGAAGAGATGTCTTATAACCAAGGATTTACAGAAGAAGCCACAGTGAGACTGGTAGGGAGAGTAGAGACATGAAAAGGGCTGGTAGCTGAGATTCTGAAGGGAGATCTCAACTGCAAAGATTCCCCCTGAGAAGTGTGGGGTCTCAACTCCAAGCCAGGCTACCCAGCCCAGAGCATAAGAGCTGGCTGTAAAAATTAGCAGGGATTTTGTTCACCCGGGGGAGATGCAAATCTACTAGAGACACAGTTGCCCTCTTAAAGGGCCCATACACAAAATCTCATTCACAGCCACTAACCCTGGGCTCTGGCAGAGGGAGGGTGGTGTGGACCATAGTTCTATGAGGAGAGACTGGGTTTGTGGCTCTGGGGAGAGAGCCACCAGGAACCCAGTTCTGAGTCGTTCTCTAATACCGCAGGTGCCATCTTTCTTGGGTGGCACACTCCCCTGTGGAGCTTGAACCCTACTGAGGAGTGAGCTGCCCGATACTGTACTGTATGCTTCATACCTTGTTAAGAGGGCAGATCTCGTGTTATGTGCTTTATACCAGCAGTCGCCAACTGGTGGTCTGCAGACCACTGGTGGTCTGTGAGGTCTGAAAGATTGACGATTGCTGCTTTATACTATAAATTTTTGTTTAATGTGGGGAGGAAATAGCAGGGCATAGGATAAAAGGAAATATCTAGTTAGTGGCTTCTAGGCCAGACTCTGTTAAATGTTCTAAGACATTTGGTTCAATGGTTAGAGAGTAGGCCCACAGACTGAAGGGTCCTGGCTTCAATTCTAGTCAAGGGCAGGTATCTCGGTTGCAGTTTGCCTAGGTCAGGAACCCTGTGGAAGGCAACCAGTCAACAATGTTTTCTTCTCTCTGTCTTTCCCCCTCCTTTCCACTCTCTCAAAACAAGAAGAAAAAAAATCAATGGAAAATATCCTCGGGTGAGGATTTAAAAAATATGTCCAGGGCTCTAAGCTTTAAAAAACACATTTCCCCTCCCCTCCTTTTTAATTCTCATCTGAAGATATGCTTTTACTGAATTTTAGAGAGAGAGGAAGGAAGGAAGGGAGAGAGAGAGAGAGAGAGAGAGAGAGAGAGAGAGAGAGAGAGAGAGAAGAGAGAGAGAGAGAGAGAGAGAGAGAGAGAGAGAGAGAGAGAAACATTGATGTGAGAGAAAAACATTGATCAGTTGCTGCCTGTAGGCTCCCCCAACTGGGGACCAAACCTGCAACCTTTTGGTGTATAGGACAATATTCTAATCAACTGAGCCACCTAGCTAGGGCCAAGGGCCCCTACTGTGAGAAATAAGGAAGGTTGATCAGCCGTGGAGGGACCACGGGAGTGCTCTAGGGCATGTCCGGCCCATCTGGCTTAGTCCCAATGGGCCAGACCCCAGCAGCAAGTTAATCTACAGATTGTGGCATCTTCCCCCTTGTGGTCAGTGCATGTCATAGCGAGTGGTTGAGTGGACTTAGCATATCATTAGCATGTTATGCTTTGATTGGTTGAACAGCCGACTGGACACTTAGCATATTAGGCTTTTATTATATAGGATGCTTCTCTCTCTTTCCCTTCCTCTCTGAAATCAATACAAACATATATATTTTAAAAATAAATAAAACAGGGTAATTAGTAAACCAAACCAAAAATCCTTGTCATTTTGACAAAGCACTTTTTGGATCATTACACCAGCTGTGGAAGGCAAATAATTGCCACGTACCTGTTACCAAAGTCCAACAAAGTTGGGGCAAAGTTTAGCAAACTGAAAATAGAGCAAATTCTACTTAGAGAAGACAGGATAAGTTGTACTTGATAATGGTTTAAGTCTAGTTAAATAAAACATTTTGTAATGGCATTTTTTTTGTATTTTGAAGAATTCTAATGTAGCATGTATTCAAAATACATAAATCAATACAGTAACAAAAAGTAATTAATGCCAATATGTTTAAAATAGGCTGTCTCTACAGAGAAGTCATAAGTGATGGGAATTGTACTAAGACATGCCTTAGCGATTAACACCATAGATGGCATCATTATCTTAGAGATGTCTGTGAGGCTGGCCATGCATACATAGGCCATGAAATGCAAGCACCTGCTACTTGTGACGTGCTCCACAAGAGTGGGCTGAGGTCATTCCCAGCACCTCCACCTGACAAGCATCACCTGGTGAAGTGCTCTGGCATAAATGACCCACATTTATGCTACAGCAAAAACATTGTTCCCTGACTTTGTCAAAACATGACTCAAAACTGTTCTTTGTGATTTCACATTTGAAAAGCAAAGTTCAGAGAGGATAGGAATGAATGATCCTTTCTATCCACACTATGCACCATCATAGTGTGCACGCACAATGAGCACGGACACGCAAAACCTCCCTGGCGCTCTGCTCCACACCTTCACTCCTCCATGGGAGGGCTGACACCACTGCCCCTAGGAAGGAGTTGACCACCCTGAAATGTTTCCAGGGTCCCCATTCGAGAAGGGACCTGTCGGTTAAGGTCGGAGTTTATAGGATCACCCACCATTGGTTTTCCTCAGCTCCTCCACCAGGCAGCGGGCTTCCTCTTGAACACGGTCCTCGATGTTCCTCTTCCCCATGCCCAGGTTCCGCAGGGTCATGAGGGAGAAGCGCCGGATCTCCTTCCATCTCTTCCCATTGCTGAAAAGGATTCCTGCAAGGAGGGAAACGGAAAGTGGCAGGGAGGTCCCAGACAAGGAGGAGGAAGCTCTGACACTTGGCGTTCACACCGACCGATGGGCCAAGCTTTCTGAAGAGATCTTAAAATTCCTCTTTTCCATCCTCCCCGTGCCTGTTCCACATGCACACCTACCAAACCCTTTGTTAGCTTTCTCAGCCACTGGGAAGCTGCCTCTTCCAGAAAACTCCTCGCCCCGGTCAATCAGGGCTTCCTTCACAGCCTCGTACCCGTGTAGCACCACCGTGGGCTTCATGCCGAAGTACACAGTGAACACCGGGCCATAGGCTTTTGAGAGCTGGGAAGTAGAAAGATTCAAATGTTAGCCAAAGAAGTCACTATTTGGCAATATATTGTGCCTGATTCAGAATGATATTATTATCCTATTTATGTTTTTACTAGAGGCCTGGTGCATGAAAATTCATGCACTGGAGGGGTGGTCCTTCAGCCTGGCCTGCCCCCTCTCACAGTCTGGGAACCTGCAGGGGTGGGAGGCAACCGGGGATCAGAGGAAGGTGATGCCCCCATCACACCTCTGCTGCTGCCACTGCTGGCAGCACAAGCTTCGGCCAGCCCTGGTTAACTGTGCCTCAGGCAACACAGGACGGCTGAGCAGCCGCCATCCAAAGCTTGCCTGCGCTTCAGGCTGGCCCTGGGAAGCTGAGGGGCTGAGGGCAGGTCTGGCCACACTGTGTGCCTGCCATCCTTTTCTCCCACGGGGCTGAAAGGACTGGGGAACTCTGCCAGGGCTGAGGGGACTGGGCGCCACCATCTTGTGACTATGGGTGCTGCCATCTTTGTGACGGCATGATGGTACATTTGCATATTCCCTCTTTATTAGACAGGATTCTGTGACATGGCCTAGAACATCTCTGAAATTAATACATAAACATGAGGGTGATTGTTAATAGCTGCCACTTACGTGTCCGGCAATGGCCTGGGTAAATTGTACACGTATTACAATTAATCCTCAAAGCAGCATTGTCAGTGGTTCATTTGCCCAATAAGGAAGTCAGGGAATTTCAGTGCCTTTTCTGCATCCCCTCGCTACTATGTACAGATTGAAATTTGAGCCTCTATTTATGCAACCTCGGATCCTTTAGCAACATGTCAATCTCCAACGATCCCACCTGCTCCTTCCAGATCACCCGGGGAGCCCTTGCCATCAGAGTTCTGATTCAGCAGCCCTGTGATGAGCCCATACTTCAACTCTCCCTGGATGATTCTAAGGGCCAGCCCAGTTCACGACTCTCTGTGTTATGAAAGAGGGGAACACCCCGGGGACAGCGCCAGGACATGCGGCATCTCATGGACAAGCAGTTTCTTCCACCTTCAACAGTCCAGGCCACAGGCAGCCACAGAGCTGCTGACTGTGCCCAAACGATCCTGTTACCAGCAAGCTGGCCCCAGTAACTTCTCTCTCTCACTCACACTGTTCCTCATCCCAGTTTTTTCCTTGACCCAAGGTATAATTTGCTTCCTTTGAGAAATACAGTTTGCCTAGCTATTCTGAACAAAACGCAGTGTTTACATAGTAGACTAGAGGCCCAGTGCACAAAATTCGTGCAAGGGGCTCAGCCCTCACAGCTCTGGCTTCGTCCGGAAGGTCGCCCGAAGGACATCCAGCAGGTTGTTTGGCTGTCTGGTCTAATGAGCATATTACACTTTTATTATTATAGAAGGCTTCCTTTTTAAATTACATTTATTGGGCATTGGTTAATAAAATTAGGTTTCAGGTATACAATTCTCTATGTCATCTGAATATTGCATTGTGTGCCCAACACCCAAAGTCAAATCTCCTTCCAGTGACTTCTTGAATGAAATTTCTAATCAGTTGGGACCGGTTTGGCTCAGTGGATAGAGCGTCGGCCTGCAGACTGAAAGGTTCCGGGTTCGATTCTGGTCAAGGGCATGTACCTTGGTTGCAGGCACATCCCCAGTAGGGGGCGTGCAAGAGGCAGCTGATCGATGATTCTCTCTCATTGATGTTTCTAACTTTCTATCCCTCTTTCTTCCTCTCTGTGAAAAATCAATAAAAAATATATTAAAAAAAAAAAGAAATTTCTAATAAAAAACATCTCCCTTACCATTTATCTTCAGCTAAAAATCACCGTAAATAATGGGGAAACTAAACAAGGCAGCAGCTCTCCCATCTTTTGCTACTTTATTTTTTGATTGTAGCCTGCAGAGACCTACTGTACCTCACTCATAAAATGCATTAGTATTTTATTTCACTGTTCTTGTGGATGAAAAACCAAAAGTAATACTCTACAGGGAGTTATTTGCTTTACAATGGCATGCTTTAATGATTTTATTTCAACACATATTTTAATAACTCTATTGTATTTAGAAGTCGGTGTTCATTTCCTTATCCATTGCAAGCTGTTGAAAGAACACAAAACAGCCCTAACTGGTTAGGCTCAATGGATAGAGTATCAGCCTGCAGACTCAAGGGTCCCAGGTTTGATTCCGGTCGAGGGCATGTACCTTGGTTGCAGGCACATATCTAGTAGGGGGTGTGCAGGAGGCAGCTGATCGATGTTTCTCTCTCATCGATGTTTCTAACTTTCTATCCCTCTCCCTTCCTCTCTGTAAAAAAATCAATAAAATATATTATTTAATAAAAGAACATTAAACGTACTTACATTGCTTAAGGATTTGCTGATGTTCTTCACATCCAGCTGGAGTATGTTCCCAATAACTGGGAGAGGCGTAGGGCCAGGAGGAAGTTTCCTCCTGCCAGAGCTCTGTATCCACAGCGACAGGAGAAGCAAGCAGGAGAGACAGAGCACCAGGAGCGCGACCGGGCCCATCGTAGCACCCTCTTCCTATCGAATCTGCCGGGAGCTTACACTCAACACTCCCTGCTACGCAGAATGCGCCTCTTCGAGATCTAGTTACTTTAATCTTCCTCTCTCCGAGGGACTTTGGTCTGTTGCTCCGTTACGAATCCCCACCCCTAAGATTCTGGCACAATACGTTTGGGGTAAAGCCAAGCTGCTGTTATTTGTCTTTAAACAGCCACATGGTTAAGAACCAGCGAAGTAAATATTTTGATTTTAAAAAGTTGCTCAACGTTCTTGCCTACCCTGACGTGGCTCAGTAGGTTGAAGGGTTGTCTGGTACACCAAAAGGTTGTGGGTCCGATTCCCAGTCACGACTGGGAAGGTGGTGGTTTCCACTCCAGTTGGGGTGCATAGAGGAGGCAACCGATTGGCATTTCTCTTTCATATCGATGTTTCTCGCTTGCTCTCTCAAATCAATAAAAACATCCGCAGGTACAGATTTTTTACAAAGTTATTCAATACTCTGGCCGAAACCGGTTTGGCTCAGTGGATAGAGCATCGGCTTGCAGACTGAGAGGTCCCAGGTTCGATTCCGGTTAAGGGCATGTACATTGGTTGCAGGCACATCCCCAGTAGGAAGTGTGCAGGAGGCAGCTGGTCAATGTTCCTCTCTCATCGATGTTTCTAGCTCTCTGTCCCTCTCCCTTTCTCTCTGTAAAAAAATCAATAAGATATATTTTTTAAAAATTATTCAATATTTTGGATTCACATATTAATGACCAGTTGAGAATTCATACATTGGGGGCAAAGGGGCAATCCTTGTCTATAAACAAGCATTTTTCTTTAATGTTTTATCAAACACTAGGACACTTGTTCTTGGAAATGAGAGCCTTTTTAAATACATATATATTTATTGATTTCAGAGAGGAAGGAAGAAAAAGATAGAAACATCAATGATTTGAGAGAATCATTAATTGGCCACCCCCTGTATGCCCCACACTGAGCCAGAAACATTGATGAGAGAGAAACATCCATCACACCTCCCACTGGGCATGTGCCCGCAACCAAGGTATATGCCCTTGACCGGAATAGAACCTGGGACCCTCCAGTCCACAGGCCAAAGTTCTATCCATTGAGCTAAACCGGTTAGGGCCATCTCATCTCTTTTGATACACTCCATCCCCTTTGCCAAAGGGAAAGTTATGCCCATTTGAATGAAGAGGCGCTGGCCTCCACATTTCAGCACCTTGGCTAAGGACATGACGTCCTGACTGCTTGCTCACCACCAGTCAACATTCGGGTCAAGGGAGTTCTCCAGCATTCCGTGGCTTACCTTAACCAGTGACTAGCCAGTAAACGGCTGAGTCAAAACTGCAGCCACTCAGGCTGACTGAACAGGGGTCAGAAGAGTTTAGTTTTGTAACCTGCGAACTTGAATGAGTTCAGGTCTTGGCAAGCCCTCTCAGTGGGACTAAGAGCAGCCAGTGTTTGCTTTCTGCCCACACAGCTCTGGACTTGACACGCACTGTGCTACCAGACCTTGGATAGAATGAACTCAGTGCCTCTATTTTCACACGACCACATCCATCTGAGATATTCCTTACTTTCTGACACAGCCATCACCTTGTACTCCTGCCCCAGCTCTCTAACTGGCCATTTCTTCAGAGAATCCTAGTTCTTAGTTTAAAATGTGGCTTAGGCCCTAACTGGTTTGGCTCAGTGGATAGAATGTCAGTGGATAGAATGTCAGCCTGTGGACTGAAGGGTCCCAGGTTCAATTCCGGTCAAGGGCATGAACCTTGGTTGCAGGCACATCCCCAGTAGGGAGTGTGCAAGAGGCAGCCGATCACTGTGTCTCTCTCTCTTCCTCTCTGCCCCTTCCCCTCTCTCTCCCTTCCAATCTCCCTTTCTCTCCCCCTCTCTTTTCCTCCCTCCCTCGCTCTCTTTCCTTCTCTAAAAATTCAGTAAAACTATATGTAAAATGGACATAAGCCTTGAAAAGACAATTCACAAAGAAATAAAAGCACAGGGAGCACATGCGATCAGCACTACACCCCAGAGGGACACTAATGAAAAGAATGAGATACCATTCGTACCCGTGAAAAAGACTACATTTTAAAAGACTGAAAACAACAGGAAGGAATAGGTAACGCTGTGGAGAAACGATAGCTCCCATACTCTGCAGGGAGAATATAAAAATATTACACCCATCTGTAATATTTGGGGACATTTGGGGACCACAGGATACGAGGGGCCAGCTGGCCTGACCACCCTGGGCAACCCAGGAGGGCAAGTTCTGGGGCTTAGGGTTCAACACCAGTTCCCCCACTGAGCCCAGTTTCAGCGTTTGGGCACCGCTCCCAGCTTCCCAAGACAGAGTCCCCTTTCTTGGGCTCTGAGCTTAGCAGGCATGACCCTCAAAACCTTCCAGGAGTGTGGTTTTCCGGTTGTGGTTTAAGCTGCACATGGGGAACACTTGGCAGAACCCACTGAGTTCGCTGGGCATGCTCAGGGCAAAGGAAATTCGCCAGCCTATTCGCAGCTCATAGGATGTTTTGGATCAAGCATTCCTGTTTTCAGAGCTCTAAAACATTCTGTGCTAACATTTCTTTATTTATATATGTTGATTTTTTACAGACAGGAAGAAAGAGGGATAGAGTTAGAAACATCGATCAGAGAGAAACATCGACCAGCTGCCTCTTGCACACCCCCTACTGGGGATGTGCCCACAACCAAGGTACATGTCCTTGACTGAATTCGAACTTGGGACCTTGCAGTCCGCAAGCCAACACTCTACCACTGAGCCAAACCGGTTTCTTACATTTCTTATTTTCATTGTCCTCACTTCATGTTCCTTTTCAATGTCTAACATTTTTAGCTGCAGTATTGATTCATTTTCACATGCTTGTCATAAGTGTTCTTACTTAAAGTATTAAATGGTATGAATTGTCTTCATTGAATAATGTTATCTTTTTATTCAACATGTTGTCTGTGTACCCACTGTTAGTATTTTTAAAGGATTGTGCAATATTGACTTTGGTACCTTCTTTGATCCAAAGATTATTGGGGAAGAGTTCGAACTTTCCCAAGCAGTGGTTCCAATTATACCACAGTTTGTTTTTAATTATCTCAAATGGGATTACAGGAAATTATCTCTATTACGCCATAAACTTTTTTCCAAAACATTAGAATCCTTTGTAGTTCAAAATGGTGAATTTTATTTTTAAGTTTATTATTATTTAAATTCTTTAAAGTATTACACAAGTCTCCCCCTTACCCCCATTGATCTCTTCCCAGCCATCCCCACCACCCCAGTATATACCCCTTGCCCACTGTCTGTGTCCATTGGTTATGCTCATACGCATGTATACAAGTCCTTTGGTTGATCTCTTACTCTCACCCTCCACCTTCCCTCACAGGTTCAAAATGGTGAATTTTAAATCATATTACATCGTCATATGCTATGGACATTTTTTCACCATTTACATCACTCCTCTATTCAACTTCAACAGTTAGTATATGCTTTTTTCTGATTGGTCCTTTTGACTGACTTTTTTTTCACTAGGATCCTTGAGTAACCTTATAACCAGGGTTTTGAACTCAATATCCAAAAGTTTGCTTGCTTCCGTTTCTTTCATTTGTAACATGTTTGTTTCCCCATGTTGGCTACTTCTGTGTTTGCTTCTAAGTATTAGAGCTGCTATGTCTCTTGAAATTGGTTGAGTGGCCTTGTGTAGTAAGTGTGCTGTGGGGCCCAGTGGCTTAGCCTCCTGTCATAGGGTGGGCACTCTAGGTGCGCCCCTCTGTGGGCTGTGCACAGTTTTATTGTAGTTGAGCCTTGATTGCTGTTGGGAGTCACTGGGAGGAACTGACCTCCAGGCCAACTGGCTGTGAGGACCCACTGCAACTTCAGTGGGAAAGCTACTGTCAAGAGAAATTTCTGTAGTGCAGAACTTGCTTCTGTGCTACCCCTTGAGTGTGTCACTTGTGGATGTGTAGAGGTGTAATCTGACATGGTCCGATGCTGTCCACTGGCTCTTGGGTCTTCAGGGAGGTGCAAAGTCAGCCACTGCCTGTGGCCACCTGGCAGGAGCTAAAAAGAGGTCGCGATTCCTATTTGTATCAGGTTAGAAAGTGCCCAGATGGCCGAAGCCGGTTTGGCTCAGAGGTAGAGCGTTGGTCTGCGGACTGAAAGGTCCCAGGTTCGATTCTGGTCAGGGGCATGTACGTTGGTTGCGGGCACATCCCTGGTGGGGGGTGTGCAAGAGGCAGCTTGTCAATGTTTCTCTCTCATCGATGTTTCTAGCTCTCTCTCTCTCTCTCCCTTCCTCTCTGTAAAAAATCAATAAAATAAATAAATAAACAAACAAATAAATAAATAAAGTGCCCAGATGGGGCTCAGCTGTGAAGCAAGGCAGGCTGTGCCTTGGGCCTTTTATTGATAAGTTTGGGCACCTTGACCCAGCTGCAGCTTGAGATTTCAGCAGTCTGAAGCCTTATCAAGGATAGGCCATTCATATGCAAAAGGTGCTGCACACAGGCTGCTAGGGCTGCAAATTGGATGCAATGACCCTTTAAGCACCTCCATGCTCCATGGGGAGAAAGCCACCCCCGAATTCCTGCCCCAATGCCAGACAATCCAGTTCCTCCTCCTATGTGTTTAGGTCCCCCAGAGCCTTGCCCTGATGCTGGAGCTGAGGAAGCGGGACCTGGTTAGTTCAGGTCATGTGCAGGTCCTTTAAGAGGAATAGCTGAGTCACCAGCAGCCTCCTGTCACTGAGCCCCAATCCCTGCTGATTTTTAAAGCCCATAGTTAAGGAGACTTGTCTTTCCAGCTCTGGCAGCCCGGTATAGGACGATACCCCTTGCTTCTCACAGCGGCCTCCAGAGACTATCTCCCTCCCGACTAAAAAAGCAGCACACACACACACACACCTGGCCAGTGTTGCTCAGTGGTTGAGTATGGACCTATGAACTAGGTCACATGCCTGGGTTGCAGGCTCGATTCCCAGTTGGGGCATTCAGGAGGCAGCAAAATAATGATTCTTTCATTATTGATGTTTCGTTCTCCCTCTCTTAAAATAAAAACAGTACATGTGGGTGCTGTTCAATCTCTCCTACCACTCTGTGTTCTTTACTTCTCTAGGTTTAAGACTTCCACTCAGCCAGCTTTCAGGCAGTTCTGATGGTTGTCCTGTGTTTTAGTTGTAATTTTGTTTTGGGGGGGAGGGGGAACGCGAGTGTAGGTGTTTACCTACATCACCATCTTGGTTCTCTCTAGTTTTACATGACAAAATTTGTATGCTTAAAAACTTTGTTCCTTCTCCTTTAAATATTAGATACTCTAAAATTCTAGGTTGAAATTTGTTTTGCTCAAGCCCTTTGAAAATTTGCTGTTTTATTTCAGTTAAAACATCTGCTAATTGACCTTTGTAGGTAATCTATAATGCACCCAGGTTAGTTTTCATCTTTTCTGTACAGCACTTTGTAAACTAATCCACTATGAAGTCTTTCCTTCATTATAGGAATATTTATCCAGTGTGTACACTTGGCTCACGTTCCCAACATGCTTATGAACAAAACAGATTAAGACCAATTAGGTGCTCAATTTCATGATTATGAGGCTGGATAAGATTAAATATCTGTAAGAAATACTGGGAAACTTCAAGTAAAATGAGGTCATAGAGGTCACTGGAATGGGTCCAGGGGTAAAAGTGGAAAAGGAGAAGAAAAAGTGCACATAGAAAACATTTCAAGGAGTTTGCTATAAAAGAAATGAGGTGCTTCTTTGGTTCTAGCTATAATAGGACAGACAATATGTCCATAGTAATAAGAAAGGATGATGCACGGGCAGGTACTGGCAGACTTATAGACATGCAGTGGTGGAAACTTTTAAAAGTTCTTTTCTGATTGTTTTTTTCTTAGTGTCAGCATGGGAGAGGATAGAGGTGAACCTACTATCACATTCTCACTCGGAGAGTCAAGACTTAAGCAGGGTATTTCTGGGATTCCTAGTTCCACTACTGTAAGGTGGAGATAATCTGATCTACATTTAAAGATACATGGCAGCAATAACATTTTCCCATGAAACAATCTACACAGAAATGGTTGTTCAGGGAGCATTCAAGATTTCTCATAGCCTGATATACATACAGGGCCATAAACTATTACATTATGTTCCTCTGTTAAAAATTTTGCATTATTTATATTCCTTTGCATTATTTATATTCCTATGTCTTATTTTTTTCTGATACGACTCCCACTTCCAATTACTATAGATTTTAAGGGTCTCACCTCTCTTTGTTCTATTCTTATTTTGAATGATATATTGCAACTTCCAGTTTCTGGTCTCTTATCAAGACCTTACTGTATATTCCAGAGTCTCCTCTGTATTAACCCAATAGCAGTTGAAATTTTTATGACAGATATATATGTATAATCTTGATGAAAACCAAGTCAGGTAAATAATGTTGTCACATTGCATGTGAAGACTTTAGCTATTATTTCACCTGATCCATTCTTTCTGAAAAAATAATGAGATCATTGGAAAATGAATATTTATTTGGTAGACATTTTATAGAAATAGATCCTAAAAATCAAACAATTTCTTATTTATTTAAACAAAGTATAATCCCAATCTTTCCCCCATTAAAAGCCTACTCCATAAATGAAGTACCAAAAACCCAGAAACTGTACTGCTAGAGAGGGGAAATGAGGGAGAAAGACATTAAACTTCCATAGGAAGACTGTATATCTCTGGCAGTGGCTAAGTACACATCAGGCTGTACCCAAGGGCACTACTGAGCTGAAAACTTATCTGGAAATCTAAACTTAATACTTCCTTGTTCTTAATAAGGCTCAGAAAATTACCACCTATCAATTATGCAATGTTACAGTATATAAACTGATATAATGATATAAATCAAAAAATTAAGTAGGCATTCTGGATTTTAACACCAATATAGGTAAATCTGTAGATGTATTTAAAACACACATTCAGAACTGGAGTCTTCAGAGTTTTCTAATATCTTGAAAATTCCCATCTTCTCTTTAATTGGTCCTGAGGCATTCATTTGATCTAAGAGAAAAATATTAGGACAAGTATTCTTTAAAACATGTTAAGAACCTAAAGAGGAATATTTAAAAAGAGGTTGCTATGAGAAGTCACCTGTTGAAAAATTTGAAACATAGAAATATGGCCCCTTTATTATTCTCTTTATTCTATTATAAATAGAACAGAACTACAAGGGACACACAACAGAAACTGAAACATCAGTTTGCTAATTAAAATAACTTCTGCTAAATTTAACAATCTAGAGAAATAAACAGATTATCTCTTTGAATTGTGTCCTTAGAGATGTATTTTTAAAAAGAGCCCTAGCTGGTTTGGCTCAGTGAATACAGCATTGGAATGTGGACTGGAAGATCCCAGGTTGGATTCCAGTCAAGGGCACAATGATCATGTTGCAGGCTCAATTCCTGCAACCTAGGAGGTGTGCAGGAGGCAGGTGATTGATGATGTCATTAATATTTCTATCTTTCTGAAATTGACAAAAACCTATTAAAAATAATTCTAGCCAATAAAGAAATGGTAGGACCCCCCGCAGTTTTGCTACCTCTAAGGAAATATAGATCCAAAATAATCAGCAATGGATGCTTAAAACCACCATTAGATTAAATAAAAGATTGACAGAAAACTACAGACTTTATCAATGTTAGCTCATTGGAAATAAAATGATATTATGTGCCTCCTGGTATGATTTAAAATATGTGAACAAAGAAAGCACTGGTATTCCTAAGATATGGAACCTGGATGCAATTACTCAGGGAGATTGAGAAAAAGTCAGAGGACAACTCAAGGAGTGTGTGGGGAAATTAGCCCATTTCAGAATATAGGTCATTTTATAAAACAAATAATAGGTTTCTCTAACAAATGAATGGCATTAAAAAAACAAAAGTGAGGGTGTTATAGAACTAATGGGAAGTAACAATCAATGAAATTTGCTATTAAATGTAATAATTATAATGGCTATGTTTGAGAATATGTTCTTCTTAGTAAATGATGCATGAGAAAGATGTGGATAAAATTTCATAATTTAAATTTCTGACAAAGAATAGCAATGAATGTTATGAACTATTGAGGATTAATGAATAATATATACATACACACACACACAGTGAGTGCTACATTATACTATTCTCTCCAGTTAATGTTTATGTTTTAAAATTTCCATGAAAATAAAAGCATAAGAGATACTTACCAATGAGATCACTTCGATCTAACAACAATTCTAAATCTTCATCACTGATGACCTTTTCTCTTGATCCTTTTACTTCCCTATAATAGAAAGCAAAAATTTTTATCTAATGATAAATCAAAGCCATGAATTACATTTTTCTTAACAACAACAAATCATACCTCTCATAATCTCTAGATTTTAATAATTCCATTAATTCCTTAGGGTCTAGGAAATTCTTAGATGGATTTAATCCAGATCGACCACCTTTGAAATGATCTAGAAAAAGTATTCAAGAAATTCAAAATTGTTTTTAAAACCAAAATACATTACAAAGCTTACATTAAAGACAGATAAGACCAAATGTTGGTAAAAAAGAAAAGTAACTAAAATTCTTGGGAAAAGTTTGGTAGTTTCCTATAGATTGTAAATGTATACCCACCCGAAGAACCAGAACAAATAAGTGCATATACCCACAAATACCAGATTTTTTTTTTTGTTGAGAAAATATCTTTATGACCTTGGGGTAGGCAATGAGTTTTTTTAAATATAATTTTATGGACTTCATAGAGGAAGGGAGAGGGAGATAGAAACATAAATGATGAGATAATCATTGACTGGCTGCTTCCTGGGATGCCCCATACTGGGCCTCAAGCCCAGGCACCTGCTCTTGAGCACAATCAAACCTGGGACCCAGCTGACACTCTCCCCACTGAGCTAAACCAGGTAGGGCCAAATATGATTTTTATGAATAAGAATCAACAACTGGGAATAACTCAAACATCAATCAACAGAAAAATGGATTAATGAACTATTCAGAAATTATTTAAACAAACACCAAACTCCTAATACATACACAACACAGATGAATTTCAAAATATTATGTTGAGCAAAAGTAGGTAAAGTACACAAAGAATGCAGTAGAAAACCTACTTGAACATGGAAGTATCAGTGACTTTAACCTACACTAGAAGATTGCTACATGTAGACATGTCAAAATTTGTTACTGGACACTCAAGCTATGTATGTATATTATACATCAATAAAACAAGTCAATATTTATTAAACTAATTTCAAATTGTTTAAACTTTAATTTTCAAAGTACTGAAAACAGAACTTAAGAAAATGAGACTGTAAACTTCACTAAATTCCCATCAAATTCCTAAAGCAGCACAGGCAAAAATTTTTAAATTTGTACAAAATTTTGTTGCGTGAGGACTTATCTGTATTTGCAAGTAGGAAAGTAGCATAATATAAACTGATTCCATCATAATATGGACCATATTGCATTTTAATTACTAGTGTATGGGTCTCATCAGATTGGGGTTCCTTGAGAGCAGACTTTTAAGTTCACTTTGCCTTGAAGTAAATACCAAATTATTTACTTAATGATTAATGATAGAACAGTTTCTTTCAAATGGTCAAATGGTATGTATCCATAATTATTGAGCATTAATTTCCAAATATTCTACAATTTGATTTAGAAACTTCAAATTTAAATAAGAAACTTATACCAATGCTTTGACTTAGTTTGTGCTAAATAATTTTTAAAATGTGTAGCTTTGGGACATTACAAAAAGCTGTTTTTTATATACATGGCTAACAACTTAAAATTCACCATACATTTACTTCATTTTTTAGCTTCATTGATTTCTGGTGGTTATATAAGGAGATCCTCCCTTTTCTGGGTGATTTAACAGCCTAATTCGGCAGTGAGCATCTCTTAGTTTTCCTTTACTGGCAGTAGGGCTTACACCTAGTATTAATGCTGCTTCTCATTTTGGGTTCAAACTCACCTCTATAATAAGCCAACACTGAAGGGAGACTTTGAAAAACTTGTTTTACTTGAGGTGCCATATGCTTCATGGCTTGCAAATCCTGCAGCAGCAATGGTCAATCCAACTACAACCACTGTGCTGGCCATAGCTCTGGCTCGGCTCCCCTGCCTCCACTAAGAACAGGGGCCATCCCAGCCCAAAAGGCAGGGCCACCAGCCCTCCCGCTGCTACCAGAGAGCAAGGGTGCCAGAGCGGGGACCAAAGGTCCACCGTCAAATATTTTTTGAATTAATAGTTGAATAAGTAAATTGATTTGTTTATAGCACTACTCAATATTTTTAACATCCTAGAATTTAATAAATATATTAAACTTGCAAGAAGAGGTTTGCAAGTTTTCTTAAATCTTTTGACAAACAAAGCTCTTATTAAGTATCAATGCTCGGCTGATGTGATCCACAAACCAGAAGGTCAGGGCACATGCCTGGGTTGCTGGCTCGATCCCCTGTAGGGGATAGTGGGAATCAATGATTCTCTCATCGATATTTCTCTCTTCCTGAAATCAATACAAAAAAAAAAAAAAAAAAAAAAAAGGCAGCATCAACATCATTTCAAATCCCTATGATATATTTCAGATAAGGCACTTTGATATTATCCTTTTTGTTCCTCATCTAGAAACTCCCTAATGTTTTCCTTTTATGTCTATGGTCACTAACTTACGTCTTTACAGCTTCAAGTTTCCTTCTGCCTGTTTAATATATCCTGCACTAACCATGCTCACCTCATTTCTTTTACAAAGAAAATAACACAGATCCACAACACACAACTGAAGCAAAAAAGAAAGTGGTATTTACTTTTGTGGATGATCAATTTCTCCAATTTTCTTTTAGCAGCTGCTCTTTCCACAATTTTCTGATCAACAGTGTTTGCTGTAACAAGACGATATACAACAACTGGCTTTGTCTGACCGATTCTATGACATCTATCCTGGGCCTGAAGATCAGACTGGGGATTCTTAAAGAAAAACAACATTGAACAAGGTAAGGTTTATATTATTTAAATTTATACTATGTGTGGATAAAGTCAACATGCATGATCTAATAAAAAACTTTTAAATAGTGCCTTAACGTAGACTTCTACATTGGCTTAATTGATAAGAGTATGTTCCAGCCTTTACACACAGGACACTTGATTAAATTATTTACTTAAAATGGATACCTTTTCAAAACAGATAAATGAAACTGCAAAGTATACAATGAAAGATTAAAAAAACTCAGAATGTAATGATAATCAGCACATTATACTTGCAACTTACCCAATCACTATCATAAATGATCACTGTATCTGCTGCCGTCAAATTAATGCCCAGGCCACCAGCTCGTGTACTCACTAAAAAGATGAACACCTCTGGATCTGTGTTAAAGTTGTGCATCTAAAATCAAAAAAGGATGAGAACACAGGAGTTAACAAACTTCTAACTGGGAAGAGGTTAGGGTGCTGCATGTGTAGCTGCCATCTCACAGCCATGTGTTTGTCAGGAAAGGAAGTGGGAGGTCAGTGGTGGGCTCTTAAAACTGGCTATGAGTTCTTCAGCATCCAAAGGGCTGAAAACCCCAGAAGCCATAAAATGTGAAAAAAGACCAATTTTCTGAAAAGACAAAATCACTGAAGATGTTCTTCTCACATCACGCAAAAAAAAACCCCCCAAGGGGGCCCTCGGATATGCTGTATCAATTTGAACGCCAGAGGGGCTTGAAACTGAACAGCACAGGCCAGAAACACCATGCTCCATGCCTACTTCTCAGACCCTTAATAAACACTCGGGAAGTCAAGGTTTAGTTGAGTTTCCCTGGTTTACTTAACATGTGTTAATACAAATTGTTGCAGGGATAATTGAGTGCTGCCTGTGTGACTCCACTAGAAATTCAGTTTCTTCTGGACTTTACCTACGTAACTTTTCTCTTTGCCAATTTTAATCAGTATCGTTTCACTGTAATAAACCATAACCATGAGAGACATTAAGAAAAATATAAATACTTTAAGTAAAAACAGATTATTTTTAATTAAGGGAGGTCAAATCAATCACTTGGATCTATGAAACAACTGTTAGTCTGGCAGGGTGGCTTAGTCGGTGCAGCATCATCCTGTTCACCAAAAGGTTGTGGGTTGGATTGCTGATTGGGTGTGTGAGAGGCAACTGATCAATGTTTCTCACACCAATTTTTTTCCCTGTCTCTAAAATCATTAAACATATCCATGGGTAAGGCTTAAAACATCTGATGGTGTTAACTTCATTTGCATCGACTTTGTTAAAGAAAAGTCTAAGTTAAGATCTCAGGTCTTAGAAAATCTACACTACAAGGGAAGTTTAAGGGAGACCATTTACTATTAGAAAAGAATATTAAATTTTTTTTTTAAATATTAGAAGGGAAAATCTAGGCCACCCATTTGCAAAAAGAAAAAAAGAAGTGATAAAAACCAAAATTGGCTGGCTAGGAGATGGGGCAAGCAGGAAATTTTTTGAGCAGATGAGTAAGTATCTTGATAGTTTAGGTCATGCTCATAAATGCACTAATCAAAATAACAAATATATAATTAATTTTATTCCCTCAGGGTATGTAAGTATCACCCTAAAAGACAAAATAAGCTGAAGTAACTAGAAAGGGACTATCATCTATTATTTTTAAATACAGTAAGAGGATGGAACGTTAAATGGACAGGGTAACAGACTGATGTTATATTATAGCTATGCGATTAAAAATAATAAAGTTTCAACCGCAGGTTCTAGGAGGGTTTACAGATCACTAAAAAATTCTTTCAACTGCTATTATTAAAATTTCATAGTAAAACATTAGAAGTGAAGGAAAGAGCCAAAATGGAAAAGAAATATTATCCTATAATAGGTACAGTAGAGTTTAAGTAGGATATTAACAAAAGATACACTATGTAATTTGCTAAAGACTAAAGGGTTTTTGCTCTTTTGTATCTATCAATTTGTTGGGTCTATTTTGAATATTACTTCAGAAATTCAGGTAAGAATTAAAAAAACAAAAAACAAAACTGTATGTATGACATTAAGAAAACTTACATTTCTCTCCCTCTCTGAATAAGTCATGGATCCATCAAGTCTGCTAAAGTTGAAATTTCTAAAGTGGCAGTAATCAATCAAAATGTCCAACATTCTTGTCATTTGTGAAAAAAGCAGCACCTGAAATTTAAATATATTTTAGTAGCTATATTAATAAAAGAATTAAACAAAAAAATCCAACCAAAGTACAACCTTATGACCTCTGGCTTTTAGTTCCGGCAGCATTCGATCCAAAATTAAGAATTTCCCAGAATTTGTTATCAATTCTTCATCAACCTTAAAAGGAGACAAAGAAAAAAAAATTATTAAAAAGTAATTATCATGTACTAATAATTTGGCTTTGTCAAAATAAAAGCAATGTGGACAGTTCAATTTTCAAAGACAAAACCTTATAAAATTAAAAAAAAAAACACCCACAAATAACAAAGTCAAATTAAAAATTTTTTAATAAGATAATTCTTTCTCTAGGAAAGACATGCTCTAAAACTTAAAACACATTTTACAAAAATAAAATTTAGTTTAAGTAGATTTACTCCCTCTACTCTTTCCCCAAATGCTTTGCATATGAGAATAAGATCTTCTTATATATGTTGAGATTTTTTTTTTTTTTTATAACCAAGTAAATTTTCAAGAAAATATGTATGAAAACCACTGGTAGAACTCTCAGTAGAAATTAAAACACAGGAGCTTATATATACCTAGTATTGAAGGTTAAGAAATTATTCACTTTCTTAACATAAATGACCTCATTAGATTATCTTTTTTTACTTGAATGAAAAATTATAAAGCAGTAATTCTCAAATATGGGAAATTTTGCCTACCATTCCCAGGATGTATTTGGCAGTGTCTGGAGGCATTTCAGATTGACACAACTGGGGGAAGGAAAAACTGCTGGCAGCTAGAGACTAGGGATGCTGCTAAATGGCCTATAATCCACAGGACAGCATCACCTAAACAAAGAAATATACTGGCCCAAAATAGCAGTATTCCCAAGGGTGAGACACTCTGCTGTAAACCACTATGAAACAAGAGTATTAAAGATAACTTAGAACTTATTTCCTAATATTATTAAGCTATTTTTCCATCAAAAGCTATTTATCTTGCTGCCCAAGAAAGTAATTTCATTTAATCTGAAAATCTGCAACTTAATATCAACTTTTTGGTTTTCTCCTGTGGCTCTATTGAAATGTAAATGAGCAGCCAGGTTGGTTGCAAGGTTGACAACTAAAGGTGTCTCTCAAATAGACAGCAAGTGAAACAGAGGGGAAATCAGCTGAGTTACTAAACAATTTTATTTCTAATTTTTCCAATACGGAAAATGACCCAACATTTTAGACGAGATCGGGCGTGTTCAGGGTGGTATGGCCGTAGACATGACCCAACATTTTAAAATCACAGAAATCAAAATAGAGCATTATTCAATAGTATTTACCTTAAACTCCTGTGTGACTGGATCTATAGGGTACTCAATCAAATATGGATGGTTACAGCATTTACGAAGTAGCATCATTATATTCTGCAGCTTCAGATCAACTTCAGATTCTACAGGAATATTCACTTCTGCAACAGCTCTATCAAAAATATATAATCCATGAATACACGAAATATGAAAAAATATCAGTTTAAAGAATACTTTATTTTTAAATTCACACCTTTCTTGGTCTAGCTCTGGCTGGAGCTGACTGATCAAGCTGTCCAATTCATTAGGGGAATCATCATCTCTTTCGCTGTAATTTATTAATTTCCTTGTTCGCCGTTTTGGTCGTCCAGTGGAACTTAACTGAACTGTTTCTTTCTAAAAGAGAACAAATGAAAGGAATATCTGTTTAAAAAGCTACACCTTTAAATTCTAAATACATATCTAAAAAGTCAGATCTTCCCTTTACAATGCAAATGGGAGAACAGATCTATTGGTTGCACAAAAGAGAAATAACCTTCAGTATTTTGAGAAAAAACTAGACACATAAAGTAGTGAAAAACCTGGGTATTTAAGCAAAATTTAACGATCTCCTAATTTTCACTGATAAGATAATCACATTCCACTTTATTTCTTAAAATATAGTAGGTGACTAAAGAAACAATTAATGTAGGAGACGTCACTTAAATTTTAGGACCATAGTATTACTGGCCTTATGCCTTGCACTTCAGTTAGAAATTCACTCTTAAGTCCCAAAAACAGGTGATTAGCCCCAATACTGGAAACCACGAAATTTTCTATGCCAGCGGTCTGACACAGTGCATTTCAAACCCACACTACCTCACTGGCTCCGAACATGTTGGCAATGGTACGGTTCACGATGGCAGTGTAAAAGGTCTCTTGTTTCTTTGAAAGTGGTGCATAAACTACTACTTCTCGTTTAGGGGGAACTTCAAGAGCAACATCAGATTTTAGTCTTCTCAGTAAGAACGGTGTTAGAATCTAAAATTTAGACATGAAGAAACACATGTGAATATTGTACATTCTTATATTTTAGGGAATACTCTCCCAAAAGGTCCCTTTCCCCCTTTTTCTTTTCTTCCTATATAATTATCAAATCTCAAAAGGTGAGGTAAATGCCTCCTTGAGATTTTCCCCTACCAGGTAACCACATGACAAATTTATAGTATTTACCCATAGCATTTCACAATTTGTTTTCTAATATATACTAAATATTTTAAAAAGCCAATATAGGTTTTGGATTAGTAGAAAAACCAATGAATCAACCAATCAATCCAGAGATGTGGACATGAAAACCTAATATAAATTTTAAAACTTTAGATTTAAAATTACTCTCTCATTAGATATGTGATGACAACTGATTTCCATATTTTTAAAAACAGAAGCAAAAGGTAATTATACCATTATTAAATTTCTTAGATTTTTTAAAGAAATTCACCAGAGGTAGACAGCTAAGACATTTTACAAGAGAAAGAGAACATGACCAGTAGTGTGTGTTGGGGGGGGAGGGTGGCGGGCGGAAGGGAAAGAACGGGAAGCACCTATAGAAATCAGCCCAGAAACAAATATACTTAAAGAAAATTAGCCAAATAAAAGGTAAAATTTTGTAGGATACATATAATTATTTTTACTTCCCATTTCTATACTGTTTCAGGTTTTTATCATAAGTATATATAAACTTTAAAGTAAAAAAAGTTTATAAGGATTTTGAATAAAATTGTCAAAACACAATTAAGCAGCTTTTTAACCCCACATATAAAAATAATTTGGTTATCTTTGAAAGATTGTTTGCTTGAAGTAAAGATAGTTGGATGGGTGGAAACTGCTAAACATTAATAATGGATCATGCAAATAAGTAAATTATATAAATATTACTGGCAAACATTGTATTAAAAAACCACTTAATTTTACTTTTTGAGTGACAAACATCAGTGACCATTAGGGGTCAAATAAATGAATATACATGAAAAAAGTAAAATTTCAAAGCACACTTGAGTTCTGTTATAAAGCCATGGGGGTGGGGGAATATACATTAAACTTGGGAGGATCCTCATTTTTCAAAATCTACTACAATGAGTTGAAAACAGTTGATCTCTAGGGTTCCTTTTTAATTCTAAGTCTACAGTAAGCAAAGTAAGAAAAAAGACAAAACCTGGTGCAGCATATGCAACACATTCTGTTCTCTTTCTTTAGCAATAATATCTTCAGCAGTTTCAGAAAGACTAGTGATATCAAACCAAGATTCAAAGCTGTAAGAGAAATGATTACAAGTTATCACAAATCAGTTATATTAACATGATTTGTTTTGCATTTCTCATTTTATATTAATCTGACTCTTAAGAAGCAGATATTTTCTTAAAGTCGGCATATTTCTGATTTATATATTAACATAATCTTACAATAGTTAAAAATATATAAACATTAAGGGATATTTATTTTTTCCTTTTAAAAATGCAGACTGCCACTTGCAGCACCTCATGTGGATGTGTCTGGAGTCTTGGAGGTTTGACCATCCTGCGTTCTCCTACAAATGGACCTTGAGAGCTTGTGTGGCAGGTCTAACAGGAGAGAGCAGCCACTGCCACACTTTGACTGAAAAACACCCCTACCAAGGATTGTTCTTCCTCAGCCCAGCGCACAGCTTCAGGAGAATGCATATGGAGTGATGAGGTAACCTGCTAAAGAATCAACCTGGTGATCAAATGGGGTGACAGATGTTGCAGCCAGATCAGCCTCACATCCTTGTAAACTAACTTTGAAATCTAAGGCAGTATAGCCCCTGCCCCACGGCTGCTTCTCAGACATGGCTGGAAACTTTCGTGGGAACTTGAGTGTCTGCTGAATCAAGTGATGAAGGCTTAGATCTGGATGTGTTGAGTTAGTTTAGGACTGGGGTGTTGATCTGTGAGTGCCTTGGGTGGGGCCTCGATGAGGCTGGTTGACCTAGTGGGAAATGTCTTTTGTGTGAAGTATATCATTGGGCATGTGGAGGTATTATTGATATGAGAAAATGCTAAGTAACTGATTTACTATCTGAAAAGGGATTTACTATTGGGGAAACTGAGGGAAGAAGAGACTGAACATAAACTGCACCTATGGATGAGGACAATGGGGGATGGGGGGGGGACGGAGGGTGGGGTGGGAACCTGGTGGAGGGGGGAAGAAATGAGGAACCTTTGTAATAATATGAACAATAAAGATTGCTAAAAAAAAAAAAAAAAAAAAAAAAAAAAAAAAGAAATCTAAGGCAGTATAGATATAAATTCAGATTTCTACCACCATGTTTTAACTCAGCAGCAATGTGTAGGACCTGAAAATGTTCTTAATAAATGTCTATACTAACAATCAGACAGCCTGGCTTTGGGTCAACATTTGGAAACCACAGGTTTCACCTGTATGAGCCCAGACCAGGGTCCAGGCAAGGGAGGAGCCTGCAATCGAGGTATGTGCTCTTGACTGATATCGAACCCAGAACCCTTCAATCTGCAGGCAGACGCTCTATCAAAGTCAACTGGCTAAGGCATATGTTCAACTCTTGACACATATTTTGTGTGAATAAACATTTTAAAGGTTTTTTTTATTTTTTTTGTTTTACAATGATTAAAGGAAAACTATTGAATTGAGAACAATTAAAATATTTGTTAACTTTGTGAAACCTATTCAGATGGTTTTTCCTCATTTTATCCTCACAAAACAATCCAGGGGATAGAAGTTAAATATATCCTCTAACTCACAAGAAAACCTTGGTGTAAATTTACTAGTTAGTCCTCCTCAGTTTGGCTCAGTGGATAGAGCATTGGTCTGTGGATTCAACTGTGCAGAGTTCAATTCCGGTCAAGGGCACCTACCAAGGTTGCAGGCTCTATCCCTAGTAGGGGGCATGCAGGAGGCAGCAAATTGATGTTTCTCCCTCATTAATGATGTTTCAATCTCTCTCTCCCTTCTTCTCTGAAATTAATATATATATATATATATATATATATATATATTTTTTTTTTTTTTTTTTTTTTTTTTTTTTAATTTTACTGATTCTTTTACAGAGAGGAAGGGAGAGAGAGAGAGAGTTAGAAACGTCGATGAGAGAGAAACATCAACCAGCTGACTCTTGCACACCCCCTACTGGGGATGTGCCCGCAACCAATGCACATGCCCTTGCCCAGAATCGAACCTGGGACCTTTCAGTCCACAAACCGATGCTCTACCACTGAGCCAAACCAGCTTCAGCTATATATATATATATATATTTTTTAAAGAGGGAAACGTATACGGAAAGGGAGAATTGGTGCGAGGTGATAAAAAAAAGTCCAAACTTCCAGATATAAGTGAATAGGACTGTAATTGATGATTACAATTAACACTCCTGTATGATATATAGGAAAATTTTTAAGAGAGCGGACCCTAAGAGTTCTTATCACATCTTTTTAAAAAGGAGAAATACTTTTTCTTATTACTGCAGGTGATAGATGTTAACTAAATCTACTTTAGTAATAATTTCATAATATATAGAGTGGTGTATGTTTATTACCTTGCAGTAAACATGGAGAGAAAACATCACAAAAAAAAAACACAGTAAAATATACAATATATACCACAAAGAATTTGCCAAAAAGCTATTATCTTAATTTAGCTATCTAGAATAAAGGTATTAACTTTAACTAAGAACACAGTATTTGAAAAGGTTAGGAAAACCTAGAAAGCGTTCAAATGACTGGCTTACCTACCTTTTCAAGTCATCAAATACATCTGGCAACAAAAAGTTTAGCAGTGACCAAAGTTCTGATAAATTGTTTTGCAAGGGAGTCCCAGTCAAAAGAAGTTTGTTATCTGCATTAAATCGTTTTAACTCCCTGATTAGACGGCACTTCATGTTCTTAATCCGGTGTCCTTCATCTACTATTAAGTATTTCCAATAGCAATGCTGAAAAAGAATTTAGGAAAAAATTTTTTTATGATACTGCACAATTTTTCCTAAAAACAATTCTGAAAATAAAACCTTTATTCGAGATGAATGTTAGATTTTAACAAACTGCATTTCTGTTTATTGAGATAATAGTTTCCTTTGATCTATTAAAAGGATAATTTTCCTGCCCGGTTTGGCTCAGTGGATAGAGCGTCGGCCTATGGATTGAAGGGTCCCAGGTTTGATTCCAGTCAAGGCCATGTACCTTGGTTGCGGGAACATCCCTGGTAGATGTGCAGGAGGCAGCTGATCAATGTTTCTCTATCATTGATGTTTCTAACTATCCCTCTCCCTTACTCTCTGTAAAAAAAAAAAAAAAATCAATAAAATATACATATTTTAAAAAGGATAACTTTCCTACACTAAATAGACCTCAGTTGGCCGGGAACTAAAAATTAAAGCCTACCTATTAAGTATTTAAGATTTTTTCCAGCCAAAACTGTTTTTGGCTCAGTGAATAGAGCGTCTCGGCCTGCGGACTGAAAGGTTCCAGGTTCGATTCCAGTCAAGGGCATGTGCCTTGGTTGAGGGCACATCCCCAGTAGGGAGTGTGCAAGAGGCAGCTGATCAATGGTTCTCTCTCATCGACATTTCTAGCTCTCTATCCCTCTCTCTTCCTCTCTGTAAAAAAATCAATAAAATATATATATATAAAAATATATATTTTTCCATTCACATTATATAGTGTCTTTAGTTTTCCATCCTAATGCATTGTCAAATTTTGATTGTTATACTAGATAACTAAAGAACTGAAAGCTTTTCTCTGAAAAATAAAATAGCATTACAATTTTCGTTTTTAAGATTGACACTGTAAACTGTGGTGTAAGTTTTTACATAGTGACTGGTTTACTTAGGTTTCCCCTTTCTTCTGGAGCTAGGTCTCATTTTTATCTTTGTGGAAAGCCATCCATTTAGTTTTACTGTGTTGTCATGAAAATTGTTTTAACTTCCCAGTTTTAATAGCTGTATTTTCTCTTTTACCTTGACCAAGTCAACTTAAAAGTTCATCTCTTTTATTTTGTAAAATAAAAAAATATGCAATATTTCTTGGAAGTATAAAAACCAAACCAGCAAGGATATTCTTGGATAAAAGAATTGTCAAATTGGGGGAAGAGTGTGAAATGAGGCATCTTTAGTATTTTACTTTATATATTCATAGAATGTATTAATTTTATTTAAAGATAAAATTTTTTAAATATTATGACTTTAATAAAAATAACTTAGGACTTCTTTTTCTGATAATATGGCAAACCAGTTATCATGAAAAATTTCTCTCTATAAGCCATCTACTTTAAAAAGCCAAACAAAATATAAAAATATCCTTTATAGACATTAAAAAAAAAAAAACCCTAATGCAATGGAAATAATGATTTTGAAAAATAAATTAGTGAACTCAAGTATTTATATTAATCAGGAATAAAACCCTGCACCACCCCCAATGCCATCAACTGCTAAAACTATGACAAGGAAGATTATGTTTCAGTATGGGCTGAGTAGGAATAGCAAAATTATTAATTAGAAAGGTTTTCATGATGATTAGTCTATTATTTATGCATTAATTAATTCTTATATGTGACTTATCAGGAAGATACTTTATAAACAATTGAGCACACCAGGCAAGGGCCATTTAGTTGATTATTTGATTAAATTTAAGCAAGTTCTATCTATTTAAAGCACATGTCCAAGACATACCTGTAATATATTTACAGATTAGGCCACATCTGATGGATTCTAACTCACTTAAAATTACATTATGGCTACAAAGTACAACCAACCTTCATCTGATCTTTCTGTTAAAATTAAACAGCTCCTTCAGCTTCTAAGGGGCTGTGCACAATACAATCTATTACTTCCATCAGAAAATATTTTTAAATGCTACTGGATGATGAGTTAAAAAAATGTGATTGATGGATTACGAGGAATCCAATGAAGTTTATTCCCACCTGTAATGCATTGCGGTCTCTCATGGCTATTTCAAATGAAGTGATCACCACAGGATGAATCTGCAGTGTTCCTTTCCGTTGGTGAATCTTCCTTACCAATTTTCGACGTTCCTCCTGGGTCCCGTGATATAACATAGTAGGTATCTAAAAGATTTTAAATAAAAATTTGAAAATATAACAACCATTTTTGAGATACTTGTAATCAATTAATTCTAATAAATTATTGGACTACTATGGGAGAATTAAAAAGCCTTAAGAATCAATCAAATGTAAGCCAACGCAGATTACGAAGATAAAATATGTTTCTTATAAGTAAAAAATGTGACAAAAAATATATATATGAAAGGAAAACAACCATAATAAGAATAAATAGAATTAAAAATAAAATCTATCTAGGTCTATTTCAGGTGAATCAAATTATCCAATACACAGAAAATCATCCATAGATATTTTTTGGCAATAAGTCCAATAATAGTAGTACTTATTCATCTTTTTGAACTTCAACTAGGTATTGATGAGATTGAAATATAATGTATTTACTCAGAAATCAATATAATTATAGTAAGAGATCTATAATTCACACAACAAAACAAACATTTGAAATTATATATACAAAAGGAAACATGACTTACTTCTGGTGTAAACCTTTGGAATTCAGCTATCCAGTTAGGAAGGGTAGATAATGGGCCACAGACAAGAAAAGGTCCAGGTACTCCTCTCTCAATCATCAAGGCGATTGTAGCAATGCACTGAACTGTCTTTCCCAATCCCATTTCATCTGCTAAAATGCCATTAATCCCATTTTCCCAAAGCATCTGGACAAAATAATGAACACTGCATTTAAATTCTCATATAATCTCCTACTGAATTAGCAACTGTGTTTTGTTTTTTTTACCTAAAGATAATAATGATGAGACTGACATATTAATAATTTATAATACTTGCAGGCAGGATAGTATCAAAATCATAAATGTGTTGGTAGCCTTGAGTAAGATACTTTTCACTGAAAAATTATTTTTAAATTGATTTCAGAGAGGAGAGGAAGAGATACAGAAACATTAATAATGGGAATAATTGATCGGCTGCCTCCTGCTTGTCCCCACTGGGATTGAGCCTGTGAACCTGGCATGTACCCTAACTGGGAATGACCTCCTGGATGGATCATAGGTTGATGCTCAACACTGAGGCACTCCCAAGAGGCAGATAATTTTCACTTTTAAAGATTTTTTTTGGAGAAACATCGATATGAATGAAAGAAAGCACTGATCTCCTGCCTCCTGTACGTCCACTAAGGATGGCGTCCAAAACCCAGGCATATGCTCTGCCTTGACCAGGAACCAAATCTGCAAACTTTAGATGCACAGGACCAACCAATAATTGAGCAACACAGGCCAAGGCAAGATAACTTTCACTTTTAAAAATTTACTCTGTGCCGAAACCGATTTGACTCAGTGGATAGAGCATGCTTGAGGACTGAAGGGTCCAAGGTTCAATTCCACTCAGGGTCATGCACCTTGATTGTGTGCACAGCCCGTGGGGGGCGTGCAGAAGGCAGCTGATAAATGTTTCTCTCTAATCGATGTTTCTAGCTCTTTGTCCCTCTCCCTTCCTCCTTGTAAAAAATCAAAATATATTAAAAAAAATTTTACTGAGTAAATAAGAAAACAAGTATTCACACACAAATGTTTTACATGAAATAGTGAAAATGGAAGAAACAACTGAAATGATGTTACATTAATTGGTTATTATATGGAAATTAACTGCTATCTTGTATTAAGATTAAGAATTCATACCCTGAGCCATTCCATGCCTTCTACTTGGTACCAACGCATCACACCGCCTGTAAAATGTTTTGGTTGCTGAAAGGGTACAGGCTGTCCATTATATTTCCGAACTGGGTCAAAGAAGAGTTTAGTATTCTGCCTAACCGTTTGCGACAATCTATCTTTAATTATACTATTTGAATCTTTGTTTTTCTGAAGATCTTCTACACAGAGATTAGAAGAGGAGCTTTCATCCTATAAAGAAAAAAGTTTTAATTAGAAGTTTGATACACACTGCTACTTGATACTCTCTACTTAATAAAGAATGTTAACTGTTAATTAAAATTTACCCAGTGCTATAGTATTAGGTATGTAGAAATAAAACCCTAGCTGGAACCGGTTTGGCTCAGTGGATAGAGCATTGGCCTGAGGACTGAAGGGTCCCGGGTTCGATTCCGGTCAAGGGCATGTACCTTGGTTGCAGGCACGTAACCAGTAGGGGGTGTGCAGGAGGCAGCTAATCGATGTTTCTCTCTCATTGACGTTTCTAGCTCTCTATCCCTCTCCCTTCCTCTCTGTAAAAAAAAAAAATCAATAAAATAAAAAAAATAAAAAAAGAAAGAAAACCCTAGACATAGTTACCACCTTTCCCCCAAATACAAAGTAAGTGGGGGGAGAAAGACACTTTTGAAAAGACTTTTAGGATTGTACCTCCTTCCCAAAACTCTTGAGTTCTACCAAATTTAACTATTTCCTTCACCCACATAATTGATGTCTATAAAAGAAGAAAAAGCAATTTCCCTCAAGAAACATAGAAACATTTACTTCAAAATAAGTAATTACTTTCACTGCAGGAAAAGGGTAAAGTAAGTAAAGTTTTAAAATTCACACTATCACACCCAAGAATGTAAATGTATCTGTTTGTGACACTCAGCACCAATTATGACCAATGACAGATTTTATTGGTTTGGGACCTCCACAACTCTATTTTAAGAATGTGAAAATGGCCGAAACTGGTTTGGCTCAGTGGTTAGGGCGTTAGTCTGCGGACTGGGAGGTCCCAGGTTCAATTCCGGTCAAGGGCATGTGCATTGGTTGGAGACACGACCCGGTGAGGGGTGTGCAGGAGGCAGCTGGTCAATGTTTCTAGCTCTCTATCTCTCTCCCTTCCTCTCTGTAAAAAATTAATAAAATATATATTTAAAAAATGTGAAAATGAGGATTAAGTCAATTCTTAGGAAAAGTCTAATATAAATGATGTCACAACTGGACATGCTATGGGAAAAGCAAATGGACACTTCTGAAAGGCTAGGTAATCAGGTAAATGGTGAGAAAAAAGTATACTGATTAAAAGAATAATCAGAGAAGCAAATAAAATTCCTAAATTTAATACCTATTTTAAATCTCTTACCTCATTCTTCTTATTTTTTTTAGCCACAGACAAAATTTCCTAGAAAATTGAGAAAACAAAATAACAATGTATATGGTTCATTCATATACTTAACCCAACATTTAGTGCTCTGATTTTATGCCAGAAAAATGGGGATAAGGCTTTCATGGTAATTAAAATAGATCTCAAATTGAAAGTCTGCAGGCAAAATTAAACCTATAGTGTCTTATAAAATTGTTAATTAGGTAGCAATAAATTGGGATATTTATTCCTGAATTTTCCATTTTTTAAAGTCTAAATGAACGAGGTCCAAATTCACACATGGTCAACAGTGCTCTAGTAAAGAAGCTGACAAACTATACCCTGTGTACCAACTCCAGCTGGCAACCTGTTTTTATAAATAAAGTTTAATTAGAACAATGTCAGGCTCATTTGTTTACAGTGTATCTATGCTTGCTTTCAGGCTACAACAGCCAAAATTCAGGGTTGAATAGTTACCCATCAATTTGTGACTACTCCAGTTACTTAAGAATTAATTCCCAAAAATATTATAATCTCAACTCCAACACACTTTAGGCCTCTGTGCAGACATCTGAATTTGCAATCCTTCACAAGTGGCAAAGACAAGTTGAAAATACAGAATAAGAGTTCCGATTTGTGTGGAGACAATACCTAGTGTCACCTGGTGACTTAGGCAATACTACAAACATTTGATGAATTAAATTTACAACGGTGTGATTGGCTAAAGGTCAATAAACCTCAGTAATAGCGTTTACAACTGCAGGTTGAGTGTGTTCCATAATCAACTAAGTGGGTACTATTATTTTTTAAATGGGGGCTGGGTAAGGAGAAATATCTGTAAAGACAAGAATTATGTGAAATTTTAAATTTTACACTTTATTAATATGTAAAGAACTTGAATTTTTAAATTTCAGGTAAAAGAAAAAGTTTGTAGGTAATAAAGTTAGAATTTTTTAATAAAAGAATGTGATGCATTAAGATATGCTTAAGGGAACATTTAAGGTTTGTCATAACTGAAGATGTTCTTTTATTAGTTCCTATCATGAGGCCACAGTGAGAAGATAAAAAAAAGGGTCTGGTTTTAGAAACGAGTATGTGATCTTAGTTCCCTAATGGTCTTCAAGAAGGAACAAGAACAAAATTCTTAAGGTATTGAGGTTTCAATATATTATAATAATTTATGACTAGGCCAAGCTCATGCTCCTTTAACGAATAGGAAGATAATAGAATACCATCTTCTTCCCTCATACACTTAATGTGCTTAACAGCCAAGTAGGTAACTGCAATCCATTCAGCTTTAATAGTTTAAAACCCACAAAAAGATTTTACTAAACATTGAATCTAATGTGCCCTTCCCCCTTTATTTTTACCTCTTTTGACATAACCTCTGAAATATTGTATGATTCATCTTCTCTTCCTCTTTTCTTTCTCACAACTGTAAAAAAAATTTTATTTTATTTTTGATAGGAAATAATGCAAAAATATAAACACATATTCTCAAGATGAGAATAAGGAAATTTACCTGGATTCTCTTCACTTGCAGCAATGGAACTTTTACCCTACAGGACAAGGATTTAGAACATTATTTTTCTAAGGAGTGCTATGGCATTATATATTAAAATGAAATGATTAAGTAAATGTTCCTTGCAGTTGAACCACATTCACAACTCTACTTTTATACTTACCAACTCATAACCTTTTTCTGTACTTTTCTAATATAACTTATTAGTAACCAAAACCCTCTATTTTCTTCATTTTTTTATTTTACAAGAAAATTTTCAAAGTTACACATAAAAAACATTTTTATTTTGAAATTCCCATTTACATCTTCTATGCTTATGCTGAAGATATTCAACTGGTATTATATAAAAGTAGTACTCATTTTCAGTGAAATTAAAAGTTAAATACAATGAAAAGTAGAAATAAAAGGATACTGACTAAAAACATAGCAAGAGAAGATAAGGGAGAGGAAGAAATGTTCAAACACAGTTTGACACAGAGCTGGAAAAAAATTAAGGACCAGGTAAACATATATGATAAATGAAAATGACCAATAAACTCAATGAGAGAAAGAGGGTTCAAAATGAAAATACCAAGAGACTGATGAGGTGGAATAGACAAAATTTAATAATTTGCAACTTTAGAACAAAGCGGAAATGGGGGTACGGGGGACACACAAAACCCTGGTAATAAAAATTATCTAGAAAAAAGTGAAGGATGAATTAAATCAACAGGCCTGAAGGGTATAGATTAAAAGGTTAAATTAATAAAATTATCTTAGAAGTGCTTATTTTTTCTTTAAAAAACCAAAATAAGCCCCTGAAATCAACAACAGTCAAATTACTATATCAGTTTTTGAAAACCACTTTAGTTGCAACATTATCAACTATGTACATTAACATCATCACTAACCACACTAAGAATGAAATAACTGAACTTAAAAATACCCTACCTAAAAATAAATAAATAAATAAATAAATAAATAAATAAATAAATAAATAAATAAATAAATACCCTACCTATTCTCCTATTGGCATTTTGATATTTCCTAATAAAAGCAGTTTGGTACTGGAACTAAGTGTTGGGCCTGAAAGTAATCCTGGTTTGTTTTTTTAAAAATATATTTTATTGATTTTTTTTACAGAGAGGAAGGGAGAAAGATAGAGAGCTAGAAACGTCAATGAGAGAGAAACATCGACCAGCTGCCTCTTGCACACCCTCCACCGGGGATGTGCCCGCAACCAATGTACATGCCCCTGACCGGAATTGAACCTGGGACCTTTCAGTCCGCAGACCAACGCTCTACCACTGAGCCAAGCCGGCTTCGGCAATCCTGGTATTTTTATTTACCAGATTTGTAATCTTCAGCAAGTAAGTTACAGTGAATTCTCATTCACTAGTTAGGTTCTATAAATTCACTGCAAATAATAAATTAGTGAACACTAAACCACTGCCTCTAGGAGAAATACACGTTTAGGTTCCTGCATTTTCTGGTCCCATTTTTATCAATTGATGAAATATATAACCTTGTTTCTATGTGTGTTGCTATTTTTTTTTTTTTTAAATCAATCTTGTGTGTTGCTATTTTATCTTAACATATGTGTTGAATAACACTGAACTCGGGGCCAAAAGCACTGTACCTATTGAAGGAAGCTTTATTAATCTAGGAATTTTCTCCATCATGCACAACACAACCTTCTCAAATTAGAAACACCAGAAAGCACTTTGGCAGAATGTGGCTACAGGCCACTTTAAACAGCAAAATCAACAAAAATCTCAGCATTAGATAGAACACAAAAAGAACGCCTGTTTATAGTGTGATGGCTTAAGGCAGATCACCACTTTGTTTGACCTTAGCAGGAAAATGCGTGTTGGGAGATTCAAATTTTTGGCCATTCTGTACATGCACATGCTTATGAATGTCCATAAAAACACATGTTAATTTTGGGGTTACAAATAAATTTTAGTTGGTATGCTAATTTTCAAATACGTAATCTGAAAATGAGGATGGATTATAGTGAATCTCCTTACATCAACTTCTTTAAATGTAAAACGGAGCCCTGGCTAGTGTGGTTCAGTTGGTTGAGCCAAGGTTCCATGCACCAAAAGGTTGCAGGATAGATTCCTGGTCAGGGTACATTCCCTGATTGTAGGCTCGATCCCTGTAGGGGCCATGCAGAATGCAGTTATCAATGTGTCTCTCAAATAAGTAAAACACGGATGACAACAGTATCTCTACCTAAAAGCTCTTTTGAGGATTACTAACAGTACTCAATACATGTCACCCTCCTTATTCCTCTTTTCATTAGCACAGGTGTTCTTTATACATTTCCCATCATTATGGCATTAAACAGCCTCACATTGAAACATAATCTTCAAAAAATCACATCTAAAATTCAGGCTAGCTGGATGGATGTGGCTGAGCGTCTACTTAGGAACCAGGTCAAGGTTCGACTCCTTGTCAAGGCAAAAGCCTGGGTGGTGGGCTCCATCCCCAATAGGGGGTGTGCAAGAGGCAGCCAATCAATGTTTCTCTCTCATCATCGATGTTTCTCTTTCTCCCTCTTTGAAACCAATATATATATATTTTATTGTTTACAATAAAATAGAAACAATAAAATTCAGGCTACCCTTAAATGACTATTCTATCACCTGAAATATTATAAGACTATCTTCTCCAATCTGCCCCACTGTTACAGCTATACACAAGCTACACATTTTGATTATGTCCAGTTATGGCTGTAAGTTCACATGATGAGGTTGAAGATATGAAGAAGAAAGTAATAATTACTGGCTCCAAAAGTACTGGCCACTAATAAAATGCTTTGCAGTATAAACATTTGTAGATTTTTCCCAAATAAAAAAGTAAAATTTTGCATATATGAAATATAGTCCACAGAATAAAACTGAAGTAATACTTTTTAGAGCTCTCCTTCCATATATAAAATATTGAAACAGTTTTACATGTTCCTATAAAGTTTATAACAAAGACAAATTATCAAAGTAAATATATGATCAATAAAGTTGAAAGAGCCGAGACCGGTTTGGCTCAATGGATAGAGCGTCGGCTTGGGGACTTAAGGGACCCTTGTTCGATTCCAGTCAAGGGCATGTACCTTGGTTGCGGGCACATCCCCAGTAGGGGGTGTGCAAGAGGCAGCTGGTCGATGACTCTCTCTCATCGATGTTTCTAGCTCTCTATCTCCTCCCTTCCTCTCTGTACAAAATCAATAAAATATATTTAAAAAAAATAAAAAATAAAAAAATAAAGTTGAAAGAATACAAAAGAATTTCTTCAATATTTAAGGTAACATATACAATATAGTCTAGATTACTATACATTACCGTAGTAACTTTGGAAGAGTCCTTTTTCCTCTCTAATTTCTCTTTCTTCTTCAGTTCCTGTAAAATAATTTTTCTTAGTGTTACAAACAAGGAAATGACAGAAATGTTTTTCAACTTGATGGTGCAGACAGTTACACAAAACTATATTTGGTCAAAAGTCATCATCAATCACATATACATACCTCTAACTGTTGTTGTTCCATTTTAGTCAATAAAAATTTGGAGTAGATATTGCTTTTTTCAAGCAAATGTTGAAGTCTACGGTACCGTATGTCCACGGACTCTCTATCCCAAGACTTGTGAGCCTATTCAAAGGAAAAGCTTCCATAAGTATTAAAAGTTTTTTGTCATACATTAATTGACTTTTTGCATAAGGTATAACCAACACTGGCTAAACAAATGCTCTTTAGATTTAATATACTTCATGTAATTAATGAAAATGTTAAAAGAAAATTAAATAATTTACTAATAAGATTTTATTTCCAAACCAAATACTAAAACAAATAGCTGAAAAAGTGATTCTTGGGTTCAACAGGCAATCTGTGGTATTTTTAAATATTAAACATTTATCATTGTGAACCCACTGTTGTATGATAGATACTTAGAAATCACTCAACAAATGGTGTGCAAAAGTGATACGTAGTGATTTAAAAATCAATAAAGCAGAACTTTGAAATCATAAGTTGTACAGAAGTGAAAGATAAAGTAAAAGAAAAGGGGAAAACTGGGGAACACAATGCTGCAGGATAGAGAAAAGGCTTGTAAGAAATCAATAGATTTAACACGTTCCAATATTTTAACAACATGGCTTTACAATTCTGAAAGATGTTCTGATCCCTCACCAATGGCATTATTTTGTAATTCTAATGTTCTTTCAAATAAAACTGGTATATAAATTTTTTCATTTGATTGTTTGAAAACTAAATTTCAACTTGAATTAAGTACTCACTTTCTAACTTTAATTGCAAATATATATATATTTTTTGTATCCAAAATATGTTTATTGGGATGGTTTTCCACTCATCTTGATTTGAGGTGCTTTTAGTGCTGCTTCCTTCTGAAGGAGCATCCTTCTGTGAGCCTTGCTTTTCCTCCTGTTGGCTGACAGAGAACAGTGGAGCAACCAACACACAAAACTACCGTTTGTGCATGGCTAAAGACAGTGGTGATTTTATAGCACCCTGGGCATTTGACATCCATGAAGTAGGAATTGGGGCTTTGCACCAGGTGCTTCTTCTTGTGTTTCCTCTTCTCCTCTTCCGGAGAGGGGATGGAGGAGATCCTTAGCGAGAGGCATATTGTTGTGGGGAGGTAGTCACCGCCGGAAAGCTTAATTGGAAATATTTTTAAAGGGACCTTCAACTTAGTAAATGGCAGTAACTGCACGTCCAGTATCTGAAATTTCTAAGTATCTACAATAGTGGATTCACAATGATAAATATTTAATATTTAAAAATAGCATAGGACACAAGATAGAAAACATAATGGCAACAAATAGTATAGTTCAGTGGCCCACACACTTTTTCTGTGAAAGGCCAAAGCATAAATATTTAAATATCACATGGTTTTTACTGCAAATACTCAATTATGCCTTTTTGCATAGCAGCAGTCATATGTAATATGTTATAGTGAACACAAATCTGTTTCTTTTTAAAAAAAATATATTTTATTGATTTTTTACAGAGAGGAGGAGAGAGGGATAGAGAGCTAGAAATGTCGTTGAGAAAGAAACATCGACCAGCTGCCTCTTGCACACCCCCTTCCGGGGATGTGCCCGCAACCAAGGTACATGCCCTTGACCGGAATCGAACCTGGGACCTTTCAGTCCGCAGACCAACGCTCTACCACTGAGCCAAACCGGTTTCGGCACAAATGTGTTTCAATAAAACTGTTTAGTCAACAGGAACATGTCAAATCCAATTCATATTATAATTTGCCATCCAGAAACTAAATTCAAAGTAAAGCATTAGGTGGGCTGAAGTGAAACAACTGAGAATTGACTTCACCTACTGAAACAAAAAACTATATGCAAATCCTATCAACCATCAATTCCACTCCCAAGACAAAGACCTTATGAAATGGACATAGGTAGCATAATGTAATTAATTTTAAAACCAGGCACCATTTGAATATTGGCTTTTATATTTCCTAGATCTCTCTAGAGTTTCTTTCAAAATAAATTTAATTTCTATTACAAAACCAAGACACCTATGGATAAAAATAACTAAAGTAACACATTGCAGAAAAATATTTTTTAAAATATATATTTTTGATTTCAGAGAGGAAGGGAGGAGTGGGAAAGAGAAAATTAATGATGAGTATCATTGATCCGCTGCCTCTAGCATGTCCCCAGTACCCAGGCATATGCCTTTAGCTGGAATCAAACCTGGGACCCTTCAGTCCACAGGCCAATGCTCTTATCCACTGAGCCAAATCAGCTAAGGCTACAGAAAAAATACTTTAAAATCGCCTATCTTATCCATGTAGTTAATCTGTTGATATATTATCAAACTCGATTTTCAGTTCTTTTTAGATTTTTCAGTCTTTCTTTTACTATCAACAATATACTACTGTGATACTATAGGCAGTCAATGAATGAGGTAGGCCTTACAAATGGGGAGATTAAATTACTTAGGACTTTATAAAAATGAATTTTTAAATTTTTAACTTTATATATTTGTTTAAAATTTTAGTGAAAATCATTCTGGGCTTAACTTACATATATTTGCTAGCTGAAATCCTGTTCACAATAAATTAGCAGCCATTTTTTTACATTAAAACTTTAAGATGCTATCATGAACAATTTACAATTTATGTAAGTAGAATACTATGCCAATGGTTAACCTTTAAACCCAGTCTTATGTATTTCAAAATAATTTTGCAGCAAATCTTATCATTACTTTTTCTTGACTTAACTTCATTGTTATAGTAAGGTAAATCATAGCTTCATCTGTGGAAAGCTGTGAATGCCTGGCAGTAGCGTTAAAATGTTTGCTACTAACAAGAGACCAAAAGCATAAATAAATTCCCTTTGTCTACCCCACGATCTCTCCCCATACAACCCCAGATTTTGGGGGTGGGAAGAGTTATGTTTCAGTCTACACAACATAAACTATTTTTTCCTTTTACCTCTCCCGACATCTCACCTTTACCCTCCCCCACTTCAGACACATTAACGCTGCTATTAAGTAATTCTAGACTAACAATGGCTTCTTTCTAAAGGAAATGCAGGTGAAAAAAAAAGAAAAAGAAAAGTGTAGCACGTGAATGTCAAAGTCATTGTCCAGGGTCTTCACAATCGTTAAAATCTCCTAAAGCAAAGTAAATGCTTCTCATTAAGGCTTAAGCGGGCTCTTCCTCTCTTAAGTAAATACTTCTAAATATATGCCCATAAGTACTGTGTTTTCTGAAAAGGAATCTTTCCTCTTCTATAGTGAGGTTTTTGGCCCCCAAAGACATATAGGTAGAAACTCATTTTTAGAACTTTCTTCAAAATCACATAGGAAATACCTTATAAATGTCAAGTGCAAAAATTAATCAAATTATTTCAATACTTACATAAAAAGACAACCTAATGACAATGGAGCACAATATAAGGTTTTCTTTGAACAAATTATACCCTTGTATTAGAAGGTTTAAAAATAACTATGCTTTATTCATGCATGGAAGGACTAAAAGTGGATTAAAAATTGCTATGTTAATTGCATAACTGCTTTAAAAAAGAGCTAGCTGTACTATACTTATCTCTCAACAATAACAATTCTAAAAAAAGTGTAGAGCTAATTGCAAAATGTTTGTTCAAAAGTTTAAAAATATCACTGATTGCTAGTTTCATCAGCTAATACTCAAGGTACTAAAATTTTGAGTTTGTAAATGTTTCTTCCTCTTACTATGCATTCTGGGAATGTATTCTTATTGTACCTCATCTTTTTTTGAAATGATAGTTCCTTACCCAACAATCTTCATGAAGATACATACTACACAAAAATTAAGGATTTATCACTCCTAAAAGATAAGTTGATACTATCTATTTTGGACACTTATCCCAGGATTCCCCCTTTAAAAGGTACCTGGTAAGTATATTTATTTTATTTACATACTCTATGATGTGCTATGTGATAAATTACAAAATATTCACCATACTTAGAAATTCAATAAAATTTACTATTTGCTACCTGCAGAGTCTACAGAAACAAAAGTGATGTGCCTTCAATAAACAAAGTGAGAAAGTCAAATAAGTAATTTAAGAAATACTATGGAAATTCAGAAAATGAGGAAAAGTGGTTCAAGATCAACCTCCCACCATAACCGGTTTGGTTCAGTGGATAGAGCGTCGACCTTCGGATTCAAGAGTCCAGGGTTCAATTACGGTCAAGGGCATGCACCTTGGTTGTGGGCACATACCCAGTAGTGGGTATGCAAGAGGTAGCTGATGTGTTTCTCTCTCATCGATGTTTCTAACTATCTCTCTCCCTTTCTCTCTGTAAAAATAAATAAATAAATAATCAATGAAATATATTTTTTGAAAATAAAAATACCAACCTCCCAATTTTATTAGAATTTGTTAGCATATTACCTTAACCGATTATTGTCAACTATGGATAATCAGTAATGGCAGAACCTTTGTTACTGGCATGCAGTACAGTATGGTGCTTAAAAAGTGTGGCTTCTGGAACCTCGCCCCCTGCATGACAACCTTGGCTCGGCCATTTACTAGCAGCGGGGACCCAGACCACCTGCAAGTGCCGCAGTTTCCTCATCCCTAAAATGAGGTGAGAACAGAACCTACCCCACAGAATATTTGCCTCTGGAGAGCAATAGTTCCCAAAATACGTGGTTTTGTAATTACACGAAGTTCAATACTAATGTATGTATTTCCCTAGAGGGGTATAGAGTTAAAGACAAGAACGCTGCAGTCACACACAGTTCACATCGGAGTTGTTAGTGTGTGACCCCCAACCACTTGTTTTGCCTTAAATGGGGATATCCAGAGTACCCATATCCTAGCAGCGGGAGGGCTAAATGATTTATTATGAGAAAATTACTTGGGAGGCGGTAGGAAAAAGCTGGTGACTATTCTTTTTCTTACTTATGCAATCATTAAATAGCAGGGTGGGACTTCCTTATCGGAGAGAAATGTATTTCGGAAACGAGTTAAAGAGGTTAGACACTTCTTTTACTCATCTACAACATAGATACTCTGTACGTGAAAACCACAAGGAGACTAACTTACGGAAAAAGCACACCACACTTTCACCTGCAGAATCTTAAGTGGTAGCCCCAAATACCGAAACGCAGGGGGGTCACTTAGGTGGCAAACGGCACTAAGAAAAGCACTCACCATCAACCCGGGGAACATTAAATAGCCAACCAAGCAAGGTGACGTTCTCTCTCACAACAGAGGAGAGGGCCAAACCTCCTCTCCCCGCAGCCGCATTCATCCACAGCACGTGCCCAGGTCTGACCGATAAGCATCGTAAACAGCCGGGGAGCACGGGGCCCGGCCCACAGCTGAGCGCCCGGCCGGCGGGCGGCCCGGACACACCTGCGGAGGGAAGGAAGCGCCGGCCCCGCCGGCCCGTTACCTTTTCCAGCATCTGCCGCTCCCGCTCCAGCCCCGCGGCCTCCAGCTGCTCCTCCTCCTCCAGCATGGCCGGGGTGATGACCGCGGGCTCCGGCTGCGCGGCCCCTAGGAGGGGAGAAGGCTTCCCAGTTGCGGTTTCGGAAACATAACCCAATGGCTCAACTTCCCCATAAGAACCTTCCTCTCCTTCCCAGACACATTCGAGGGAGACGCCGGGGACCATCAGCTCGGAAGGGACACCCTCCGCTTCACGGTGCCAACAAGTGGCCAGAACCCCCGCTTACAAACCGGGGGGCGGAGGGGGGAGGGCGCGCGCTGGGGAAAAGGCGGCTCTCGCGTGTAAATAAAACCTCCTGAATCTGCAAAGACGCGCAATTCCGAGCACCCTCCACTCGCGCCGCGCAGCTTCTATCTAACCCCTCTTTTCCTCCTCAGCCTCTGCCCGGGGCCAGCTCTGCCCCCAAAGCCGGGCTGCAGTGCAGCTTCCATGCTGCGGCCCCCTCCGCCCGTGCCCCGAGGAAGGTCCCCCTCACGCACCGTCGCTGCTCGCGGGCTGCTGCGCCGGCATGGCTGCACACTCTCTGCGGCCGAATGCCCTCCCCGAAGAACCTGCCACGCCGCGCGCCGTGCCCTCCGCCGCGGCCGCCCCGTCCTCTCCACAGGTCCCGGCCAGAGAAAAACGCGCGCTTCTCTTTCGCGGGAAAACACCGTCATCTCGCGATACTTCGCGCTCCTCGTCCCCGCCCCCCCGCCCCTCGCCCCCGGCGGCGCGAGATTTGGCGCAGAAGATGCACCTGGGTGCTGGTTGGCGTTTCCTGGGACCGGTGTCCCAGGGCGGCTGGGTTCCGCTGCACAAGTCGGCGTTCGGCTAACTCCGTGGCACCGGGCGAGTCTGCCCACCACGGAGAGCCCGGTTTCCTCCCGCACCGGAGGGTACTGGGTAGCGCTCTTAGCCGTTTGCAAGACACCTCTCCCCCTGGCTGCTGGGATTAAGCCCCGCCGGCCGGCCGAAGGTCCCAAAGGTGAGCACCCAGGTGAGGGTGTCAAACACGTATTGCCAAGCTCGCCCGCCGCCCGCAGTTCACATTTAGAGTTAAAATTCCCCGAAATAACCAAGAAAAGGGCTCTTTTGTGAGTGGAATGGGAGAGAAAAATAGTAAATTAAGATAACGGTGGAATTCAAGAAAGTTGTTTCAGGGTAAGGGAGACCTGGATGCAGTGATAAATCGAGCGTTGTGACCAATAATAAAGATTCCGTAATTCAATAACCAGTAATTAGCGTGAGCGCCTATAGGAAAGCGCAGGGCTTCTGTGTTTTTTTTTTTCAGCCTTCAAGCACCTCCCCCCTTGTAGTCTGCAGTCCCTTTCAACAAGTTCCTGTTTCCCTTCCCCCACCTCAGAATTTGTGGTGTGCCTGCCATACCATTTCTGACTCCAACAACTTTAATAACTATTTGTACAATGTTCAAGAATTTACAATGTACAACAATCATAACCATCTTCAGCAGCCTTCAAAACACGTGGAGATTAGCAGATTACTTTTATTCCTACATTGTCATGAAAAAACAAACCGGATGCTCAGAGAAAAATTGGCTTGCCCAGTATTAAGATAAAATGTTAATCTCAACAATTACTCTTAAATCCTACCTCCTTCTAATCAAATACAATTAGGTATCAGTCTCACTCTAAGTAAGATTGTTTTTCTTTAAAAATTTTTTATTTCAGAGAGAAAAAGGGGAAGAGAGAAACATCACTGTAAGAAACATTGATTGCCTGCCTCCCGCATGCACCCGGACTGGGACAGAATCTGGAACCTGGACATGTGCCCTGATCTGGATTCAAACTCCCCACCTTTTGGTGCATGGGCAGCATCCCAACCAACTGAGCCACACCGGCCAGGGCTACATAAGATTTTTTACCTTCATCAAACTATCCTCCAAAATTTCTTCCTCCCTGACTTTTCAAACACCTATGTCTTCCTCTTCTAAAAATCCTTTTCATATCAGTGACTTCACCACCCATCCAATCATAGAAACACACACACACACACACACACACACACACACACACACACACACAAGCGCGCGCGCGCACGCACGCGCGACAGCTCCCTCTTGCTTAAATTAGATTACTCCACTTTCTGCCTACCTCACAAACTAAACAATATTTACCAGGCAGACTTTCCTTTCAGATTCTCAAAACCAAATTTACAAATCTACCTGCACCTGAACATCTTTTCCACAGTCCCTCCAGTTTTGCCATCAGATGACACATTATCCCTTTCCCTATTTAAGCCTTTACTGAATACTTTCCATTCACATTTAAATATTCAAAACTCTCCCATCTTGAAAAACAAAGAGACAACCTCCTTTATTCCCACCAGCTAATTATTACCTACTCAGTTCCCTTTATAGCTAACTTTACAATTACCTACATTAGCAATTTTTAATTCCCCTGCCTCCCACTGATTCTTCAATCACATCTGGCCACCCCACTCACTACACACAGAGGTAAATAAGGAAATCACTGATCCACATCAGTATTTGCCAACTTTTGACCTCATGGACTACCAGTGGTTCACAGACCACCAGTTGGCAACTGCTGCTCCAAAGATTTCCTTAAACCAGCGGTCACCAACCTTTTGGACTTCACAGACCACCAGTGGCTAGTTGGCGACCACTGATCTACAAGATGCTAAGTTTAATGTACATCTCTTAGTCCTCATCTCAACCTCATTGCCATATAACACTATCAACCATTCTTTTAGGAAAAACACTTGTTCCTTCAAATACCAGATCCTTCCAATTCCTATTTCATTCTCTTCTACTCAACCTTTAAATATTTGAGTTGAATTTCTTTCTGGCTAAGTGCATAATCTCTCATAGAAATACCCTAAAGGGAAAGTTCACTGAGGAATGGCCAAAATAATAGCCTACTATCCATTACCATCACTGGTAGTGAGTGCCCAGTACTATATTGGGCACTAGCAATTCAGTGGTTTAAAACTAAACAAACCAGTGTTTCTGACCTCAGAGTTTAGACTGTAGTGGAAACAATACAAAACTACTATAGAAAACATTGTCAGCTAGTGATAGTAGTTACTGGACAGGGACCTGGCTCTGTGTGGGTTTGTCTAGGGTCAGCAGGTAGTGGGTGGATTCTTGACTTTGTGTAGGAAAAATTTCACAACACAAGTCCAAGTGACTATGAGTGTATGTTTATTAAAGCTGGGGTCAGCCTTAGCTGGTTTGGCTCAGTGGATAGAGCATCTGCCTGCACTGAAGGGTCCCTGGTTGGATTCTGGTCAAGGGCATGTACCTTGGTTGCAGGCACATCCCCAGTAGGAGGTGTGCAGGAAGCAGCTGATGGATGTTTCTCATAGATGTTTCTAACCATCTCTTTCCTTTCCTCTCTGTAAAAAAAAATATATATATAAAAATAAAAATAAAATCAATGAAATATATTAAAAATAAATAAAGCTGGGGTCAGTAAAACGAGAAAGGGCCAACAGGAAAATGCTAGGCTGGGCTGCCTTAGCTCTCTGGGAAGTCAGAGAAAAAGGGGCGTTGAGGACAGATTCAGGGGATTAACCTGGGATGAGCTGTTGCTGCCTATTGTGCTCCCTGGTGGGACTCATAAGAGTTTCGGAGATGCGTGTCTGTGGGGGAAGAGGGAAAAAAGGATTCAGGCTGCTTGCCAGAGGTGCCAGAGGGAGGGTGTGTGCTGGGTCCTTTGTCTAGAGGACTTTCTTTTCAGACAGGAATCTTAGGGGAGGTCTCAAAAAGGTTTTAGCAGAATATTCATCAGTTTTCCAGGTGTGTTCTTTCGGGTGTGGCCTTTACTGATTGGTCAGTGCCAGGGCAGTGGGTTGTTAAGTCACTGCAGCCAGACCTGGCATCACCCACCTGGTGGTTTTGCTGCTTTTCTAGGCCTGGAGCCCTGCGTAGGGTCAGCAGGTAGTTGGTGGAAAAAACAAACTGAGGTCTAGATGTTTTCTCTAAGGAGGTGACCGTTTTTTTTTTTGTTTTTTTTTAATTCAATCTTTATTGTTCATATTATTACAAAGGTTCCTCATTTCTTCCCCCCTCCACCAGGTTCCCACCCCACTCTCCCCACCTCCCACTGTCCTCATCCACAGGTACACAGTTTATGTTCAGTCTCTTCCTGCATCCACCACTCTCCCTTTCCCCGAGAACTGTCAGTCCACTCCCCTCCATATCTCCGACTCTACTACAATCAACAGCTAATATTGTTCATCAGGTTTTTCAATCTTTTTTTTTAAATTAATAAACTTTTACACTTCTAAGAATAAATTTTAAAATCTAAACATTGTTTTTTCTGCCCTGGGAATTGAGAAGCAAACTTGTTTACATGTAAACTTGCCCTTAGACTATCAAAAGGTGTAGCCATTCAAATGTAAATTAACACATTGTTTAAAGATAGCTGCTGGTTGGAATTTACCTGTTCTGGGTGGGAAGGGCTTGTTCTCCCCTTTCTCCATTAAAATTAAGGTGTTAGCTTTAAAACCTCTTTTTGGCAAGAGACCTTAAACTTTCAGAACTTTAAATTTTTCTGATAGTAAATCAGTTACTTAGCATTTTCTCAAATCAATAATACCTCCACATGCCCAAGGATACACTTCACACAAAAGACATTTCCAAATAGATCAACCAACCTCATCCAGACCCCACCCAAGGCACTCACAGATCAACACCCCAGCGCTATACTAACTCAACACATCCAGATCTAAGCCTTCATCACTTGATTCAGCAGACCCTCAAGTTCCCCCAAAAGTTTCCAGCCATGTCTGAGAGGCAGCCCTGGGGCGTGGGCAGGTGAGGAGGGAGCTGTTCCGGGCCTGGCTGCTCCGGGCCTGGCCTCTGTTGCTCTGGTCCGCTAAGGAGGTGACCTTCTATCTATATATCTGGCTATAAATTGCTCAGCCAGTTTGTTCAGTTATTTGTCTCGGTTTTCCCATTTCATTTCTCCTGGCTTACTGGCTTGTCTCAATACTATAAGGAAACATAAAGCAGAGTAAGTTCATAAGAATGATAAATGGATTTTACATAAAATTCAACTCTGAATAAGTGACATTATGCAGGGACCTGAATGAGAGAGACTATAAGTTGCCAAAAACCCATTTGGCTCAGTGGATAAGAGCGTCGGCCTGCGGACTGAAAGGTCCCAGGTTCGATTCAGGTCAAGGGCATGTGCCTTGGTCGAAAGCACATCCCCAGAAAGGGGTGTGCAGGAGGCAGCTGGTCCATGTCTCTCTCATTGATGTTTCTAGCTCTCTCTCTCATTTCCTCTCTGTAAAAAATCAATAAAATATATTTTAAAAAAAGAAAAAAAGAAAGAGAATATAAGTTATACAAAGACCTAGTCAAAGAACACTTTAGAAGAAACTGCAGGAGTAAAAGCTGTTAGGTAGATAAGAGGTTGGCAGATGGAGAAATGACAATAAATAAATTAGGTCTACTATTGAATTAATGAGGTTGGGTAGTAGTTGGACTTGTAGAGACAGGCCAGAACAGATAGAACCTTATTGAGCAGGGTAGAGTGGATTTTTGTTAAAGGGAATGCCACTGGAAGGTCTTAAGCAAGAACATGATAGGATTTATGATCTTTTCAAAGATCATAAAACATGCCTAATTAAAAGTTTGATGAGAATTGCTTACTTTTCATAGGTTTCCATAAGTGGCTTTAAAAATCGAATAATAATAAATATTACAACGAAGTAATGAGGAATTACCTTATTGCAACACAATTTATTGAAAAATCAATTAGTATTAAGAATAGAACACTTTCAAACACTTACTTTTCAGTTTATCTTCTCAAGTTAAAGTCTAAACATAGCACTCAAAGCCTTTTACAGTCTACAAAGGTTGTAAATACTTCCCTTTCAAAGTTTAAGAATATAGATGCTAAAATTAAAAGCTGTGTGATTTAAGTGGTAATCAAAATATATCAACTACTTTACAATATTTATTATCAATACTGCCTAGACCAGAAAAATTTAAAGTTTTACTTTCTGCTTTTTATAGCACCACTGTGCATAGATAGTATTATGCTGGCAGATGAGAATGAGAACTAATGTATATACACTATTGTTGACAATTTTATGTATTACCTCTGTATTTATCATTTACATTTGTTACAAAAGTGATTTTCCAAATACATTACAATAGTACAAGTCATTTTACCTTAACTAAAATCATGAAAATACTGTTTACTTAAATGTTCAGCAAATTAAACATTTTTGCAATGCAATTTTTAAAAAATTCAAATTAGAAAATAAACCCAATGCACCAAATGAAATACACACAGTAAAATCTCATTAATTGAAATCAAGGTCTGGTTCAGGGGATTAGCCTGGAAGGAGCAGCTGCTGCCCATTCTGCTCCTGGTTGCAAGTCTCTGGCCGGATGGCTCAGTTGGTTGGGCCCTTATGGGAGGCAGCTGATCAATCTCTCTTTCTCTCTCTCCCTCCTCCCTCCTTCCCTCCCTTTTTCTCCCTCTCTCTCTCCCTCTTCCCGTCCCTCTCCCCCTCCCTTCCTCCCCTTGCTCAATAATCAATGGGCATATCCTCCGATTTAAAAAATATGCTCAGGCTGAAACTGGTTTGGCTTAGTGGTAGAGCGTTGGTCTGCGCGCACTGAAAGGTCCCAGGTTCGATTCCAGTCAAGGGCATGTACATTGGTTGCGGGCACATCCCTGGTAGGGGGTGTGCAAGAGGCAGCTGGTCGATGTTTCTCTCTCATCGATGTTTCTAGCTCTCTATCTCTTTCTTCCTTCTCTCTGTAAAATATCAATAAAATATATTTTTAAAAAAAAGAATCTGGAGACTTTAAAAAATAATAATAAAAAAATAAAAAACATGCTCAGTGGTAGAGTGTGGACCCATCAACAGGAGGTCCTGGTTTGATTCCAAGTCAGGGCACATGCCTAGTTTTCAGGCTCCATCCCCAGTAGGGGGCATGCAGGAGGCAGCCAATGGATGATTCTCATCACTGATGTTTCTCCCTCTCTGACATCAATAAAAACATACTAATATATATATATGCCAAGGCCTTCTTCTCTCTCTGAAGTGGCTACTTTCCCTGAAATATTTTTAAAAACTTTAATTTTTGTCTTTACATGTTATGAAGCAGTGAAGTTCTAATTAATTAAACTTTACTACATTTGGGAATTCATATTTTAGGTACTGCTCTGACAATATCAAAACAATATAGATTTGATACAAAAATCAATTTTCCCCCCAGAGGCAAGACTGACACTATGTGAACTAGTCATGGCAAATTAAAATCTAATTATTCAATGCTACCTCACATATTTTTTGCCTCTTTTATACCAATCTCTGGTATTTGAATATACTCCTGGAATACAAAATAGTTTATCTAAACAGAAATAGGTTATGAAAAATAGAAATAAATCATATGGCATTATGAAACTATGTGAATTATTCCATGATTATATGATTTAGAATTATAACCTCCAACAGTATAGACTCTAATATGTTGACTTCTCTAGATGAAGATAACATGAATTCCTAAGTTACAATGAAAGTCATTATCTTCAAGTCAGAGGCTTTGAAAATCTCCAATGTCTTTTTGCAAATGTCACCTAACTTTTGTAAGTCAAATATACTCAAACAATTAAATTATATGAAGGTCATCAATGAAGGATAAATCAGAAAAAACTATGACTATGTTATGTGACTTCTGAAAACTTTGATAGTTAATGGGTTCCTCTAATAGCACTTAAATAATAGAACATAAACCTGGGCTAAAAGGACAATTAAGTGAGAAATACACATATTGATTAAGTAGAAAAAAAAAATATATATATATATATTGTATTTTATCATGCCTTGTACCTCCCAAACAGGCAGTATGGAGTTATTTACATAGTCAATATATGAGAGTTTTTCTTTTGGTTAAAGTATATTTTCAATTAAAATGTAACTTTTCCCAAGATACTGTGAAATTTAACATGGTGTTTCATTTTGTAATATTAGACATGGCAGATTAAATACCTATGTAATATTAGACTAAATGAAACACGATGTTAAATTTCACAGTATCTTGGGGACTATAGGAAAAGTTATGTTTTAATTGAAAATATACTTTAACCAAAAGAAAAACTCTCATACACTGACTATGTAAATAACTCCATACTGTCTGTATGGGAGGTACAAGGCATGATACAATACAATATTTTATCTGCCAGTACTGTCAGTCTCACCCTTGGACTATTCTCAATAACCTATATAAATTATCCCATGTTAAGAAAAAATTTAAAAGGGGAGGAGGACATCTAGAGATGATTGGCAACAAAAAAGTGTATTCCTTTTGTTTTTTTCTCCAACTGTGATTAAATAAGCCAGATATCCCCAAAGTAATGAAGACTCATTTCACGTAATTACTATGCTTACAAGTTTTATTTACACAGTACTTGTTAATAGTGGTTTTTAATGAATTCCTTATATTTACATTTTATATATACATTTATATTTGAAAGGTAAAGAAACTGTACAATAATAAAAATGAGAAAAAGAAATACAGTAACTTAGGTCCAACTCAGGAAAGAAATACATAAAAGGAAGGTTAAACTCAGGCAGGTAGAATAATCTCAATGAGATTGCTGCAGGGCTTACATTCCCTCTGTCAGGGTCACCAATGTGAAAGAAGTATTTACCAGAGTCAAAACCTTTTATAAGACCCTGGGTACTCCCTCAATATTTTATTACACAACTAGTTTCCACTAAGGAAGCTCCTGTGACAGGAGTTAACTTCTGAGGGTTCTACTAGTGGTCCCTAGGCTAGAATGACCCATGGGGTAAAAATATACGGGCACATCTGGTCCCATACTCCTAAAAAGGCAGTCATTACACTAACAAGACCCTCAGGCTTGTCAGTTTGTAGACAATATACCACTAACAGAAACAGTGTGCTGTGTTGTTTCAAACCAAACTGCAACATAAAAGCACACTATATATGCTATTAACCAAACAACATATTATATATCACTCATAATATTCAAGTGATTTATTTTATTTTAGGTATAAGAATTAAACATATTATAATAAATTTAATGTCAATTTACCAATAATTAATAATTTGTCTATCCACTCTATCATCAAAGTTAGACTCATTAGAAAAAGTTCACTTTATCTTTTACTCTTATTTACGTTGATTAGAAAATTATGCACAGTATTTTACAAGTCATAGACTTGGTTACATATTAAGATTTCAAATTTCAAACTGAAATTAAAAAATTTTATTTCTATAAACAATGAAGGAATTTTAACTAAAAAAATCTCAAGTTTTTTCAAGAACTGTCAGAATTCATACTTTTTTACTTTTACCAGTGGGGGAAAAAAATCTCATTTATATTTATGGACTTACTCCCCAAATCAAGTCTTCAGTCCATTAAAGTGCAAAGATTCTACCAATTAGCTTTCTTAAATTACTAGATGAACAAGTTTTTAAACTATAAACAGAAAGGCTAAATTTCTTTAATAGGATTACATAAGGGAAAAAAATTCTCTTTAAGAAACAAATAGACATGATATAGTGGAAAAACATGAAAATCAACTTCCCAAGTATTTCCAGTTCCCATATGACCAAGATTTGCCCCGACCTGTGAATGAAGATAAACAACTTCAGTTACTTAAATAATTTACAACCAAAGTTGCTTATTCTTGGTCTATAAAATCTTCAAAAGGTCAGCACTTAGGATACATAATATCTGTACTAAGGTGTTTATTTCAAATAGTATTTTGGAAGTTAAAGTCGTATTTAACAATCCTGCTCTGACCTCCAAAGTGCTTTTATATGGTAACTATTAAAAAAAAAAAAAAAAAAGATGTAAAGTTTAAAGTATCTTCAAAGCTGTTAAAAATTTTTTATTGCATTACTGTTCACTCCAAATTATGGAGTATAAACAAGTCATTTAAACTTTTTCTTTTGTAAAATGATGCTCCCTACAAAATACTTTTAAAAAAAATTAATACTGTCAATAGGTTACTTATTTCATTTACTTCAGCCATGGAATTCAAAATCAGCAGTTTTCCATGTCTTGATTCTTTTAGATTTCTCCATCCTTTTTACATAGGAAACAAAAACTTTTCTCAAAAGACAGTTATATTCCAATTAGTTTGTTAATTTTGAAGATTAGCTTTTCAGAGTAGGACTATTATTCTTGTCTCCTTCTTTAATATCCTTCATTACAGATGCAAAGACCTGAAATTATACAGAGTAAAGATTAATCCTCAAAACACTATCATGTAGATTTAAGAGAATAAAATAACTACAGTATATCAACACTTAAGTTTGAGACTGCCATTCTCAAATCCTTTTGTTTCAACCCAATTTTATGATATATATTTTAGTTTTCAGTTTTCATCACTTGTTAAAATACAGATTGGGGCAAAAGTAGGGTTACAGTTGTTTACATGGAAAATAATATAATAATGAATAAATAATAAAATAAGAATAAACTCTGTATTTTGTGTTCTCACAATTGTAAACATACTTTTGCCCCATCCTGTAGTCTTAAATTACTATTTGGTAACAGAACATTTTCTGGACCAATATCCTTACATTTCATTTTCATAAGCAATAAAACTGAGCTTATTTATAATGCCTAGCCTATTGTCTATCACTCATGAAGCAAATAATACTACTGTCTTTTATGTTACTTAGACTGCCAATGTTTGCTTCCCTAACAAGACCAAGCATCTAAAAAGCCAGGATCATATATTATTTTCTTTCTGTTGCAAATCCTTAGTACATAACAGGTGTTTAATATAATTGCTATTTGAAATACAAAAATAATAATATATTTGCTTTGGCAAAGACTGACTATTGTAAGTTGTACTTCACTAAAATCATAAAATATTACTGAATTTACAGAAAAATAAATCCATAGATTTGGAGAGGTGAAAAAGAAGCAATCTGTTTTAAACTCTTGCTCTTTCAAAGTCAAGAATTACTTTTAAAAGATTTTTTAAAAATTTTAAGCACTAACATTTGAGAAATACATGACTTTTTTGTTTTGTTTTTTTATAAGAAGTCAACTGATTGTTTTAACACATCTATTAGAAGTAGGAAAAATGTCACTCTACCTGAGGCCATTTTTTGGTGCTATTCTGCATCTGAATTGCTGCAATACAGCTGAACAGCTTTTCTGATGTAATATCTTCTGGTAATTTAGTTAGAAACTGTGCTATATGAATAAAATCCATCTGCAGGAGAATATCTTCATATAATCGCAGGATCCCTAATCCAGTCCTAAATAAAAATTCTTCTCCATCTCTGCAAAATACATCCCAAACTCGACATGCCAGATCAAGTGGTAGTGATTTGCTATATAGGGTGAAGATCCTAAAATTAGGGGGGAAAATAGTCATTGAAAATTTTCATTTTATTCATTCACTCATTAGGCATCTCTATATTTAAAAAAAACAACACAGTGCTTAATTAGGGATAAAAAGGCAAATGAAATATGGCTTCTTCTCGAAAACAGCTTGAGTAATACAAAATTAAGTAATACGTAAGTAAATTATGTGAATTCACAACCTTATGTAGAGACATGGCCCAATACACACTAGAGTGGCAGAACAGCCTAGCTGTTAAGGGTATGGCTCTGAAACCAGAATGCCTGAGTCTGAATCTTAGATATGCAACTTAATAGTTGTGTTACTTTGAGCAAGATTATTTACTCTTGTTGTACCTCAGTTTCCTTATTAGCAAACAAAAGATAATGTAACCTACATCTTAGGATTGTTTTAAAAAATAAAGAGATTTATATATATAAAGTATTTTTAGAACAGTGACTGGCACATAAGAAATACTCAATAAAAGTTAGTTATTGTTTTTATATAAGAAACCCAAGTATCATCTTTTAGTAACCTAAATACAAAATTATAAAGTCTTATTTCTCTCTTTTCTCTTCTCCTTCCACAAACATCCACTGGTTATTTTTTTTCCCCCTTAACCAAACTTTACTTACTACTTCTTTTGGAGCAATGTATACGCTCCAACAGAATCACCAAAATGGTTTTTTCACATCCTTGCTGACAATGTCTGATCATGTAATTCATTATCCAGTGGTGCTTCAGGGTGGCATTCTGGTTGGGGAAGTAGGGAGAATAGGTGCTAGAGAACTTCTCCTTAAAGTTGCATTGGCAAAGAAAGTACACAGTTTTTACACAGACTGTGTCTTACAGGTTAGGGCTGATGAAACTTGAGAAAGGGAACTAAAAACTCTCCAATAACAACAACAACAACAAACAACAAAACTTACTAGCACTGCCACTTTTTTATTCCTATTTTTTCCCACACAATTGATTCTAGGATTTGTATATAATAAATTCAACAGAGGCAGTGAAACAAAAATCCATGTCTACTTCTTAAAGTAGAAACACATAGTGCCTAGGCAGTTTCTAATATGTGATATTCATTCATTATCAGTTCCATTCTATTCCCTATATCAGTTGTAACCTTGATGTGCCTCATGTTCACTGTCATCAAGGCTGACAACCAAGTTATTTTTCCCCCCTTCTTTACAAATTTAATATTTGATCTTGATCCTCTGGGTCCCATAATATAATCCAAAGGAACTCTAACGTTCCTAATGGGAATGAAAGAGAATACCTAAAAAATAACTTTAAAAAAAAGAAGTCTAAATAAAAGAAGCCCAAATAATTGGGAAGATATCATATTTGCTCAATGCCATTAATTATTTCTTTTTCTATATTAAAAATTTACATGAAACCCATTGATTTTAAATGATTAGGATTTAAGGTTTAAATGTTTCATATATATATACTCTTAACCTATCTTAAGATCAACTTCTCTATCTCTTTGGCAAAATTCACCTGCCATTCTATAATCAACTGGTTACTGTTCACCAAAGTCTTGGGCAAACCCTCTAAATTAAAACAGAGAAGCTAGAATTGTAAAGTTGAAAAAATACATTAGCACCTAAATAAGACATCATTCCTGTCAGAAGCTGGACAAAGCCTTGAAAAAAACAAAGCCCCCAGTTTAAAAAAAATACCACACTATAATAACTATCACAAGTCCTTGTGTGTTAACAAGATATAGCAACTAATGTTGAAAGCTTAGTATGAAGTAGGCATTGCATGAGATAATCCATGTAAAACAACCTCACTACAACTCAAAATATGGTATTCCCCTTTTATAAGAAATTAAAACACACACTGAGAGATTCTGATTTCAACCCCCGAGTCCATGCTCTTAATCAAATGCCTCCCCACAAAAATGTGAGTTTTTTTATTTGTAAGGGAAGAGTTTTTTATATTTATGATCCTCTGCATGAGTTAACTTTAGTTCCTAAAACACACAAAAAGTTACCCTATGTTTCCTTTTAATTATTATATTTCATGTTCATAAGTTATCACTTACCAGTCTATCAAGTATATGTCTGGTGTAAGACTATAAGATTTGAAATGAAGAAATAGTTTGGAGAGATTTTCTTCAAAAAATACTTCAAATGTTGCAAAATATTTCAACATCTGAAAATGGAAATATCAATAATTAGAGTAGGCTATAGAAATAGAAATTAAATCCTCAATTATAAATTAACAGAAACTCTTGCTTAGCACCTCTTCTGAGTCTTCATCATGCATTCTAAAACTATACTTCAATGAAAAGTTTATTTATTACTCTTTTATTAAGTTTATTGAGGTGACACTGGTTAATAGGATCACATAGGTTTCAGATGTAGGCTTCTATGTTACAAGATCTGTATGTTTCACTGTGTACTCACCACCCAAAGTCACATCATCTTCTATCACTATATATTAGGCCCAAATCAATCCCCTGTTCCCTCTGGCAACCACCTCAGTGCTGTGTCCACGAGTTTCAATTTTATATTCCACATGAGCAAATATCATATGGTTCTTGGCTTTTTCTGCCTGACTTACTTCACTTAGCATAAGAAAAGTTTATTTTTAGCCGAAACCGGTTTGGCTCAGTGGATAGAGCGTCGGCTTGGGGACTGAAGGACCCAGGTTCGATTCCGGTCAAGGGCATGTACCTTGGTTGCGGGCATATCCCCAGTAGGGGGTGTGCAAGAGGCAGCTGATCGATGACTCTCTCTCATCGATGTTCCTAACTATCTCTCTCTCTCCCTTTCTCTCTGTACAAAATCAATAAAATATATTAAAAAAAAAAAAGAAAAGTTTATTTTTAGATCACATTACTTTAATCTTCTATTGTTTTCACAATCTAAAAGGGCATTCAGTCCAGCTGGTGTGGTTGGGCATTGACCCAGGAACTAAGAGACTAAGGTTCAATTCCTGGTCAGGGTATATGCCCAGGTTTTCAGGCTTGATCCCTAGGAAGGGGTAGTCAGGAGGCAGCTGATTAATGATGATTCTCTCTCACTGATGTTTCTATATCTTTATCCCTTTTCCTTTCTCTATCTCTAAAAATCAATAAAAACATATTTAAGAATAGAGAGGAGAAACCAAGAACTGCTGCCTTGCACAACAATTTCAAAACTACAACTAAAAGGCAAAATGGACATCATCCAGAACCACAGGAAGGCTGGCTGAGTGGAAATTCTACAACTAGAAGGAAAGAGAAAAGCACACTGAGACTCAGAGGAGCTGCCGAAAGAAAGTGCAGAGGTACAGAGGCACGTGCTGAGGTACTGAATACGCTGCTGGCTTTACCAAGTGGGAGGAAGACACAAGCTCCTAACTGCTCTGAACTCCAGTTCTGTGTGTGACTCTAAGGACCCAGACTCACACTAGACTGCCTGGCAGTGGGCAAAACTTGAGGGTGGCTTTCTCTCAGAGGTGTTTGCAGCTATTACAATGGGCTACTGAGATCTAGAGGCCTCTTAAGGTAGGGCTGACGGGAAGCCATCACTGTTAGCTCCACCCTGAGATCCATCCCATGAATCCAATGCTGTTTGCTCCGCCCTGAGACTCTGCCTTGTCCAAGCTAAGCACAGAGGCTTTTGCATATGAATGGTCTGGTCCTTTGAATTCTAAACTTATCTAACAAACTGCAGCTGAGTCAGTGAGACCCAGAACATCCAAAAGAAGGCCCAAGGCCCTGCAGCAGTTTGCCTTGCTTCACAGCTGGGCCTCATCTGGGCACCTCCAAAACCCAAACAAAGAGGAATCTGCAGATCTATCTATACTTCCTGCTGGGTGGCCTCAGGCAGAGGCTAAATTAGCACCTCCTTGGAGATCCAAGAGCCAGAGTACCCAATGGTCAAAGTAGGACCATCCAGATTACAACTCCTCAGATCCATACGGGACATACTCAGGGGGCAGACAGAAGTGAGCACCACAGCTCCACTGAAGCAAGTCTTACCTCATAAGGGTATCTCCAGCACAAAAGTTCTCCCATCATAGATACAGCTGATCCTCATAGTCAATTGGCCTGGAGGTTAATTCCTCCCAATGATACCAACAACACTCAAGGCTTAACTACAACAAGACTGTGCACACAGCCCACAAAAGGGTGCAACCAGAGTGTCCACCTCAGTTAACTGAGGAGGCTGAGCCACTGGGACCTATAGGACATCTAGCACACAAAGCCACTCTATCAACTCAGGGAAGCAGCCAAAATTCGGAGACAAAGAAACAGATCCCAAATGAAAGAAATGGAGGAAAGCAAATGACTGGATATAGAGTTCAAAACCACAGTTATAACGTTTTTCAAAACTGGTTTGGCTCAGTGGATAGAGCGTCGGCCTATGGACTGAGGGGTCCCAGGTTTGATTCCCGTCAAGGGCATGTACTTTGGTTGCAGGCACATCCCCAGTGGGGGGTGTTCAGGAGGCATCTGATTGATGTTTCTCTCTCATCAGTGTTTCTAACACTCTATCCTTCTCCCTCTCTCTCTAAAAAAATCAATAAAATAATTTTTAAAAAAATGTCCGCTTGCTACCAAAGCAAAAAAAGTATCTTCTAGAAACTGTCAATAATTTTAGTGAGACTCTTGAAGATATGAAAAAGGACCAACTAGAAATTAAGCATACAATGACTGAAATATAAAATATACAGAGATCCAACACAGACTAGAGGATCACAAGAAATAAGTCAAAGATTGGAAATACAAAGAAGCAAAAAGCACCCAACCAGAAAAGCAAAAAGCAAAAAAAAAATCTCAAAATATGAGATAGTGTAAGGAGCCTCTGGGACAACTTAGAGCATACCAACATCTGAATTATGGGGGTGCCAGAAGAAGAGAGAGCAAGATACTGAAACCACCCTGGCCAGTTTGGCTCAGTGGATAGAGCATTGGCTTGTGGACTGAGGGGTCCCGGGTTTGGTTCCATTTAGGGGCATGTACCTTGGTTGCGGGCACATCCCCTTGGGGGTGTTCAGGAGGCAGTTGATTGATGTTTCTCTCATCTATGTTTCTGGCTCTCTGTCCCTCTCCCTTCCTCTCTGTAGAAAATCAATAAAATATATTTAATAATAATTTTTAAAAAAAGATACTGAAAATCTATTTAAAGAAATAATGACAGAAAAATTCCCTCACCTGGTGAAAGAAATAGACTTAAAAGTTCAGGAAGTGCACAGAACCTCAAACAAAAGGAATCCAAAGAGGGTCACACTAAGACACATCACAATTAAAATGCCAAGAGCAAAAGACAAAGAGAGAATCTTGAAAGCAGCAAGAGAAAAATAATTACCTACAAGATTGTCAGCTGATTGATTTCTCAACAGAAACTATGCAGGCCAGATGGGAGTGGTAAGAAATATTCAAAATGAAGAATAGCAAGAACCTACAACCAAGATTACTCTATCCAGCAAAGCTATCATTCAGAATTGAAAGTCAGATAAAGAGCTTCACAGATAAGAAAAAACTAAAGGAGTTCATCACAGACAAACCATTATTGTATGAAATGCTGAAAGGTATTCTTTAAGAAGAGGAAGAAGCCAAAACCGGTTTGGCTCAGTGGCAGAGTATCGGTCTGCGGACTGAAAGGTCTCAGGTTTGATTCAGGTCAAGGGCATGTACACTGGTTGCAGGCATATCCCCGGTAGGGGGTGTGCAAGAGTCAGCTGGTCGATGTTTCTCTCTCATCGACGGTTCTAGCTCTCTCTCTCCCTTCCTCTCTGTAAAAAAATCAATAAAATATATATTTTTAAAAAAAAGAGGAAGAAGAAAAAGGTAAAGATAAAAATTATGAACAACAAATACATATCTATCAATAAGTGAATCTAAAAATCAAGTGAATAAAAAATCTGAACAGAATAAACTGGTGAATATAATAGAATCAGGGGCATAGAAAGGGAGTGGACTGACAGTTCTCAAAAGGAAAGGGATGTGGGAGGTTCGGAAAGAGACTGAACACAAATCATACACCTATGGATGAGGACAGTGGGGGGTGGGGTGGTGAGAGCAGAGGGTGGAGTGGAGCTATGGGGGGGAAAAAGAGGAACAACTGTAATAATCTGAACAATAAAGCTTTATTTAAAAAAATAATACACTTTTTTTTAAGCAGAGAGAAAAAAAACATATTTAAAAGGACATTCAGACTGAAACTGACAGTCAACAAAAAAACATGAATCATTCCCAATGTCCATACCATGCTGTGATCCACACGGAAGAAGGCCAACTGGCATGGCTTATTCAGCAGATTTGCAAACGCAATGAAGGCATCTGCCTCTTCCAAATTGAGAATAAGAACTGCTGCTATGAAGGACATCCCTTGGACCTTCAAAGGGAAAGGAAATTAACCAAAATGGTTTTATTATAATAATTCTATAGTGTTTATTGATTGCATTCCTGAAAAATTACAAAGTAATATTATAAGGTAAAATACTAAGATTTCTTTTCCCCCCACAACAAAGGTAAATACAGAGAATTCAATAATTATAAAATCTCCCTATTTAAAATTTTCTTATTATATGGTGTAGTTTAAAAAGAATTTTTTTTGCCCTAGCTGGATTGGATCAGTGGATAGAGCATCGGCCTGCAGACTGAAGGGTTCCAGGTTCGATTCCAGTCAAGGGCACATACCTGGGTTATGGGCTCGATCCCCAGTAGGGGGCGTACAGAAGGCAGCCGACCAATGATTCTCTCTCATCACTGTTTGTTTCTCTCTTTCTCCCTTCCTCTCTGAAAAAAAAAAAAAAAAAAAAAAAAAAAAAAAAAAAAAATATATATATATATATATATATATATATATATATATATTTAAATAATAAAAAGAAATAAAAAGAAAAATTTTGGAAAAAAATATCAGCTTTCACTTGCTCCAGAAGCCTATTTCAGTGAACTAGTTATTTCATCTTCCTCTGAAGTCTTTCAAAGCATAGAATCACAAAGTTTAATAAAAACAAGGTGATGGCCGGGACCGGTTTGGCTCAGTGGATAGAGCGTCGGCCTGCGAACTGAAAGGTCCTGGGTTGGATTCCGGTCAAGGGCATGTACCTTGGTTGCGGGCACATCCCCAGTTGGGGGTGTGCAGGAGGCGGCTGGTTGAAGTTTCTCTCTCATCGACGTTTCTAACTCTCTGTCCCTCTCAATTCCTCTCTGTGTAAAATCAATAAAATATATTAAAAAACAAAAAAACAAAAAAACAAGGTGATGGTTTTTATTGTTATAACACATCTGTTTGAGGCAGGAAGTGAGGACTAAGAATAAAAGAGATTACCCTGGCTGGTGTGGCTCAGGTAGTTTGACATCATTCAGGGCACCAAAAGGTTTACCATTTGATTCCTGGTCAGGGCAGAGGCAGCCAATCAATGTTTCCCTCTCACATCCATGTTTCTCTCTTTTTCCCTCCCTTTGTCTCTCTCTAGAATGCAATAAAAATATATTTTTTTAAAGGATAAAAGCAATCTAAAATCCCAAGAAAGAAGAGGTGGTGGTTGGGATAGTGAGGCCGGATTCCTGGAAAGGTAGGAGGAGGAAATAATAAAACAGCCATTCCAAAAAGAGAAAGATGTATAAGTAAAGACATATAAAACCAGCACAGTTAGAACACAAGATTTATAATGGGAATAATGGGAGAAATTAGAAAGGTCTCGAGTAAAAGGCTAAGCTATCTAGGTGCTTGCTTGAGAGTTAGAGACCTATTTTACATTTCTGAGCAGGCAGATGAAACTGTTATTGTAAAAATATTCATTATTTCATTAAAAAAAAAGTTTAACAAGCACTTACTTCTGGTAGGTATTTATATAATACACTTACACAGAGAGGCCACTAAGAATATTTGCAATAATACCTCTGTTTCAATTTTCTTAACAACTTTAAAATTTTTTTTTTAGCACATTTCAATCTGGATTCCCACTCCGTTACTATACTATCTGAAATTTCTCTAACCAGGTTGACCAGTAGTATTTATTGTAAAACGCAATGGGCACTTTCCTACCCACTAAGCAGAATTCCTTTAGCTTCTGTGACCCATTATTTCTTTGTTCTTCTCTTCTCTCACTTCTTTTGTGACTGTTCAATTTGCCATGTTTTATCGGAACACCTTCATAAAACCTTCATCTTCTCACCTTTGTCTTAAAGTAGAAGAATCTTAGAGACCTCATAATAGGGTGGCTACCTGGTAGAGCTTACTCTATTTTGTTGCATGTTCATTTGTACATTTGTTCACTCACTCACTCACTCACCAAATAGTTATTAGGTGCTTATCACCATACTAGAGGCCCAGTGCACAAATTTGTTGGGCAGATCAGGCCAGATTGGCCAGGGAGGAGCGGCTGCTGGTGGTTGGTGGACCAGCCCCACCCCTGATGGGGGTAGGGGGAGCTGATTGGGTGTGGGGCCAGCCAGGGGGAAGGGGCCATGGACAGTTGGCCAACCAGTCCTGGTTTAACTCCCAGTCGAACTCCTGGTCCAGGGGACAATTTGCATATTAGCCTTTTATTATATAGGATGACAGATATTGTTCTAGGTATTTGGGATACCTCATTGAATTAAAGACTTACAGTTTATAAGGAGCAGCTACACAATAAACAACAAACAAGTAAGTCATATGTTTTATTAAAAGGTGGTAAGTGCTGTCTGGCTGGTGTGCTCAGTAGTTAGAATGTCAACTGTCACACTAAGGGTCATGGATCTGATTTCTGATCAAGGGTATGCACATAGGTTTTAGGTTTGATCCTTGAGCTGGTTGTTGCACGTGGGGGAGGCAACCAATGAATGTGTCTCTCTTAAATTGATATCTGTCTCTCTCTTCCATCTCTCCCTCCCTTCCACTCTCTCTAAATATCAATGGAAAAAATATTCTCTGCTGAGTTAAATAAAATAAAATAAAACTAGGATTGGTTGACAATCCATAAAAGGAACACATTCCCTCCCCTATGCTTCCCTCAACCTGGAGGCACAGTCAGGAAAGAAAGGTTAAGAAGAAGGGGAGAAGGCACTAGACCAACAGCAGTGGCAATAAATACAAGTTTACGAATTGAATGATGCAATCCCCAGCTGCTCTCCCAGAATGCTGGCAGCTGGCCTTATAAATCGCTGGTAGGAGAAGGAAAGGTTCCTTTCTGGATAAGCTGATAGACCCGAAGGAAAAAGACAGAGATATACACATTTTGGAGCAATTACAATATAATAAAAGTTTATATTAAAAAACAGATGGAAACATACTTACATAACCAACATCGGGTCTGTAACATGTATATGCCCCTAAGATACTATGTAAAACATCATGATATGGGCCACCCTTCGAAGATAAAAATGAAATGTCATACTATACAAATAATTGTCTCCAAGTTACTTGTCAAATATCATGTTAATAAACTTTAGCATTTCCCAAATAATTAATTTTAGTTAATATATTTAATCATTGTAAGAAATATTCTAAATGTACTCTGCCAAGATGCTTTCTAAAGAAATTATTTCAAAATATGTAATCCTAAACAAGAAAAAGTCAAACAAACTCACTTGAATGACATAAGCTATATAGTTTATATACAATTTTAAAGACTTCTGGATTTGATACAATAAGATTATAAGGAAAACAGAATGTTCCATTTTATATAATACAACTTAAGAAAAAAGAAATACCATGAAGCTACACTAAATTAAGTTTACTAATCATTTTTATCTTAACAGTAAAAATGTTTGTCATTTTATCAGTCTAAAGATAAATTCCATATATTTAAAGATTTGAGTCAAATATAAACTACACATAAAATGTAATAATTTTTCATAAAGTATAAACAACTTTATTCACTATATTCCCTATGCTGTACTTTATATCCCTATAAGAAACTTTTTTTTTTTTTAAGGAATGTCTTAGTAGTCTCTGCAGAAAACCCCCGCCCCCATTTCAATAGTAATTCTGAAAAATTTTAAATTTGGAGACAAAGCCCTTTATATTTACACAATTTACTAGGCAAAATAGTTAATTTCAAATATTTTACAGAATAAAAAAACAAAGAAATTCAGCTTAATGATAATTAACCAAGTACCTACTATATAAAATTACTATGTGCTATGCTCACTGCAATGCATTCAGTCAGTGGAATAAAACAGTAACATTTCCATTAAAATTTTCCTACTAGTTTCACATTTTTTAATATTAAGTTCCCTAATTTTTATAGTTTTACCTTTAAATAATAATAGCTATGAATTTAGAGAATTTGTTCACTTGGATTTTTTAAAAAGTAGTTAAAAACATGGTTAGAAACCCTCACCTTCTGAAAGATGTAGAGAGATGGAAATGTACGGGATATGTCCAACTTAATTAATTCCAGACTGGCCTCCCGATCAGCAATAGATACACCTATATTTGCCAGGTAAATAAAGTTACAATTATTACTTGGCTATATCCAGTTCAATCTTACAAACACAGAATGATTACATGGAATATATGTTACTTAAGGAAAGTTAAAAGCTGAACAATCCAGAAACTTAAAGAAATGCCACACAGCTTTTGCTGAAATTTAGAGCTTCTTTGGTGAAGAATATATCTATGCATTTATCAGAAAGTTATATGGTGAAGGATTTCTACTTCCTTTTTTTTTTTTTTTTTAAGGTACGGTTTGTTTGTTTTTTTAATAGCGGGTAGGTAGCTTGTCATTCCCACAATAACTAGATAAAAACATTTCAAATATCATTTTTTACACTTGATCTTAGCCAAAAGGCCGAGAAGCGATCAAGTATCATTTTTTAAAAGGGCCTAACAGAATTGTGTAAGAGAGGTCCAGAGAATTTAAGTCCAAAAAGAGAAAAGCCTTTCCTAGATGAGTGGATACCAGAGCTCGAATTTAACAGGGACATTTACATACTCACAGAAAACCACTATGCGATATGCACCATGTCTCTATCTTAAGCCATGTTCATTTTTAGAGTTGTACATACAGGCAAGAGAAGAGGGTTTGCTTTCTACTAAGTAGAACAAATACAGAAAGAAAAGTGACTGGCAGACAAAAGGCTTTCCATAATTTAAGGATGAGAGATGGTTGAACAAATTTATCTAAATTTAATAAATTATGATAACAGAAAAAAATGATTTTCCCAAAATGATCAGAAGAAAATTAATAAGAGTGGAGGAATAAAAGGAGCATATAAGTGAATTAAACAAAGATTAGGCATAAGAATTGTAAAAAAAGATGTATTGGGAAGTGAGTGAAAATCAGTGAGAGAGGAGACAGGAGGTCACAAATGAGGTATAAAGATCATCTATCTTTAAATTTTAAGTTGGGTTGTGGGTGGGTGTGTTCTATGGTTAGAGCATCATCCTGTGACCAAAGGGTCTCGGGTTCAATTCCTGGTCAAGGGTATGTACCTGGGTTGTAGGTTCGATCCCTGGCCCAGTTGGGGCACATGTGGGAGGCAACCAATCAATGTATCTCTCTCACATTGATGTTTCCCTTTCTCCCTCCCTCCCTTCTACTCTCTCTAAAAACAATGGAAAAAATATCTTTTTTTGGGAGGGAAGGTGATTAAAAAAACACACACGTTGGCCTAAAAATACTTCACCCCCATTATTCTTAAAGGCTACAATTAAATCCTGGGCTCTGGAGTACAACAGCTTGGGTTTACATCATGACTTCACTGCTTATAAATTAACTACTTTGAGTTTCCTCCTATATCATCCAGGATATCAACTACTGAAAGAGTTGTTAACATTAGATTAGATAATATATGTAAAGCAATTCTATAGTTCCTGACACATGGTAATAATCAATAACCATGATATAATCTTCAGTGACTGGACTTTCATACAAAAATTTTTGTTAACAAAAAATAATCACACCCTTTCTCTTCAACGAAGGTTGGAGCAGCCTCCCCTGTAGATCGCTGTGAAGACCCTGACTGGCAAGATCATCACCCTGGAGGCTAAACGCAGTGACACCACAAGAATGTCAAAGCTAAAATCCAAGACAAGGAGAGCATCCCACCTGAATAGTAGTGTGTGATTCTTTTTTTTAAAAAAATATATTTTTATTGATTTCAGAGAGAAAAGGAGAGGGAAAGATAGAAACATCAATGATGAGAATCATTGATTGGCTGCCTCCTGCTTGCCCCACACTGGGGTTGGAGCCTGCCACCCTGGCATGTGCCCTGGCGGGGAATCGAACCGTGATCTCCTGGCTCATGGGCCAATGCTCAACCACTGAGCCACTCCAGCTGGGCAGTAGTATGTGGTTCTTATGGGCAAGCAGCTGGAGGACAGCCACACCTCTCCGACTACAATATTCAGAGAGGCCACCTGTACTTGGTGCTTCATCTGCAGGATGGTATCAAGCCCTCCCTCTGCCAGCTTGCCCAGAAGCATAATGGCGACAAAATAATTTGCCACAAGTATTACACCTGCCTGCACGCCCTCCCGTCAACTGTTGCAAGAAGCATAGCCACACCAACAACCTGTGCCCCACGATGGTTAAATAAGGCCCCTCCACCACCACCACCGCCTTGGGCCTGCAGGGTGGCCTGCCTGAACCCCATGGCCCTGGGGCCTCAATAAAGTTTCCCTTTCATTGAAAAGAAAAACAGTAATAATCACACCTTCTGTATCAGTCTCTGAACTTGTTTCACTGAGGCTTTTGCACCGTTCTTTTGCTCTTGATAGGAAGATTTCATAAAGTTCTGGGGGACGGAAAACAAAAATTCATAAATAGGAAAGAAATATATTCACATACAGTAGGTCCTCGGGTTACGTCGGAGATCCATTCCTACGGTGCGACGTAACTCGATTTTCGCTGTAAGTCGGAACCCACCTACGTCATTTGCATGGAGCACATACACAGCAGTAATGATGTGAAACAGTAAAAAATAAAAAATAAAAATTAAAAGGTAACAATTCCTGACCTTTACTTATGGTAAATAAACAATAAAAAACATAAAGCACACATACGTCAAAATGACAGACCTTTTTTTTTTAATAAATGGGAGATGGCGAAGTAACCACGAAATAACGTACGTCGAGTCCGACGTAACCCGAGGACTGCCTGTATTTTTATTTTTATTCTTAAAAAAAAAAATAAGAAAACCATAATTCCACTATAGGTCAGGCATATCTTATGTAGCTGGCATAAAAAAATAGCAAATTGAAGTACTCAATTCTACCAAAACTATTTATTACTCACAGAAAGGTAGCAAATGAAACTATTCCAGTTTAGAATAGTTACAATATAGAATGTATATATGAGGCAGGCAGAGACGCTTCTGCTAAAGGAGCCATTGTACAATAGCAGAAACATGATTTTTGGAATCATTAAGACCTAGATTCAAACTTCGGCTCTGAAACTTATTACCTGTGGGATTTATAACTCTGGAACTTGGCTTTCTTCATCTGTAAATTGGAGAAAAATAATTCCTATTCATGTGTTACTGAAGATTAAACAAGATCATTTATGTAAAGCTTCTGACACCTTATAGACCCTCAATAAATGCTAGTTCTTGTTTCCTTCTCTCTTGAAACTGGTTTCTCCATTATGATGCAGCTATCTTTTTAAAAATATTTACATATTTCATTGATCTTTTTACAGAGAGGAAGGGAGAGAAATAGAGAGCTAGAAACATTGATGAGAGAGAAACATCAATCAGCCGCCTCCCACACAACCCCCACAGGGGATGTGCCCACAACCAAGGCACATGACCCCAACCGGAATCGAACCTGGGACCCTTCAGTCTGCAGGCAGACACTCCATCCACTGAGCCAAACCAGTTTCGTGATACAGCTATCTTAAGCTACATAAACTTTGGTCAAAGAGTCACATACAAAAATCTTTACCCCTATCTTTTACTCTATAAGCCCTATCACTGTAAAATACACACACACACTGGAATATATATATATATACACACAAAACCGATGCATGAAATTTGTGCAAGAGTAGGCCTTCCTTCTTCCAGCTTCCCTCTGGCACCCAGGACCTGGGCTTCCCTTACAGCCCGGCTTTGTCTGGAAGGACATCTGGTCTAATTAGCATATTATGCCTTTGTTATTATAGATATTCCATTGTATGACTATACATAATAAGTATAATATAATAAGTATTCTTATATTGCCAAGAATCAGATCATTATAAAATAACTTACTAGATATATTTCAAACAGACTCTTATTATTCTAATCTCTTCTTTCTGTTCGCTTTTCATTATTACTAATGATTTGGAAAGAAATCAAACTCAAAATTTCTATTTCTAAATGGAGTGCCCTACTACATTTGGTATAAGAGCTAGATGAAAGTTTTAAACTTAATATACAATTTTTTTTGTAGTTATTAGGAACCAAATTGAAGTTCATACATTTTATTTCAAATTGCTTCCAAGCCAGGTCCAGTATCACTACTGCACTTAGTTTTAAAAACTGTCTTGTAAGAAGGCTCACCAAACAAATCCATCACCTATGGAATCTACAAAATTGACCCAAAAGTAAAATTGTGGTAATGCATTTCAAAATATCAAAGGACATATCTTAAGGGAAGATGTACAGTGCTTATCTATAATAAGTTCTATATCTCAGTTCAATTCCTTGCTTGACTCTGCATGTCATATTTGCCATGGCAGGAAGGCACAGCTCAGTTGGTTGGAGGGTAATCCCATGCACTGAAGGGTCACGGGTCAGGGTGCGTACAGGAGACAATTGATTAAGGTTTCTATCTCACATCACTGTTTCCCGTGGCCCCACCCCCCTCTCCCTTCCTCTCTCTCTAAAATAAGATAAAAATATTAAAACAAAACAAAAAAATCAAAGGACAAGGAAAATTACCTATATACAAGAAACCCTAAGCGACCAGTCAACTGTTTGACCAGGACACCTGTTTGACCAGTCACTATGACACGCACTGACCGCCAGGGGGCAGATGCTCAATGCAGGAACTGCCCCCTGGTGGTCAGTGTGTTCCCACAGCAGGAGAACCTCTCAGCTGACCAACGGGCACTGGCAAGTGCAGCTGTGGCAGCATGAGCCTCTCCCGCCTCCGCAGCAGTGCTACTGAACAGGGGTGGCAGGCGCAGTGGGGTCAGGATGAGCAGGAGCGGCATGGTGCCCGGCCCAGGCCCTGGCTCCTCCCTGGCCACCTGCTGCTTTGCACACTACATCCCCTGAGGGGTCCCAGATTGTAAGAGGGTGCAGGCCAGGCTGAGGGACCCCACCAGAGCACGAATCTGTGCACTGGGCCTCTAATCTACAGAGCCTCTAGTCTATAATAAGAAGACCTGCATCTCAGTTCAATTCCTTGCTTGACTCTACATGTTATACTTATTTTATTTTGAATCTACAAATGTAGAGTTATGAAGCAGAGATGTATCTTAGGAACAGAAGATACTTTGAGATCAGTTTATATTTCATTTTTTGACAATGATGTATTAGACATATTTGGCAAATTTCACTTTCACTATAATGTTATACTCATTATCACAAAAAAAATGTTAGAACAATTCTGAGACAGCTAACAATCTTAACCCATTTTACAGATGAAGAAAACTAAGACTATTGGATGTTAAGTAATTTGCCCAAGGTCACAAATCTAATATATAGTAGAACCAAGATTTGAACCACATTTGACTGACATTAGAACCCTTATTGTTACTATTGTTATAAATTTCATGTTACTATTGTTATAAATTTCATGATTAAACAAATACAGTAGGTAAGGAACCAAACTATTATAGCCACTGAAAGTATAAAGTAAATTTACTATTCAAAATTTAGCTTCCTTTCCACCACTAAGGAAAAAGAGATGAGTACCCAGTCCATTACTGAATTGTTCTTTTAGAGAAAACATAAAATTATTTTGAAAATAAATGACCCAGTTATTTCAAGCTTAAAAATTTTTTTGAGTTATAGTAACACAACAGGTTAATACCAACTTAACCAATATTTCAATGTTTAAGTTATCAGGATACCTAACATTCTAAAGCCAAAGTTCTCAAGAAAACAAGACTGCAAACAAAATTTCAAATAGCCACCAATGCTTCATAGTCTCACCTGTATGCAAAACCAATTCCTAAGACTTTAAGCAATTATAGCATGTTCAAAATCCTTATTATTTAGGATTTTAATGTTCTAACTGAAAGTTCTAACTACAATATAAAAACATTTCCTTTACATCTGTTCCAAGCACAGAAGGCAAAAGAAATCTTTTTTTTTTATTGGAAAGAAGAGTTAAGTCACATAGGATATAACTTTTTCAAAGCTAAATTAAAAATTCTTAATTTTTCCTTTAAATTCTATTTTTTAGATTAAAAAAAAAAAAAAGCCCAGTTAAAGTGTTCATTATGGGATATCTAAAAACAAATTTTAAAAATCATACATAATCATGCTATTCAAAGCTGGCATCACTTTTAGAATTAAATATTTGTTACAATTCTGTTTAGTTATATATAATGCAGATTTTTGCAATGAACATTTTTACAGAAAAACTTTTACACCCAATCCCGATGATTTCCTTAAAGCAGATTCTTAGAACTAGAATAATTAGGTCAAAAGTTATGCTTTTTAAGGCTTTTGTCAAATAATTCTAAATTATTTTCAGCCACAATTTATGTGGGTAATTTTTATTATTTTTAATAATTTCTGATTTGAAAGGTAAACAATAGTACATTGATGTTCTTTTAACATATATGTCATTGATTTATCACTAGGGAAATGGCTAAAGTAATTATAGTACAGCCAAACTGTGTAAAAGAATGCAGCTATGTAGTATGCTTAAGGTACACTTGTATATACTGACATGAAAGGATGGTTCAGGAGAGATTATTGCTTAAAAGCAAGCTACTGAATAATCTCAGGACATAAACTCCTTTTCGTGTGGGGAAAAAAAAAAAAAAACACCCCAAGAAGATAGAAGCCTAAAAATTTATCATATGCAGGAACACAATTTTTTATATGACAAAAAAAGATCTGGAAGAATATACACCAATTTGCTTATTTGTACTTACAAGTACGATCAAAAGCTGGAATCTGAGTGGAAGAGTGGGAAGAAACGTACCAAATATACTTTACTTGAATTTTTTTCAATAAATAATTAAATAAAAATTTTAAGTAATAGTAATAATATATTATTTATATTATTATACTGGAATCCCTAAATCTTTTTTCTTTTACCAGATAAATCCAAGAATGTACTACTTTTTATTGCTGCAAAGAAGGAGCAACACATAAATAGGGAGGGGGCAGGCTGTGCAATTAAATCCCACTGTGGGAACACCTTTCCTGGCCATAGTGGTTTTCACACTGGAAATTCAAAGGTGAACCAATATGCTTGCTGGAAGATAAGTTTCTTTTTCCAGAAATGGCCAGGAAAGCATCTTTTTTGTTGTGCCACACAATATATAAAAATAAGTGATGTTATTTCAAACATTGTTCAATTGAAGTTTTTTTTTTTTATTTAAAAAAAACTGAATGCATTGGGATATTGATTAATAAAAGTATATAAGTTTCAGATGTATAATTCTATAATACATCATCAGTATATTGTACTGTGTTCACTACCTGACTGTCTAGCATTATCATTATCACTCAGACTGATGGTAGCACCTTTTATTATTAACTATTTTAGATTTCCCCCATTTGGAATTATCCAAATTTTATTTATTTTTTTAACTTCATCAAAACTACTCTACATTTTACTCCTACCCTTCAAAGTTTTAAGAAACTTTAAAAAATGACACAATTCCTTGAGAGTCCTCCTCTGTTGTTTTAAAAATATATATTTTATTGATTTTAGAGAGAAGGAGGGAGAGAGAGATAGAAACATCAATGATGAGAGAGAATCATTGATTGGCTGCCTCCTGCACACTCCCTACTGGGGACCGAGCCCACAACTCAGGCATGTGCCCTGGGCCGGTATCAAACCCGGGACTCTTCAGTCCTAGGCTGATGCTCTATCCATAGAGCCAAACCAGCTAGGGCCCCTCTTTGTTTTTTAAACTTTAACATTTTCAAAATCCAAAAGGACTAGTTTGAGTAGAGATGAAGACAAAGAAACTTATAGCCTTCCCCCAATATTTAAGTTTTTTTTTAAATAAAGGGGAACCCTTTCCACAACTAGACTATTTATTATTCGTGTAAGAGTAGGTCTTCCTTCCCCCAGCTGTCGGTACCAGCTACCCTCTGGCATCTGGCAGCACCAGGACACAGGCTTCCCTCTGGCCACTGGCAGGCGCCTGGGACCCAAGGCTTTTCTCGCAGCCCGGGCTTCATCCGGAAGGTCGTCCAGAAGGTCATCCAGTCTAATTAGCATATTACACTTTATATATATATATGGCCAGTGCTACCTAGAATCTCTGAAGTTCTCATAGTTAAGATATTTGGGTGTCAAGAATATTACTTATAGTTGTAAACTAAAGGAAAACCCACAAATCTTATTTTTGATAGTATGAAATATAGTAAACTTATTAAATCATACCAGGTTTTAGAGAGGGATGGGGAATGAAGCATGCTCTTAAAAATCACATTATACTTGGTAATGCCCTTTTAAATTGCTACTCTACTGATCTGCTTTGTAACTCTGGAGATGGCTATTTGTACGTGTGGGAGTAACTGAATATAGAATACAAACCAGGAGTGATATTTAGTTCATTTCCTACAGCTAGACTCCAAACTTTCCCACGAACACTAGGGGGCAATCCCTGCCACCACAATTCTCGAACTCTTCTTGTACTACGCCTAGAATTAAAGGGGAAGAAAAAAGGAGAAAGTTACTTTTTAAAACATAGTATCCTAAAGAGAGATACAGTAATTTAAAGGTAATGCCTTCTATAGCTGCCATTTATACTGATAAAATGAAAGAATCAGAAAAGTATAATTATGAAAAACATAATAAAAGGAACATAAGAATTTGTTGTCAATTCAGTAACCAAAAGAAAATCACAAAGTATTTAATAACTGGCAAGGCCCTCGTCTTTTGAGAGGCAGTATAGCCTGCTTAAAGAGTGTGGACTTTAGAGTCAGATAGACCTGAGTTCAAATCTGATTTAACTATTAATTAATTGTATTACCTTGGGCAAATCACTTAACCTGTCTGACCTGAAGGTTCCCTATAAGTGGGAATAAAGGTTGTTAAGAACCAAATGTGATTACTTAAGAGTCTAATATAACATGTCACATGTCCAATATTCAACAAATTCCCCATGCATACCCTATATTAGACATTGCAGAAGACATTGCCCACCCTTCAGTCTAGAAGGAAGGTAAGGCATGCACAAAAATATTATCCAAAAATGAAAGACAAAGTAAAGCAAGAAGTACATTAATCTAGAAGTAAACTGGGACATTACATTATGGAAAACAGCATATATTTTATGATATACATATATCTCACATTCTTTTGAGAAGCAAATTAAAAATCACCTTTATAGTTAAATGCATCTTATAATGAATGTACATGCTTTTAATATTTTATTCAGAATAATCTGCTATGACATCAGTAGTGTACCTTGCAATCAATGATACGTTAGAATTAAGAAAAAAAATTAAAAGTTTTATGAATCAACTAGCATTTCAAATGGTATTCAACGGATAGGTAAGATTCTGACAGGCACAGAGAGTAATCAGTAAGGAAAGTAGGTATTAGAAATTGACGGTTTTATAAAAGCAAAGACACAGAAATAAACATGAAATTTTCAGACAGTGGTTAACAGCATAATTTAGCCAAAGCACAAGCTACATGGTGGAAGTAATAAATAAAAAAAAAAGAGAGAGAGAGAGAGAGAGAATTGGAAACATGAGATCTTTGGAGAAAGACTGGCATTCAAGAAAAGTCTGCTTACTTACATTACTTCCCAATTGGGCAATATTTCATTGATCCAAATTACCATTGCATTTGCAATATTTTCTTCTTGTTTAAATCGTTCTTTCATTATTTTTTTCCTTTTATGTGCTTCTTTAATTTCTGTTTTAAACAAGTATAAAATATTTCAATACAAAAGAGCTAGATCAAAACCCCCTTCTCCTTCTACTTAAACCTACAAAAGAGGCATTCTCTAAAGGAATAAAAGAAGAGAGAAAGGAAAAAGGGGCAGGGGAAGGTGATAAAAAGAGAAATAAAATTAATTTGATTAATATAATTTAAAAGTAACATCTCCTATTCTACAAAATGAAACAAAAGCCAAAAAATCATTTAAATAGATTACAGTACCACATATTCTATTTATACTTAATCAATGAACTAAATTTTGCCATGAGTTAACTATGTAAAAAATAAACTAGCCTTAACTGGTTTGGCTCAGCGAATAAAGCGTCAGCCTGCCGACTAAGGGGTCCTGAGTTCGATTCCGGTCAAGGGCATGTACCTTGGTTGCGGGCACATCCCCAGAGGGAGGTGTGCAGGAGGTGGCTGATCCATGTTTCTCTCTCATTGATGTTTCTAACTTTCTATCCCTCTCCTTTCCTCTCTGTAAAAAAAAATCAATAAAAATATTTAAAAAAATAAACTACTGTGGCCCAGCAGCTTGGCTCAGTGGTTAAGTGGCAACCTATGAACCAGGAGGTCATGATTCGATTCCCAGTCAAGGCCCATGCCAGGGCGGCAAGCTTGATCCTCAGTAGGGAGCATGCAGGAGGCAGCAGATCAATGGTTCTTTTTCATCATTGATGTTTCTATATCTCTGTCTCCCTCTCCCTTCCTCTCTGAAATCAATAAAAATATATAAAAATATAAACTACTGTGAGCAACTAACCAACACTTTTTTTTTCATACAAGGGGTTTATGTACTTCCTCACATAAAACCACGTGACTATAAAAATGAAGTATCATGCTTCAGTTTACTAATTAAAATGTTAAAATCCCAATACACACAAACATGCACACAACACCCCTCTGAAAATCATAAGTCACAATTCTAGAAGAGATGCGTGAAAAATGGAGAAGTAAAATATATGTAAACTATCCTATAAAGAGGTAATATGCAAATGAACATCACTCCAACACACAAGATGGCCACTACAAGATGATCAGCAGGGGAGGGCAGTTGGGCGGGGGGGGGGGGGGGAGACTCAGGCCTGCAGGGGAGGACAATTGGGGGGGGGGGGATCCAGGCCTGCAGGAGAGGACAGTTGGGGGAGGGGGGTCAGGCCTGCAGAGGAGGACAATTGGGGGGGACCCAAGTCTGCAAGGGAGGGCAATTGGGGAGAACCAGGCCAGCATGGGAGGGCAGTTGGGGGCAACCAGGTCAGCAGGGGACAGAAGTTAGGGGCGACCAGGCTGGCAGGGGAGAACAGCTAGGGGTGACCAGGCTGGCAGGGAAGGGCAGTTAGGGGTAATCAGGCCAGCAGTGGAGGGCAGTTAGGGACAACCAGGCTGGCAAGGGAGGGCAGTTAGGGGTAACTGGGCCAGCAAGGGAGGGCTGTTGGGGGCAACCAGGCCTGCAGGGGAGAATAATTAGGGGTGACCAGGTCTGCAGGGGAAGGCAGGGTTCCCAGGCCGGCAGAGGAGGGCAGTTAGGGGCAATTGGGCTGGCAGGGGAGCAATTAGGCATCAATCAGGCTGGCAGGGCAATGGTTAGGGGGTGATCAAGCTGGCAGGCAGAGCAGTTAGGGGCAATCAGGCAGGCAGGTGAGCAGCTGGGAGCTAGTAGTCCTGGATTGTGAGACAGTCGGACATCCCTCAAAGGGTCCCAGATTGGAGAGGATGCAGGCTGGGCTGAGGGATACATTCTCCCACCCCCATGCACGAATTTCATGTACTGGGCCTCTAGTACATATATATAGTTATATATAATTTTAGAACTAGTGTGGAATTCAGAGGTCAGCTAAAGTATTTTCTAGCCCTAGCCAGTTTGGTTCAGGGGATAGAGCCTTGGCCAGGAAAGGCTCCCAGGTTTTATTCCAGTCAAGAGTACCTACCTTGGTTGCAAGCTAGATCCCTGGCCCAGTTTAGGGCATATGCAGGAGGCAACCATTCAATGGTCTCTTTCACATAGATGTTTATCTCTGTCTCTCCTCCTCTCTTCCACACTCTCTAAAATCAATGAAAAAATATCCTCAGATGAGGATCAACAGGATTTAGAAAAAAGTAAAGTGTTTTCTAAATTATTTCACATATACCTCAGGAACTGTCTTTTAAAATATATATATATATATTTTGATTGATTTCAGAGAGCAAGGGAAAGGGTGAAATAGAAACATCAATGATGAGAGATAATCATTCATCTGCTGCCTCCTGCACACCCCCTACTGGGGAGTAAGTCCACAACTTGGGCATGTGCCCTGACTGGGAATGGAATCATTGGTCAATGCTCAACCACTGAACCACATGGCTGGACAGGAACTATATTAGGAGGTAAGCAGGAGGCCAAGTAGGTAGATTCACTTTTAAAAATTTGTTTTATATATTCAGATTTTACATAAGATTTCTTTGGAGTGGGTTCCACTGCTTATAAAAAAAAAAAAAGTATTGGCTGAGGGACTTGAAAGTCTGCATCTAGTTAACCTGCCCCCACATTTTATAGATGAGGAATCTATATAACATTTGGTCTATTTAGAGTATCATATCCAGGTAATGTCAAACAGGATTAAAGCTGTGACCTTCTGATTTCTCAATTCAATGTTATTCTATCATATCATGTTTTTAGGATTAACTATCTTAAAAATTTAGGATTAACTATCTTAAATATTAACTGAACAGTAAAGCCAGTGTTGAGAGTCAATTAAAACTTGTATTTAAAATTATGTATAGAAAAAAATGCTCAACCTATGTTTAAATAATTGGACCCTTTAGAAAGATATTGGCTTTATAGGTTTACTATAAGATTCAAGATTAACTTCATTTCCAAAATAGTACCAAAAATGTAATTATATACTATTATAACATTCTATTCACGTAGTTAAGGAAAAATATAAGTGGTTAAAAAAGCATATGTCAATTATGGTATGGCTCAATGGATAGAGCGTTGGCTTGTGGACTTGGTCCCAAACAAGGGGCGTGCAGGGTGCAGCTGATCAATGATTCCCTCTTATCATTGATGTTTCTCTCTCTCTCTCCCTCTCCCTTCCTCTCTGAAATAAATAAAAATATATTTTACAAAAAGCATACGTCAAAAAGTGTGCATATATGTGTGTATACACACAAATAGCTGTGTGATATTTTCTAAAAATATATCCTGAACAGTACTTAGTAAATAAATATTCTTAAATTATCCTTATGCTATACTTCTTGGTTGGAAGAGAGAATGAATGATGTGTGAATTTATGCATTCGAGAATATACATTTATGTGCCTGTTCAAATGACAAAACTGGGACTCTAGAGATACTCCATTAAGTCACAAAAGCATATTTTAATTTAAAATCACATTCTCACAGTCATATAGAAAGTTATTTTAAAGCATTAAAATTATTAATTATATATCAAAAGCCTAAAAACTGTATAAGTGAATTTCATAGATAAATTAATAAATATTTTCATTTACAAGTTAGTAGTAGTCCAAGGTTTATGACTGTAACAACAAGATCTCTCACATAGTCTGCTGCCTTTCTCTTCTTAGTTTTGTAAAAGTACTTACAGAAGAACTATGATCTTAGTGTGACATCTTATTTCTCTTTAAGGACAAATGTAATTATAAAAGAAATCACCATCATCATAAAGATTGACTTCATCAATTTCACCATCTACCTTCCTGTTGAAATCTTCAATAAATTGAATTTACCAACTAGAGTTAAATTTTATACCTCGTTTTTTAGCCTCAACCACCATTTCATCATATTCTTGTCGGTGACGTAAAGCTTCTTCCACAGATTTGGCAGGAAGATTTCTGGAGGGGGAAATTTTTTTAAGTCACTTTTCAAAAGACTAACTTTTAAATGTATTAACTTATTTTTTAGACAGATACCAGTAATTTTTTTTTTTTTAGATACCAAAATTTCATTTCATACATTAAGAAAATAGCAGGTTGAGCCGAAGCCGGTTTGGCTCAGTGGTAGAGCGTCGGTCTGCGGACTGAAAGGTCCCAAGTTCGATTCCGGTCAAGGGCATGTACATTGGTTGCGGGCACATTCCCGGTGGGGGGTGTGCAGGAGGCAGCTGGTCGACGTTTCTCTCTCATTGACATTTCTAGCTCTCTATCCCTCTCTCTTCCTCTCTGTAAAAAATCAATAAAATATATTTAAAAAAAAAAAAAAAAAAAAGAAAGTAACAGGTTGAAAAGAACTTTGCATTTTAGAAAAGAACCAGAATCTGAGTTGCCAATATTTATTATATATATTTATTTATATGTCAAATGTATACGTTTATTCATTATTTTTGAATGTCAAATTTCAGCCAATATTTCTAGGTCTTATTAAACCCACTTACTACAGGGTTTTTTTTAAAGCAAACTTTTTGGAGATAGAATTTATATGTGATAAAATGAACAAACACATTTTAAGAGTACAGTTTGAAGAGTTTTGACAATTTTACATACCTTTGCAACTTACACCCCAATCAAGATACAGAACATTCCCATCACTCCATTAAGTTTCCTATGATCTTCTGCACTCAGTACTTACTCAACTCCTATCCTGGCCAATCACATCTGTGATTTCTATCCTGTATATTAGTTGGTTGCCTTTTAAAGAGTTTCACATATTCTTTTTTCTCTGGCTTCTTTTGCTCAGCATATTTTAAAAATTTACCCATGCTGTTCTGTGTATTATGAACATATTCCTTTTAATTGGTGATCAGTGTTCCATTTATCCATATGGATGAACATTTAGACTGTTTCCAGTTTGGGGCCACTATGAATAAAGATACTATAAATATTTATTTCAAGTCTTGTGTGGGTATCTGCCTTCATTCTCTATGCATATATACCTCTCATATAGGAGTAGAATTCCTGGGTCACATGGTAAGTGCAGGTATATTTTTATAACAAACTGCTGTGCACTTTTAGAGTTCCAAGATAGGAGAAACCAAGATGGAGGCATAGGTAAATACCTATACTGCTGCCTCGCACAACAATTTCAAAACTGCAACTGGAAGACAGAGCAGACATTGTCCAGAACCACCGGAAATCTTGCTGAGTGGAAACTCTACTACTAGAAGGAAAGAGAAAAGGACACTGAGACTTAGAGGAGCTATGGAGGGCAGAGGTGTGGAGACCTGTGTGCGCACAGAAAGGGCGGGCAGCTGAACACTCGGCTGGCTTACCGTGGTATGCGAAGAGGGTGGGCAGCAAGTGCGCCGCTAGCTTTCTCATTTGGGAGGGAAACAAAACCTCCAAACGGCACTGAAATCCAATTGGTGAGACTTTGGTATCCCGACTCATTTGAGGAGAAACTGGACTGTCTGGCAGCAGGCAAAACTCGAGAGCAGCCTTCTCTCAGAGGTATGTGCAGCCATTGCCATGGGACACTGAGACACAGGGGCCTCTTAGGATGGGGCTGACGAGAAACCAAGGCTGTCTGCTCTGGAGAAATGGTTAGAAAAAGCTTTCGTTGGCCAGAAGAGACTCCCCAGGGAGCTGCATGCAAAAAGACACTTGCAGTCCTGTACCTGCAACTGCTCTGTCCTGCAAGATGCCAATCAGAAATTGTGTCTCTGAAGACAGAGGGTAGCAGAAGTAGGCTGCTGTCTTTCGAAGCCCCTCATCAGGAGGAAACTATCCCCCACAAAAAAAATTCTCTCTCCCTTATCACTTTCAGCAACCTGCCTTTGCCCCTTTCCCTGGAAGTGGAAGGAGTGGAGCACATCTAAATATATATGAGAGAAATATGCAAATCAACCAAATGGTGGAACAACCAGAACGACTGCTTGCCTAGTTGCTGTGAGGTGCATTGACTACCTCTTGGTCCCTCCCTGTGGCCAGCAGGCTCCGATCGCCTGATGGCGAATGGGGAACCAGGGATGGGTGGCGGCAGGGGGCGGGGCCAACTGCCAGCAGCCCGAGAAGATGGCCCTAATCACAGGCTAGGCCGAGGGACTGTACCCACGCACGAATTTCAAATTTCATTTAGAATTTCGTGTGCTGGGCCTCTAGTAAAGGAGTAAGAGGGAAGATGTCAACAAAGACTTGACTTGATAGAAAAGATAAAGCCTAATCTCTAAAGGCTTAGGTATGTGAGCAGTAAAAATAAGGTAACTGTATTCCAATAGAGAGCAATAACATGAGAAAAGGCATAAAGGCGAAACAGGTTTGATTGTAAAATAGAGAAGGGTGTAAATAAAAATTTGTCTCACAGACTATCTAGTACAGAACTTTTGCATAGTATTTTTATAAACTCCTTCAGGGAAGAAATTAACATTCCTGGTAAAAAGCTTAATCTATTTTGGATGAATTTTAACAAGTTTTAGAAAGCTCTTCTGGGAACTTAGTTATCTACCTATTCAGCTGACTGTCAGTCAAGAGTCAAAAGATCTTTTCTTGCTTATCTAACCACTCTTTGAATTAGCCTGATTTATTCGCCTCGTCAACAAGGCAAATAAAACCAATGGGAAAATAATATAATGTGTTCACCAGATCCTTTAAGAAGAAAAAAAAGAAGTACTGGGATCACAATGCTTTAGCATAAAAAATGCAACAAGAATTAAAAAATAGTCGGGACCAGTTTGGCTCAATGGATAGAGTTGGCTTGGGGACTGAGAGGTCCCGGGTTCGATTCTGGTCAAGGGCATGTACCTTGGTTGCGGACAGATCCCCGGTGGGGGGTGTGCAAGAGGCAGCTGATCAATGACACTCTCACATCGATGTTTCTAGCTTTCTGTCTCTCTCTCTTCCTCTCTGTACAAAATCAATAAAATATATTTTTAAAAAAAAGAATTAAAAAATAATGTACTTCTTCTCTCACAATGTCTAAAAAATATTCAACCTCTGACTGTTTGGTTCCAGATCCTTTTATTATACTCTTTGGGAAAATAGATAGAAAAATCTACATAGCAGGGAAATGAGAAAAAAGGTTAGAAATTATTACACTGGAGGAAAGTGAAAGCTAAAAGAAGAAAAAGAATAGACCTCAGAGCCTAAGAAGGGAAAAGGAGTTAAGAACCAAGAGATCTTGCTTTAGGGAAGGTGTGCTTTGTTTGGTGAGAAATCAGAGACAATATTTTGAAGATCAGCAACTTTATGGCAGAAATGGGAAGAGAAGAATTTAAGATTTTTTTGGGTATTAATAATGTATTCTTAATAACAATAAACCAACTGATTGACAGTCAGTAGTTAACATTTCAAATTCCAATTTCAAAAATTGTTCAAAAGACAAGGACAAATACACCTTAAGTACATATTAAATGTCAAGAAAGAAAAAACAATTGCCTTACCATGTTAAGGTAAGACAGAGAATGAGACAAATTTCCAGAGAATGGTCAAAATAGAAACAAATATAAAAAGCCAAAAATTTTCTCATACATTGGCTCATAGAGACTTCTAGAAAGTATGCCTAAGCTTGAACATCAACATATAGTCCTCCTTATTAATTTTAGGATGTGTTTCTAATTTTTACAAATTAAAAAATAATAAATTTCTCTAATTTCTTGAAATCTTTTGTGTAGAAAACATTAAAGTTTAAAATGTAAACTGCGTGCCTGATGAGCACTAGACTACTTACGATGGTCGATCTTCAAGAATGAGGGCAGTGGTAGAAAGTGGCTCAAATTCAAAATTCTTACGTCTTGAAGACTGAGGTGGTGGTTTACAGGCTCTTCCTGTTCGTGCTTCATATTCCTAGAGTAGATAAAAACATGTTTTACGCAGAAACTTTCCCAATTTTCATAAAACCTTAAATTTGTATCATTAAGGATATTATGCTATTAAAGGGACACATACAATTCATACATTAATCTGGTAAAAATATTAGGCAGACAGAAGAAATAAAAGTCACTTTTTTCCCCCTAAAGCAAACTAAAATGTGAATTTCTATTACATATCAAAGTATGGTAGGAGAGAGGAAGATAGAAATGCACTAGATTAATGAGGCAAGGTTTTAGGAAGATGTTCTTGATTGCTTTCTAAGGTACCAGCTGTCCAAGTCCAATTCTGAATAATCTACAAGCAGATAAACCTAGTTTTAAAACCTTCACACAAATCAATGAAGGAATTATTGACACAAAATAATCCCATTAAAGTGTTGTGAAGTTCTCTGAACTTCTAATCAAATCGTTTTAAATTCCAACCTATGTTGAATCTTGCTTCTATAAATCTACCTACTTACTCTAAATTTAAACAAGTAACCATTATATCTTATCCAATAATATGTCCAAAGACTGTTAAAGATCTCACCGTTACTATTATAGTACCCCATCATCTGGAGTTTCATTTTCTGTGGTTTCAGTTACCTGAGGTCAATTGTAGACCAAAAATATTAAATGGAAAATTCCAGAAACAAACAATTAAGTTTTAAATTGCACCCAGTCTTGAGTAGTGTGATGAAATCTCAGCCATCCCAGTGGGACATGAATCACCCCTTTTAGCCTAGTATTTCTGTGGGTTATCAGATAGCAGTTTCTCAGTAGTTTTCTAGGTTATCGTAAGGAAGGGCTTGTGTTCACAATGTTCACGTTAGGCTTGTCGCCTTAGCCTATGTCACAATGCATACATCATTCACCTAACTTCATTTTATCACATTGGTTATTGTATCATCCTACAACTTCACAAGAAGGGTAAGTATAGTGTAAAAAAATATTGAGACACAGACTACACTCACATAATTTTTATTATAGTATGTTGTTATAATTGTTCTATTTTATCATTAATTATTGTTGTTAATCTCTTCCTATGCCTAATACATTAAACTTAATGATAGGTATATCTGTATAGAAAAAAAAAACATAATATATATACAGGGTTCTGTACTATCCATGGTTTCAGGCATCCATAGGGAATCATAAATAAATAGGGAACTGTTATGGCTTTTAATTTTCCCTTTCAAAAAAAGTTTATGACCTTATGATTTAATGTGTTCATGTTGACCAATGTTACCCCAATTTAATAAATATTTTTAAAAAATCAAGCTACTACTTTCTCATCACCAGGTAATACATATGTACATTTTTCATGAAATTCTCAAAGATTTACTCATTGATTTCAAGAGTAAATTTGCAAGCCCAATGGCAACTAGAGAAGACACTAATTTAAATGGAAAAAAAAATTCAATACACTTAATAATAATCCATTGTTTCATTTATGGCTGTGCTTTAAAAAAAAAAAATATATATATATATATATATATACATACACACATACTTATTGATTTTTTTACAGTGAGGAAGGGAGAGGGATAGAGAGTTAGAAACACTGATGAGAGAGAAACATGGATCAGCTGCCTGGGAAAGGCCCCTGAGCTGTTTGTCATCTGAATCCAGTGGCGCCTGGCAGAGACATGCCCTGGAAACATAACTTGCCAGAGGCAGGTGTGTTGTCAGTCTGACCTTTAGCTCAGGCACCAGGGAGTGGATTTCATTATCTAAAGCCAGCCAAACTACAGGAACAAACAGGATTATCCAGGTCCATCCAGAAGTGATGATTACAAAGAAGCCACAAGAATGCATATTTTCTTCAAGAAAATAAAACTTCCTGGTATTTTACTGTATAAAATAAACTTGCTGTACCAGCTCTGGGTCCCTGTCTCTCCATCAGAGGACAGCTGTCCCACCAAGTCCCAGCTTTCCCTACTGTTTTTGTGTCTGTCTCTTTCATTTTCTCTCAGAACTCCTGTCCACTCTCTAGCCATGCTGGTCACGGAAAAGAGAGAAATATTTATATCTGGCGCCCAGATCCAGGGATCTGAACACTGGGGAACTCTCCAAAGTCAGGCGAGGGGAATGCTCTGGGAGTGCGTGCACAAGAAATTCAAGAAGTAAGGTAAGGAGCGTAAGGTAAGAACTAGTGTAAGACATGGAATATTTCAGGGTCTCAAGAAAGAGACCTCTACTCTCAAATGCTTAAAACTATGCTCAAAGCTTGAGGATGCTCTGTTAAGCATAGTCAGATTCTTGATTTCTTAAGCTTTGTTCCTATTCCTACATTCACACTATGGTCTCTAATTCGCAATTGCCTTGACCCAGCAAAGGAGAGTTTAAGAATGTCTAAGCAGGGTGTGGCCACAGCTTTACGCCTACAGTGGAGTGGTATGAAACTCTTAAAAATACCACTTCCCCTCTCTGCGCCACCTCTACCTCTGCATGTTGCTCCTGTGCCCGTAGTCAAGAGTACACCTGATAAAGATTTACCTCGTAATTATGAGCAGGAGCTAGAGTTTGAGGCAGAGTGGGACAAGTGTCACTGTGAGTGGGATCAATCAGGTGATAAGAGAGATTTTGCTCACAGCGGCTAGCCTTTATAGCTGGATGCAGGAGCTTGACTTCATATTTCATTTTGCTGGAGGTTCACAACTACTTGTAGTGGGCTGAACCAATTAGAAAAGATTAAAGGAATTTCTCAGCAATTGCCAATAATTCTTTATTTTAAAAAATTTTTCCCTCCCAGGCCACCAGAAACTCTTAGCTAGTTAAATTTCTTTCTATGTGTCTGTATTGTAACTTTAATTTGCTTTTCTCTGACTTACGATTTTTATTGTGCTGTGTTAAAATTTTAAGATTAATTTGAAAGTGAAAAATCTATAAAAATTGCAACCCAGGGAAGTTTAAACAAAGGTCAGCTAATTCCAAGCATGTCTGTGATGCAAAAACATGTGTAGGCCAGCCCTGGGGATGTGAAGCATGTAAATGGAAGAGCAGTAGGCGTGTCCTCGCAGCTTTTTCTCTAAGTCTATTTCTTTCACCAGGTAGGGCAAGTTTTCTGTCACAATTTCTTCAAATAGGTTTTCAGCATCTTGCTCTCTCTCTTCTTCTGGCACCCGCATAATTTGGATGTTGGTACGCTTGAAGTTGTGCCAGAGGCTCTTTACACTATCTTCAACTTTTTGGATTCGTTTTTCTTTTTGCTTTTCTGGAAGAGTTTTTTTGCTTCTTTATATTCCAAATCTTTGACTTGATTCTTGCAATCCTCTTGTCTCTGTATAATATTTTTTTAGGTCTCTGTATATTTTTATTTCAGTTAGTGTATGCTTAATTTCTAGTTAATCCTTTTTCATATCCTCGAGGTTCTCATTAAATTTATCAGCCTTTTCTAGGAAATTCTTGAAAAGCCTTCTAACGGTGGTTTTGAACTCTATATCCAGTCTTTTGCTTTCATCCATTTTCTTCATTTGTGGCCTCTTTGTCTTCACATTTTAGCTGCTTCCCTGAGTTGATGGAATGGTTTTGTATGCTAGGTGTCCTGGCAGGGCCCAGTGGCTCAGCCTCCCCAGTTACCTGAGGTGGACATTCATGGTGCACCCTTGTGGGCTGTGTGTGCAGACTTGTAGTTAAGCCTTGGTCGTTGTTGGCATCACTGGAGGAAGTTGACCTCCAGACCAATTAGCTGTGAGGATCAGCAGTGTCTCTGGGAGAGCTTTTGTGCTCAGCTTGGGTGGGGCAGAGTCTCAGGGCTGAGCAGACAGCCTTGGTTTCCCAGCAGTTCTGCCCTACAAGGCCCATGTCTCAGTGTCCCATGGCAATGGCTGCACATACCTCTGAGAAAAGGCTGTCCTTAGTTTCGCCTGCTACCAGACAGTCCAGTTTCTCCCCAATGTGTCTGGGTACTCAACGTCTCACCCGGAAGTGAATTTCAGTGTAGTTGGGAGGTTTTGTTTCCCTTCTGAATGGGGAAGCTAGTCCTGCACGCGTATGCATGCTGCCAGCCATCAGTGCCGCGAGTCTCCAAGCACCACTGTGAGTCACCAAGCAGCGCCATGAGTCTGCCAGCCATGTATTCAGCCACTCATCCTTTCCGTGTGCGTGGATCTCTCCACACTTGTCCTTCACAGCTCCTCGGTGTCTCAGTGTCCTTTTATCATTCCTTCTAGTTGTAGAATTCCCTCAGCCAGCTTTCCAGTGGTTCTGGATGATGTCTGCTCTGTCTTCCAATTGCAATTTTGAAATTGTTGTGCTAGGCAGCAGTATAAGTATTTACCTATGCCGCCATCTTGGTTTTTCTCTGCTGCCATCTTGGTTTTTCTGAATAGCTTTTGAAAGAAGTAAAATATGCCCTAGCCAGTTGCCTTATTGGAGTGTAGTCCCTAAGCATTGCCAGTTTGATTCATGATCAGGATACATGCCTGGGTTGTGGGTTTGATCCCTAGCAAGGGCACAAGTGGGAGACAACCGATCAATGTTTCTCATATTGTTGTTTCTCTCTCTCAAATCAATGAACATGTCCTCTGGTGAGAATAAAAATAAAAAAATAAAATATGGAACTGGAGGAATAAAGAATAGGAACATCTCTTCCAAAGACAAAATGAAAACCAAAATAACCTAATATATATAAACCAAAATAGTCAATGTGAACATTTCTACCACCTCAAGACCATGTCTGCTCAAGATAAAGAGGTTCTCTTCCTCACCTTGATCCAAGAGCCAGGGAAACCACCTTGCTTGGAGTAGGAAAGTGAAGGTTATGCTGATTATGATACTTTTACTAATTCTCAATTTTCTTCCTTGAGGAGAAGCATTTCATATCTCTCTGACACATAGGATTGCTTGAGAAAACTTTATCTTGGAAAAGTTATTAGCACAATTTAAAAAAATATATTTTTATTGACTTCAGAGAGGAAAGGAGAGATAGAAACATCAATAATGAGAGAGAATCATTGATCAACTGCCTCCTGGATGCCTCCTACTGGGGAG